ATAATGTATCTTTAAACATACAATGCAAGAGCTAAATCGGCCTATTGCAGGTCTTTCGTTAGGTTTGAAATGTTATCTAAATTATTAATTGGGCATTAATTAACTTATTCAGACCATAATCAACCCTCCATACCATCGTTAGCTTGCGATATTTACTGGATTTGAATACATTTTATGATGGATAATTTAACGTAAAAGTGGACGACCGAGACTAGCCTAAAATTCAATGATTAATATCTCGACTCAGACTGATATTTTTAGCATATTTGTTTTCATTGTCTATTTTTAACTATTGTAGCGAGAATTATATTATAGGCAGTAATTTAAAATGTACACTCTGTTGGTATATCTGTCGTTTGGCTAGCTTCTGATACTTGTACAACTTGTACATATACGTTTTCGACCAGTGGTGATATTATAATTTGAAATAATGATATCCGATAGGCATACTTGTATTTTTACATGACGTATATGAAGCCACTGTAAACGAATTCAGCTATCAAAATATTTAATTCTCTTATCAAGGAACAGTCGGCCATTTTGATTACATGTATTATCAGTAAGACGAAACATGAAATAATCACCGCTTGGATTAATCATAAGGAGTAAATAATGACTTAACATAGGCGTTATATATATATATATCATTCACAATTATCAATCAACTAATCATTAATCCGAGACAACTGATTAGTATTACTCATTGATGCGATCCGGATTATCGGCCAGTTGATTAGAATACGATTAGAATTTTAAGATTTTTTCGCCAGTTCTCAAAAAGAATCGCCAGTATCGCAAAACATTATCGCCAAAATCAAATTTTAATCGCCACTTTCATATTTTTATCGCAAATTGCTACTTTGGCGACCGATAGTGTGAGCCCTGTGTAAAAGTACAGTATACGGATTGTTTCCCATAAATGTTGAATTATATTTACTTGTCCCGAAATGTTGGCTGTGTTTACCCACTTGTTGAGCAAGCACATTGTTTATAACATTTGATCACGAGGCTAAACGGAATCTAGTCAATGAAAAGGTGTACTCTTAGTAAGGTGGTTCAATACAGTGGACGTAAATGAGGGTGGGTGGAATACGCGATTTGGATGTATTTACATACCAAACTTAAACTGTTTGTCTACAACCACATGTAGCTCAGCTTGAGTACAGACACTAAGCTACTTGACCGACATTTCAATTCCTAAATCAACGATTTAGTCGAAATCGCACAATATATTTCTCGATTTTTGAGAAGTATTTATTTCGCGCCCGTTTGTAAAACAGAAGAGGGTTATTTAGTCTTTGTGTATATGATACATGTGAAATGTAGTAGAACCGCATTACAAAATAGTAAACTCATTTTAAGATATGGTGGCCATTCAAGATAGAGATCTATTCTCGCAGTACATAGTTCTCTGTGCTTATAAACCTGTAAGGGTAAATCTCTTTGATCTTTGGGGTTATTCTATGCCCGGAATAATTTGCGGTCTGAAAGTCGGGGGGGGGGGGATATATACAGGGAGATTTGGGGTTATTCTTCTGAAAGTTTTTGTTTAAACCTGTAACGGGTTATTCTTCAAGGGTAGGTTTTTTTCCATAAGAAAACATGATATAAGGTTTTTCTTGCGGGAATTCTGGGATATTCTCATCTTGCGTACATGCAAACATAGACGGTTTATAAGCAAGATAAAGTCCTCGACTTCGGTTATGCTGGGGAAGAAAGACTTCAGAAAAAATCCTCGACAGAAAACCCTCGGCCTGCTGGCCTCGGTTTTTCTTTCTTTCCCCAGCATAACACCAGTCTCGTGCTTTATTCTACACATAGACTGTTAGTATATATCGATCATAAAGTGCGAACATTGACTCACTGAGTTTGTGTATGTATGGTTAGTTCAAATGAATAATATATTAATTTTCATTGATGGGTTTTCTACGCTGTACGATTAACTATCACAGTCTATGTTTAAACTACCAATTCCTTTATTCTCCTAAAATGATTAGATCTGTTATGACCGTGGTTAGAAAATAAAATTGTCGATTTTATTGGATTTCATATGGTGATTCGTTTTGTGGGATGACAAGCTGTCGGAATTTTCCATCTGTAGACAAATCCAATGTTTGTGTTATAATCGATTGTGTGTACATTTTGTACCTGTGTCAACACAATCAGCTAAAATAAGATTAAAATTAGTAAACATACCGACTTCCGCTTAACCTTACTAAACAAAACAAATACCATACATAAGTCACAATTCTATGGAATACAATTACAGCTTATTACGGTGCGACTAGAGAAGCCAATCGCTCAGTAATAAGCAGTAATTGTTTTCCATATAATTGTCACCTACATGTATGTATTCCAGTTCAATTACTAAATGCCATTGAAACAATTTTTAAAAAATACCGTATTGATCTTGGCCCATCAATAATCACAATAACATAGCAGATCAATAAGATATTAAATAGTTTGTTTTGACCTTCATATAAATAAAAGAATTTTTCGTCCTTTAAGTTATAATCCGTTTCCTGACAGAGACCATTCTGCCAATCTGATTAAAATACAGATCTATTTTTCGTTTCGTTTTTTTTTATACTTTCGATAGCCTCTACTACATGAAGATCTGACCGGTTGTAGTGAAAGGTCGCGTCAGAGGTCATACGAGTGACTTTTGACCTTATGACGTCAGACATTTAATTAACCAATCTGCGTTGATGTTTCTAATGGGTTACCCACAGTTCCATGTACCTCACGCCAAAAACTCGCCTTAACAGACCGTTTCATTGGCTAATCCCTCACATCATCCAGAACACGTCAATGATAACAACTCTTCCAGATCCTAGTGTAGTAAAGACAAGTATAACAAATTTCTGAACTATAAAAAACGAAACCGAAATAGGATCTGTGTTTTAATCAGATTGACTAGATATGGACGTATTAAAACATTTCTCACTCTAATCACGCCACTGTTTGCGTTTCAATAATTCGAGGGTTAAAGTTATTTTGAATATATTATTAAAAAGTAATTACGTTTTTTTCGTTGTGAGAGTGTCATTGTCTCTTTAATGTTAGATTACATGACTGTACATGTAGATAACCGAAAAGAAATAAATCTCGTATCATCTTTCACTAGCGACGCCATATTGGATATAAACCCCCATTACGTATTTTCCTTTTGTTATTTATGATGTTTACCTATTCTATATAGATAGCCGTGTGAATTATTGTGTTCAAAGTGAACCTATACAATAAAATATTGTAAACAAACTAAGGGTTCGTTATATTCAGTATAATGATCCTTTGTATGGCTAATCCTTTCATACGACATCGAATATTAACGGGCTATAGAATATTATTCTGTACGTAGAGTGCGTGTGTGTGTGTGAAATAGCTTATTTAACGTCCGCTTGCACCCAAGTGATATCGCAGTAGTAGTAGTAGCACCCTTGGTGCTTTAACGCCCGCTTCCACCCTCGTGATATCGCAGTAGTAGGAGTAGTACCCTTGGTGCTTTAACGTCTGCTTCCACTAAAGTGATATCGCAGTAGTAGTATAGTATTTACCTTGGTGCTTTCACGCCTGCTTCCAACCTAGTGATATCGCAGTAGTAGGAGCTTTAAGGTCTGCTTCCACTAAAGTGATATCGCAGTAGTAGTATAGTAATTACCTTGGTGCTTTTACGTCTGATTCCACTAAAGTGATATCGCAGTATGACGTACATGTACATAATAGTAACGCAAACTGATCAGCAGTAAATATTCACTAGGCCGCTGTAATCAATATTAACTTTTTTTCTTCTGCAAATTAAATTCTGAAACAATTTTTCAAATTATTAAGAAAAAAAAAATGTGATGATAGTATAACTGGATAAAAAATATTCCCTATTTAGTGATAATGGATACATAAAATAGTACCCGAAGGCATAAAAGGCGCCATTTTGCCCAGAACAGTTTACGTTAATACGTCCTATGTAAACAATTCATGCGCTATCGATGCTATGTGATGTGACGTCATACGTCGACCTATAGTACATGTACATGTGAACTTATAAAGGTCAGTCATCTGACACAGAGTTAGGAGAAAGCATTCGGATTACATGTACCTCTGTGAAACAGATCGACAGTAACGTACTTCAAGTACGGTACTTGTAGCTAAACACTCGGCAAACCTCATCAGATTCCAGTACCCTACATCTAGCCTCGGCTGTATGACGACGTCCGCCATTGAAACTACTTTCAAGTTCCCTGATTACCAACGGCGTTGCCCACGATGGCGCCTTTGAATAATGTTTTATCGTACAAACATTTCAAAGTCTGAAGCTGTTTTTCTCTCAAGTTTATCCGATTTTCTTTCGACAATGACACGTTTGCACTGAAAATTCACACACTCTCCGAACGACGCAATTGCGAGAACTCTTTCTAAATAAGTAAACCGGTGCCGCATCGCAATTGTATAGGCGCAGGTACATATCACTTACCGTCATACAGCCGATGCTACATATAGATGTAGGGTACCGGAATATACCGAGGTTTGCCGACTAGTAGCTAAATTGAGGAAGGGGTTAAAGTTCAGTGTAATTTGGAAAGTGAGAATTGAAAGTTTATGGAAACGTACAAAATGTACTTCTCTTTACCAAAACCACCCGTGCATACATGTACATGTAGATGCATGATGCTTGTTTATAATTTTTAATGATTGCCACTGTGTCTTTTTTATTTATCTATATAGTCACATGAGGTGATCACTGTTTTTTTTGTCTTTTAAATCTATAGTCGCATACATGTATACATGTAATAATTCATTGAAATCTACATAGTCCGTTTTGGTGTATATGCTTGATAACGATAAGAGGATACTTATCGAAACGTCGTGCTTGTGTATAATAAACCAGTGATTGTTTTCCCATATAACTGTGTTACTTCTGTTATATTATTATTGTTGTTCGTATCATTATTTTGTCTTTGGAACTGAAATTATAACATCATTATTATTATTACTCATTTCAGAAACGACTGTATAATAATGGTGGATCGTTTGATACGACTGATGCGCCACCAAACACACTCTTCTCTCCTAACATGCATTCCTCTACGCATGCTCAAGATGGTTTTGTCGAGCGTAATGCCAATCCGTATCAACTTGTTATGGATGACGTCATTAATGGCAACATGAAACGTAAAACCGAGTCAAAAAAGCAGGCTACGTCAGTGGAAGATGTGTTAAATTGCTTGCTTGCTTTAGATGGACAACAAAAATCCAAGGCTATTAGACGACGTCATACGACAGGCAAAGGTGATCGAAAGACTCAGGATCAGGCGCATTACCGACGATTTTTGAGTGAAGAGGCCCTGGAGCCTCGAGCACGTGACGTGTGTTCAACAACCTGGTCAGCTGATTATTTGGACTCTAATGAGGTCAGTTTTCGTGACCTGGAAAGTGACGAACTGGACGACGTTATCGTCCATTGTGAAAATCCGGACTGTGACAGTAGTTGTGTCATGTCTATCGCGAAGAGGAACTATTTAACCTGCCATAATTGCTACACATACTACTGTTGTAAAAATTGTCGTAAAAAAGACTGGTCCGCCCATAAAAATGACTGCCACATTAGTCGTGTAAATACTTTGTGTAGAAATATTGTAAAAACTGTAAATAAGGACTCCCATATTCAATATTATATTTCTAGATTTGCTAGACGGGGTTATCTCTATAGGGGGCGTGGCTGTGTTGTGCTAAGTTTTGTCAATTTTAAGAGTGGTCAAAAACTTATCCAAGACGGACTGCGTCGTAATGCATTGTCACCTATTTATATGACTTTAGCGGAACTGAACCGTTCTACAATATTCGGTGATATAAAATTCGGACTAACTGAAATGTGTAGTCGCTATAACCCAGATTCAAAGTATGTAGTGTATGTAGGCATAGGTGTAGGCACGCATGTCCAGTCGGAGAAAACGGCTATTCCGCGTCAAAATGGTTCCTTTGTTGAAAAAAGTGCAATGTTGCGTTTGTGCCCCGCCCATATGCTACCGAATGTGGATGAAACCGACGATTTATCAGTGCTAGTTCTAACGGTCATGCATGGCGGCCATGATCAAGGAAATAACGATCATAGAAAATCTAGGGAATTAGGAGTAATCAACATTCAACGAAAGTTACAACAAAGAGGAGTATTTCTCCGATATCAATATCCGGAACTGTATTATAAATTATTGAAATTTGTTGCGGACGCCAAACCCATTTCGCCTGAAATTCTCAATCCGGTTGACGCACAAACCGGACAGCAATTTGTTTGTATTATTCTCATGGAAACGGAACCGGAAATAGAATGGATGCAAGAAAACAAACCGGAAGTAGATCAGCGATATGGTGGATCAGGATATCTTAGCAACTAATTCACGCAATTAACCCGACTTAAAAAAAAATTTGATTATATTTCCTAAAAAAAAGAATGGCCTCTAAGTTACGCTTTTTAGATGTTGGGAAATTTTGAGTATATTTATACAATTAAAGTGTTTATTTTTGTCTTGTTCCAGTTAAATATTCATGAGCGCCTCCATGTAGGCTATTCCTGCTTGTATATACATAAAATGACCCAATATTAATCCGCTTTATGTTAATTAAATGGCAACATTTTTAAATGGATTTGTTTAATATTTCTTGCCATAATACAATATATTGTTATTATTTCCCAGTAATTATTTCAAATTAAATTTAATACTATTTCTTAAAATAAGTCTAAATGTATTTTTACTGTTTACATTTTATTTATATGGCGTGACTGGGTGTTCATCGTGGTTAGTGATTGAGTCTTTCAGTGCGATTTTTGTTTTTTTGTTTATTTTCACCTTTTTTTTCTTCAGCTTTTTGTTGATTATGTAAGTAAAGGTTGTAAAAATAGTTAACAAATATTTGTAAACTAGAGATGAAACACGGTGGTTTGTTTCTATTAACCACCGTGTTATTTTAAACTTGTTAACAATTTTAATAGTTTATATGTATATGAGTAAATTTACAAATACGTTACTAGGCAACACTATAAGGACTGGAAACCGGGAATGACGTTATCTCCGCCATCTTAGATTTGTGACGTCATACCGAAAATCGAAATTTGCCAATCGATCCGCAAGCACGCCCGGATTCATGTCGATCGTACTTCATTTGACGGAGCCACAGGCTTTTTCCGAAGAGCGTGTCCCCATAAGAACAGTATAGGTACATGTAGCGCTTGTTGGTCAGTTCCATCTCCATAAATCATAAAGATTTACAAATATCAAATCAAGTTGGGCTATTTGGCGCTTTAAAACGACCGACTTTCCCCTAATGAACTGAATATAGCTTAGCGTGCTGTTGGTTCTATTTGATGTTCATACGCCACTATATCAATGCAGGTATATATAGTCGCCTACCACATGCAACCTAATGAAATATTTAGCCGAGAGCTTGATTGATTTCTCGTGTTTTATGCACGTTAATATGCAAATTACGCATGAATCCTCTCAATCATTATCGATTATCATGTCCAATGAGTCTACATATGATCTGATTTCAATGCATCATACATGTACATATATGCTAAAACTATTTCGTTGTTTGTTTTTTTTTTGTTAGTTTGTTTTTAGCTATGATTATCGGAAACTCTAGATCGGAGACGGCCCTGCAAATATGACGTCATATGTGGATTTTGATTTAGGAATAGGGTAAGGGTAAGTCGTGGGTTAGGGTTAGGGCTAGGGTTAGCGCTAGCCCTGTTTGCATCTCGAGACTTTGACAAAATCTGCAGGTCCTAACCCTTATTCTAACCCTAACCCACATTCCACATTTGACGTCATATGTTCTAAAATTTGCAAGACCGTCGCCGATCTAGCGTTCTCCATGATTATCTGTTTTCCGTGTGTGAATGTTTTGAATGTTTTGGCCCTTTTCTTGAAATATTACAAACTCCATTTGTTCTAATATTGAACGAAGTGGTAAAATTTCTAGAAATTGTGAAGACGTTTCTCCGGAGAAGCCTTCATAGAAACCTGTCCATTTTAATACCCTTGGATGATATTGGAATGTGAACTGTGATGGGTTTTTTCCAGAAACCGTCATTACGCCATGTTAATTTCCCCGTGTGCCTTACAAGATACCACTTGGCAAACCTCAGCAAACTCAGTACCCTACATCTAGATACCGGAGTCTGCCGAAGTTAGCCGAGTGAAAAGATACAAATCGTAGGATTATCTATATAAATATATAGTCTATATGTCACGTGTATATTATCTCTGTTTTTCAAATCATAGAAATATTAAAGTTTAAATCTCGTACCAGTAATCTGAATTTTAAAAAAATGTTGTTTTTTTTTTAATTTTTAACCAATCAGGTAACCGATTAACAGTTACCCCTTAGCGTCAATTACATAGTAATTATTTAAGCACCGTAATTTCGTACTCGGCTTTTGTGCGGTTTTATGTTTATGTGTTCGTATATTTACAAATTTGAACATAGGAAATTACGGAACAGTATAAGCATTTAAATATATTTAATTTCTTCATTCACTTTTAAGTACTTTGCAAGGTAAATGTTTAGTGCCTTTAGAATCAGAACCCACTATAAAGTTTGTTTTTGTAGGTGAAATAAAAGTGTTTTAAATAAATTGAATTTTTAATGGTGTCTAGTTATGTAATATTTTGTCAATAAAAAGACTGTTTATGTTATTTTCTTTAATTTGACGTCTTGTTTTATTGTTAGTGTTAAAGTGATATAGTGATCGTCATTTTAAAGGGTGGGGGGGTATAGGGGGTAGTCGAATGGTTTAACACGTTCACTTTAGATCATAAAAGGTCTGTTATTGAGTCAACTGACGTAGTTTCGATTCCTAATTTGTACGTGGCAATGAGTTGACTTGCCTGTCCAACCTCGTGGGTTTTCTCCGGATCCTCCGCCCCCTCCCCACCCCCATTGCCAAAGACCCCAACGTGCAAGCGAGTTTCTGAAAGGAAATTGAACGATGTGTTAGTCTCGAAATGACCTGGTGTGTCGAGTGGACGTTTAACCCTATTCATCTCTCCCCTCGTCTTCTCATAGCACACTGTATGGCGTATGTCCGTCTTCATTAGCCTGGATGTTGCAGAAAAGTAGGACGTTAAACCCCATTTTAACGAATTTACCTTAACTTGCACTTAGTGAGTTTCTCTTAAAAAACAAAACAAAAAGAAACAACAAAACTATAAAGTTGGTCCAAATATGGTCTTTATCCTTAATATAGTGTCATGTCTTCCATCACCCCGCCATCTAACACGTAGGTCTAGACATGTGCATATTCATCAAAGTCATAGCTTGTAATCGCCTTTATCTTCTATTATCTAGATAGATGGTGGATTAAAAAGACGGAAAGAGGTGGGTGGGGGTAACGTCCACTCGACACAAACTAGGTCATTTCGGGACTAACACGTGGTTCAATTTTATTTCAATAATTCATATGCGCGCAGGGAGTCTTTAGCAGTGGGAGGAAACCGGAGGACCCGGAGAAAACCTACGAGTTTGGACAGGCAACCCTACTCCTTGTCACGTACACCCGGGGAATCGAAACCACACAAGCTGACTGAAAGACAGAAATGAAATGAACTGGATGGAGTTTAACGTCTTACTGTTCTGCTCCTAACCTGGGCTAATGAAGACGGGCATACGCCCTACAGTGTGCTTTGAGGGAAATTTTGCCCGGGCAGCGGCACTATCGCCTACTCTTATACCGAATTCCAACTGCCAAGGGATCTTTTACGTGCACGCCAATGTGTACACGGGACCTCGGTTTTTCGTCCCATCCGAACGACTAGACAGCTGTCCTTGTCAGGCCCTCCATCCTGCATCACTGACAAAGGGGGAAACACGCCGGAAAATCTGGTAGAACTTTCTCGGCCAATGCAGGGATCGAATACCCGACCTCCAGGCTAGCGAGCCAGCGTCTTACCCACTTAGCCACGTGATCCCCCACCTCAAAGACAGACTTTATGATACAGCGCGCATGTGCTAACCATTCAGCCCCCCCCCCCTTAAAAAGATGGAAAATGGCAGAACTAAACAAGGGGGTGCTCGATTGTCAGAATTGCAATCAAGTGATACGGAATTCAGTCCTGTCACAGTTCTGCCAGTCCCGACAGTTTAGGTGGTGTGAGTAGAATCGTGACGTATTTTAAGTAACAAATATATGTTTCAGCTGCCATGATTGGTTGAGATATTGTTTATGCAGTGGGCACACGCGCTGTACTCCGAAATTCTCCTTTTCACTCGATTGACACTATTTTCGGAATTGAGAGAATTTAATTCCTGATCGTTCAATCGAGTGTCCATCCCCTGTGTGTCCTTGGTTGGGGTAGTACTAAATAAAAACAAAACGTTCGTGGCGTTACATAAATACGGATTGTACTTATGGCTATCAGAGGGTGCAGTACAAACTGCGAAGTAAACAAGTCAAGGTCATTTAATGCATAAATCCTGCAACCGATACAGTTGATTCCTGCTATTGATTAATGCTATAGTATCTTTAGAATTTGATTGCAGGCATGGATCTTTGCTTTTATAAACCGTGATATGCTGGAAATGCTACGCTGACATGATTCTGGAGTCTTACCCTTTGAAGCCGTCTACACTCGAAATTGTTATAAGATTAAATGAAACTTTCTATGAACTAACCGGAACTTCATTAATCCAGGATTTTGGCCCTTTGTTCGATGATCAAGCTCGGGGAGAGGATTTGAAGGATAATAAAGAACATTTTACAACAATCCCTACAAAATGTACCAATTCTTCTAGTAACAGCTAGACCGAGGACTGGACCGTCGCGATCAGCAAACCGACTCCATGACAAAAAGCCACCTCGGTTGCTGATAACTTACCGGGTAAAACATACAATGTGACATAATCAGTACTTCCATTTAAACTATTACATCAATCCGTTCTAACAAGGGTGCTTGGGTGGCCGGATGGTTAGCACGTGTGCACGGTATCATAAGGTCTGTCATTGAGTCAACTGGCTTGGTTTCGAATCCCCGATTGTACGTGACAAGGAGTAGGGTCGCCTGTTCAATCTCGTGGGTTTTATCTGGGTCCTTTGGTTTCCTCTCTCTTCTAAAGACCCGTACGCACAAGCGAATTATGGAAATGAAATTAAACCATATGTTAGTCCCGAAATGTCCTAGTGGACGTTAAACCCATTTCTATCCCCCTCTCTCTCTCTCTTTCTCTCTCTCTCTCCGTTCTAACAAAAGAGTAAATGTTTCATTTATTCTGTATGCGGTATACGATGAGTTACAATATTGAGTAGTTAAAGGAACGTTTTGGATCAACCAGAAAAAAATAATATAACATTTTACCAGCGAGAAAAGAAGTCCATTGACCTCAATGGCCATAAATAGTTAAAATGGCCACATATGACATTTTAGATGTATATTTAATGACTATAAATACCAACTATCAGCAGAAATCTATCTATAAATAACTGGGAATTATTAATCGATATGGTGGCTCGATTCGTTTATAAAATAAACTTATCAGCAAATAAAACAGATAAACTCATTGGTTCTATTATATATTCTATTATATCCTAGTCTGGTTTAAAGGAACCAACGCCAAATATGTTTTAGTGAAAAAAAAATGGCGAGTTAATGATTTGTAATGCCAGCTGTCATGGGTTCTTTTACGTGCACCTCAATCAATGTGTACAGGCGATCGCAGTTTTTCGTCGCAACCGAACGAATAGACCAAATACCTTGTCAGTCTCCCGGTCCTACACCACTGACCAGGAGAAACCATACTGCATAATCCAGAGGAACTTTCTTAGCGAAGACCAGGATCGATTCCGTGCCATACACATGGGGAATGGGGGAAGCGAATGGTTAGCGTGTGAGCGTTGTATAATAAGGTCTGTCGTTGACTCAACTGGCGTGGTTTCGATTACCCAGTTGTACTTGACAAGGAGTAGGATCGCTTGTCTAACCCCGTGTGTTTTCTCCGGGTCCTCCGGTTTCTTCTCACTGCTAAAGACCCTAAGCGAATTATTGGAATAAAATTGAGCCATATTTGTTAGTTCCAAAATGACCTGGTTTGTATCGAGTGGACGTTAAACCCCATTTCTCTCTCTCTCTCTCTCTCTCTCTCTCTCATACTCACTGAGTCACCGTGGCTCCTAAAATATATAAAACGGAACTGCATTCTGATTTTTTAAACCAGATTTCTATTGTAGGGGCATATTTTGTCTGTCTAGCACACCGATACTCCCCACCCAATCACATTACATACGTGAATATAGAAAGGAACATTGGATGGGCGAATTGACGTTAAACTCTATTCCATTCTGCACGTGACCATAGTAAATGAAAATAATCGTAATGTCAAAATGCCTGAAATCTTGTGTTGAAGAGATTTGAAACTCCTTTCATTTCCTTTCCTACTGAATAAATAGCCCCGAGGCTTAACTAATACAGTGAGTTGTATCTGATATACAGTAGCTTGTTATATTATTAGTCTAGTGGTATATAAGAGAATGTTGAAATAGTAAATGGGGTCAATAGGTTACAACAAAATCTATTTGTATACAAGAGTATCGTTTGCTTACGGGACAATGATAGGAATGTTCTTTTATTACAATATCCTAGTAACGCCAAATAGCAATTCCATTTAAATAAAGCAAAAGTATATGAATAAGATACATCATACCGTGGAAGTTGTTTGTTGGGCGGATGGGGTGGGCGATTGGATGGCCGAATGGTTAGCACGTATGCGTTGTATCGTAAGGTCTGTCATTGAGTCAACTGGCGTGGTTTTGATTCATCGTTTGTACGTGACAAGGAGTAGCGTCGCCTGTCCAACCTCGTGTGTTTTCTCCGGGTCCTCCGGTTTCCTCCCACTGCTAAAGACCCCTAAGCGCAAGCGAATTGTTGGAAATAAAACTGAACCATGTGTTAGTCCCGAATGACATAGTTTGTGTCGAGTGGACGTTAAACCCTCTCTCTCTCTCTCTCTCTCTCTCTCCTGGGCGGATGGGGTTCGGGTCGGGTCTCAGAAATTCGTGCTATCATTGCGCTTAGGACTGTTTCACTGAACAATTCTTGAGTATTAGAATCCACATACATACAAGAATCTCAAATCGAAAACAATCATTCGTCATGAAAGGCCAAAGCTCTAATTTAAATAACTGCAGGTGTTCCCCAGGGATCAATATTTGGTACACTTCTTTCTTTATTTATATCAATGATATTATTGCAAATGTTAACTCTAATACACGCTACGTCGTTGTATCTAACTATTAAAAAATGTAAAAATATATTTAATATAGATGTTGATTAACAACTGGTCGACTAAATAGAAAGTAAGAATTAACCCCTTAAAAGCAGTTTCCAAACCTCTTTTGAATTAAATTTTAACAACCTAAAAATTACGTAATACCACAGGCATCTTGGTCTTATTTCACAAAGTGATGCAGTTAACCTTGTGTGCTTATGCGATACGATCATGTATATATTAGAGACTTTTGGCAAGCGTAATTTCCTGGTCCGTATCGCGTATCCGTATGGATTTTGCGTGTGACGTCATCAATGTATGTGTATTTCTCATACGTGATACGGCACACGGATACGGCAGCACGTATGGAACGGCTTTCATACGGAAATGGTCCGTATAACACTGTCGTCTTTTTACCGTCGTTTTTGCTACTTTTAGACGCTGAAATGTTGCATCATAGCGTTTTTATGAATCTTTGTGTATCCTAGAACACGAAGGTGTATATTTGATGTGATTTTAACAGTGATAACGACTGCAATTTAATCATTATTTTTGATGGGTTGTTCTCGGAATTTTCATATTTTTCCCGCCTGTCTGCATACTGGTTGATCTACGGGCTAAACTTTCTGAAATGATACATTAGTGAAACCAAAAATTTCTAAAATCTGCCAAAACTCTAAAACTACATTGACGCAACGTATCACGTATACGATACGGATACGGGATACGGATGGGAAAAATCCGCTTGCCAAAAGTCTCTATTGTATTACATCTCACGCCTTCGTATTTATTATAAGCCGTATTTTGAATCAGTATTTAGACGATAGATAAACAGACTGTCGCCAACTGGATCCAATCTTTTGATAGATCTCGTTTTAATCCGATTGAATTTTAAGCAGGTGATTATTTATCGTTGATATTTTAAGATTGTTTTCTTATTATCAAATGTTGAATAATCACCCTGAGTACAGGTTAGTGTTGATTAAGTCGTGACACTGCTCGATCGGGATCGGCGACTTTATCATTTATCATTGAAAAAACATGACAAATCAACATGTCTATCTTTAAAACAAGTTCCAAATGAAAGCAGGGGACCAAATAGATAATTAACTAGAGCCCCTGTTTTAACTTGTTTTTATTATGACAAAGAGAGAAGATGACCCACCCTCTCTTCTCACGACAGAGATTTTATAAATGTATTTTAAGGTGACTTTTTGATATCCGAGGACTCTCTTATTTTGTGTTTTTAACAATTTTTAACCCTTTAAGTGTAGATAATGTAATTAAATCAGCCTGTCCATAATGTCATATTTATTGTATTGGACGTTAAGTATGTAATAAACAACGACCACCAACAGATAAGTAATTAATAAATTCAGTTTCGTTCGTGGTTTATCCAAGTCTACGATATCACCTTAGGTGGAAGTGGACGTAAAACCCCAGAAACGAACGAAATGGTTTATCCAACTCGAGTACCCGATAAAATGGAAACGGTCTACACCTAATCGACGCTACTGTCCACACTACACCAGGCACTCATATAGAAATTGTTTTTCGATAGATCACTAAAAGAAGGAAATTAGTTGTTTTGTATATGAAATGGATTGGTAATTATTTATATGTGAACTATATATCGAGAATATTAAAATGTTATTTATTATCTGGGTGGACACTAGATACAAATGGATATAAATCATCAACTATTTTTTTACAGGAGTCGGAGGTTAAAGGTTCAATATCATTTATATATATAGAGAGAAAGAAATTGGGTTTAACGTCCACTCGATCCAAACTAGGTCATTTCGGGACTAACATATGGTTGGATTTTATTTCAATAATTTATTTGCGCGTACGGGTCTTGATTCAATGACAGACCCTATGATACAACGCACAAGCGTTAACCATTCGGCCGTCCCCCACCTACCCTTCAGTATTTTTTTTATCATAGAAACACTGTATAAAACATTATCAATATGTTTCTTTGATAATATAAAAAAATAGTCTCCTTTATCTAGTCGACAGTGATGGATTGTCCAGCCTCACTTCCCTTTGCCAGTGGTGCAGGATGGATGCCCTGACAAGAAAAGCGTATAGTCGTTCGGTTAGACTATAACAAAAAAATCCAAACAACAACAACCGAGGTCTTATTTATTTATTATTCCAAGAAACAGATAATTTTATGCTAATAAACAGAAACGCTACAAAAAAATAAAATAAAAACACGTTTAGTCGTGCGCTCTTGGCATGCGCACAACAACCCTTGAAAGTTAAATTCGTTGAAGAGTGGGCGGGAAATCAGCTGTCTCAGCAAAATTTACACTGCAGCACATTGCGTCATTAGCCGGGTTGGTACAGCAAAGTAAGACGCTAACTTGAAACCAGACCAATTTCTTCTCCTTATCCTCTTTAGCATTTAGATTAATTACTAATTCTTACAGCCAATGGGCCATGGGTTTGTAAACTTTGTTGGAGCCACGGTGGCTAAGTGAGGTCGCGGGTTCGCTCCCGATGTTGGCCGAGATAGTTCATCAGGATTTTCCGGAGTAGTTTCCTCTTGTCAGTGGTGCAGGACGGAGGGTCTGACAAGAGCAGCTGTCTAGTCGTTCGGATGGAAGGATAAACAGAGGTCCCGTGTACACATTGGCGTGCACGTAAAAGATCCCTTGGTAGTTGGAATTCGATATAAGAGTAGGCCGTAGCGCCGCTGTCCGGGCAAAATTTCCCTTATAGCACACTGCATGGCCTTTTCCCCGTCTTCATTAGCCCAGCCGGAGCAGAACAATAGGACGTTAAACCCCATTTCATATCATTTCGTTTCATTTTTTGTAAACCTTGCTGGAGACTATAACACCTCTCAGTTCATTCATTAAAACTTTTTTCTTCTCAAACTATGCGCCTTAACTGTTGTAAATACTTAAAGAAATAATTTTAGAAATTTTAGCTATGCGCCATATCTGTGGTAAATATTTAAAGAAACAGTTTAAGAACTTTTAACCATGTGTGAGTGAGAATAAAAGTAATAGATCAACTTGTTTAATACGAGCTGGCGGTAAAGATAAAGAGATTATCATACCTGTTGTAATTAAAAAGATCAAAGAAAAAAAACACGACGACTATTTAACACCTGACCTGTTAACCAGGATAAGACCTATGTAGAGAGTCATTGACGTCTGAACGCAACAGTTTTTAAAGGGCAAAGGTTGTGAAGATTTTGGTGTCCCTGGTGTTGTGTTTTTAAGATGTTCATATTAAGCTATGTGAGCTCACTGAGCTGGATAGTGTTGGTTTATGAACCAAATTAACATTGTTAAAAATCCAATTAGTTAGGTCAAATTGCGTGATTTTTTTCCTGATAAAGTTTTGGATGCTTATTGGGTTGCTTTTGTTTCACCAAAGTTTCGTTACCTTCCAGGTGGAATACCCCCCCCCCCCTAAAAAAAACAACAAAAAACAACCTCAACTCGTATCCATTCATAACCATTAAGACGTCCTTGTATTTGTATCTCTGTCAACCGCGATCTTTCGACATTCAAAAGACATATATTTGGAATTGATATCCTAGTCCAATGTATTTGTCCAAATCCCCATATTTTTTTCTACATTTGTATATTTATTAGACGATTTATGTCGATTTTTTATATTAGTTATTATCGTTCGACGTGTTGTAACAAAGCTCGTAGTAGTGACAGAGTTGTGTCCCTTGAAACAAGCCATTCAGCGGAGGTTTACGGTCCCACCACGGAGAAGAGGAGAGAAATGGGGTTTAACGTCAACTCGATACAAACTAGGCCATTTCGGGATTAACACATAGTTCAATTTTATTTCAATAATTCAGTATGGCGTGTACTAAAGGGAACCGTTTTCTCCAGATAGCTGCGTATCCTCCAAATCTTCTACTGCCAATGCATCGTTTTTGAGCATACCAACGTGTACACAGGACCTCGGATTATTGTACCATCCGAACAACTAGACGTTAGATCTTTATTCAACAGTAAGGTGATGTGCAGGATAAGAAAAGGGTTTTATTGTAACAACAAAAAGAAAAGAATATGATAATGACAATTTTAATATTAATAAAAGAAGTGGTTATCTAGGGTGTTGACGTGGACCCAGAGAGACCATACATTCTACATGTGTGACAACAAGCTTCACGATAAAAGTCGTATGTGCAGACATTGGTTTTAAAAATAAGATTACAATTGGTGGTACCATCATCAATGCACTTGCCGCCTGAAAAGAACATAATAAGTAAAATGATAATTTTATTTTACTCAGACAAGATGCATTGTGAATAGGGTCAAGATCTTTTGCACCTCTTCTTACATCTATGTACTTACTTCCTACGGATTTGGGTTTAGGGGAAAATATGCTACAAAAGCGCAAAAGAGCAAAAGAGCAATACAATCTGCTATACAAGGTGGTGGCTAGGTGGTTAAGGCGCTGGCTCGCAAGCCTGGAGGTCGGGTGTTCAATCCCTGCATTGGCCGAGAAAGTTCATCCCGATTTTCCGACGTGGTTTCCTCTTGTCAGTGATGCAGGACAGAGGGCCTGACAAGGACAGCTGTCTAGTCATTCGGATGAGACGAAAAACCGAGGTCCCGTGTAAACATTGGGATGCACGTAAAAGATCCCTTGGCAGTTGGAATTCGATATAAGAGTAGGCGATAGTGCCGCTGCCCGGGCAAAATTTCCCTCATAGCACACTGTATGGCGTATGCCCGTCTTCATTAGCCCAGTATAGGAGCAGAACAGTAGGACGTTAAACCCCATTTCATTTCATTTTCATTTCATTTTGCTATACAAGGTTGCTTTGTTATACCTAACAAGTACGGAACTACTTTCTATTTTCGCAACCCTTAAAGATACATTGTGTAAGATTTAGATAAAGAGCTAGTCATTCTGGCTATAATAGTTCGAAAATAGATAATGTAAAATGAATAATTTGAAAATTTCATTCTAATTACTCTATTGCGAGCGAAGATATTAGCCTTTGAAGGTTTGACAAGACGTAAAAAAAGACCTGCAATAGGCAGATTTAGCTCTTGCAATAATATATGTTTAAGAGAATGTACTGACCAAGGTTGGAGGTTAAAGGCGAGAACACCTCTCTGATACACATTTACAAAACGCCAGAATTATGTAATCGCAACTCTTAAGAGCATTTATTAATTGGAGGTTAAAGGCGAGAGAACACCTGTCTAAGACATTACAAGCCATTATAGTCATATTACTAGTTCAAACCCTGGTACTGTTGGTTTAGCTCTGTACATAATGTCTAGAATGCTTATTTGTACTTATGCTTTAACAGCTTACCAGGATGAGAAATATTTGAAGGACAGGTTGGTAATGTACAAGGTTCCACGTTGTCAGGTTGGGTTTCTATAAAACAATCATGTGATATCTGGGTACCATGGTAACATCTTACTTCTCTCATCTTTATAGCACCAGTACCACATGGCTTAGAACACTGAAATTATAAATATAAATGAAATGGGGTTTAACGTCCTACTGTTCTGCTCAGAACTGGGCTAATGAAGACGGGCATACGTCATACAGTGTGCTATGAGGGGAATGTTGCCATGACAGCGGCACTACGGCCTACTCTTATATCGAATTCCAACTGCCAAGGGATCTTTTACGTGCACGCCAATGTGTAATCAGGATATATGTTTCAAATCAGCAAGTATGTTTAATTCTTAATATTAAGTGCAGGGGAACTGCACCACACAAAATTTACACAAAAACAAAGGGTGGGGGCGAGGGGGGGGGGATTATTGTCGCCCTTGTGATCCGGCGGCAACTGTGCGCAACTGAATCCAACTAGGGTTGTATTATAAGGGGAACATAAACGATCTTGCGACTGTGGCAAAGTTGCAGTGACATAAGCGGTTTTACAATCGCAGGAATGTTTAGACATCCGGTGTATGCGTAGTTTTTCTCAGATCTTCAATACGTCATTTAGAAGATACTTTGATAGCTCTTTTGGGGGACTTGCCGTCACACACCTCAACTCTCCAAACATTTCCAAAAGGCAGACAAGAAGTCACCCAAGTCTCTCTGACAGTCATGATATGGCATGCTTACCTCTCCCCATTCAGTCGTGTACCATTTAGGACCACATGGAGCAGCAGAACACCGTGTTGTAGTTATAGGTCGTGGATTATTCTGACAATAGTTGTCTGACTGTACATAGAATTCACCATCTTGTACACTACCACAGACCACATTTCTCTTCGAATAACCATCACCACAGGTAACGGAACACTAAAAAATAAACCAATTGAATCCGACGAAAACTGGGATTGCCAAAGATACCGTTTCATGTTCTACGAGTTCCGGTCATATCCTCTTCTGGATCAGTTATTGTTATATTCGGATCCTTGGATCCTGGGATGTTACACTAAACTTGTGGGTGAAAGTGAAAAACAACCATTCCCCAATCTCTATCTTTATTGCTCAAAAAGGCAACAGAAACTACAACATAAACTTATATCTACATTAGACCATAATGATCTCCAATATACCACCAAATGACATTATCGACACATAACAGGAAGTTCAACTTACCCTTCGCCATTCTTGTGGAACCCACGCATGCTCACAGATCCCACACGCATGAACTGTTAACGGTTTAGTGTTGAGATCACAATGGCCATCTTCTAATACCAGACCTCTTTTATCTCGACAGAAAACCTTTCTATGAGTTACACCACAAACACCGCTACACTGTATATACAAGTACAAATATTAATTGGTTATCAAAAACTATTGCTACCATAAATATTACAATAGCTAGGAGTTTCACGAGCACTTAGTTCACCAAAGTCATCGCCTATTGGACAATCTGTAGAGAATTTAATTAGTCACAATGGAACCGATAATATGGGTAAATCCGTTATTTTCGGTTGACTATTACTAAATGTAGATAGGCATCATCAAGGAGAGAGAGAGAGAGAGGGGAGGGTTTAACGTCCACTTGACACAAACTAGGTCATTTCGGGACTAACACATGGTTCAATTTTATTTCAATAATTCGCTTGCGAGTAGGGTTCTTTAGCAGTGGGAGGAAACCGGTGGACCTGGAGAAAACCCACGAGGATAGAAAGGCGACCCCACTCCTTGTTGCGTACAAACGGGGAATCGAAACCACGCCAGTTGACTCAATGACAGACCTCAGATACAGCACACACGTGCTAACCATTCTGCCATCCAACCCCTCTGCATCATCAATGCCAATACTAATCCCACCCAATAACGCTCTCAATCCACAAATTTGAATTTAAAGCGGAATAGCTCTGTATTTTCCGATTGAAAAGGGGGGGGGAATTTATCAAGCTTCAAACATAATATGTTATATTTAGATAAATGATTTGGATCAAGTCTGGGGGGTTGGATGGCTGAATGGTTAGCGTGCGCGCGCTGTATCATAAAGTCTGTCATTGAGTCGACTGGCTTGGTTTCGAATCCCCGGTTGTACGTGACAAGGAGTAGGGTCGCCTGTCCAACCTCGTGGGTTTTCTCCGGGTCCTCCGGTTTCCTCCCACTGCTAAAGACCCCTACGCGCAAGCGAATTATGTAAATAAAATTAAACCATATGTTAGTCCCGAAATGACCTAGTTTGTGTCCAGTGGACGTTAAACCCCATTTCTCTCTATCTCTCTCTCTCTCGGGATCAAGTCTCTTGCCAACTATATCTAACTGAACAACTTAACATCAACTTAACATCAAACATATCTATCTGCATATCCTGCCACGTGTACATGTTAGTTGATTAACCAAAGCACAAATCCGTTAATATTTATGTTGAATTTTTGAAAATCAAAATCAGTATTATTGCGCCTACCTCTGACCATGTAGCAGCATACCAATGATTTGAACAAGGCTTTTCCATACAGGCGCGTTTTTCAATTGGACGATTTCCACCACATGTCGCATCATTACCATCACTACATCTAACAGAACGTTCTTGCCAGCCATAACCACAATCAGCAGAGCACTGAATAACATATAATTTTGAATAAGTGTACGCTTATATAATCTCGGGTGTATTTTCATTAAAATGGGCCATCTGATTAAAACACAGATCCTATTTTGTTTCGTTTTTTATAGTTCTAAATTTCGTTTTACTTGTCTTTACTACACTAGCATCTGGAAGAGTTACATTACCGGCGTTTTGGTTGAATATAAATATAGATCTGTTTTTTAATCAGATTGTAAAATGGGCCATATGAAACACAATCTGATTAAAATACAGATTTATATTTCGTTTCGTTTTTTATACTTTCGGTGGCCTGTCTACACGACATGAAGATCTGACCAGTTCTACTGAAAGGTCGCGTCAGGGGCGTCAGACATTGATTAATCAATTAGCGTTGACGTTTCTAATGGTTCACCCACAGTTCCGCGCATGGCACGCCAAGCAATCGCCGTAAAAGACGGTTTCATTGGCAAATACCTCGCGCCATCCAGAAGGCCTGTTATATAATAACAACTCTTCCAGATCCTAGTGTAGTACAGACAAATAAAATGAAATTTTGAACTATAAAAAACGAAACGAAATAGAATCTATGTGTTTAATCAGATTGTATGAAACAGGAATACCGAACACAATTTTTATGAAATCTCTCACCTTTTCCCACTCCGACATTTCCCACAATGGACCACACTGCAACATCGCATTACATTTTCTAGTGAGACCTGGTTTTGTATCATTAGGACAAAGATAGTCGTGAACACTGCTGTCAAATCCAGGTGCCAGCAACTGCCAGCATTTTACTTGTCTTTCCTGAAGCCCTGCTCCACAAGTACGAGAACATTGGCCCCATTCACCGGCCACCCATCTGCAACAGAATACGGGATTAAGATCTCAAGTAGCTATCGACATATAAGATTGTCTTCATTCAGATATACTATTCAAAAAAAGTAGGGGATATTTGATTTTTAAGTGTTATTAAAGTCACCTAATGAAACTGACGAAGAAACAAATGACAAAATGAAATGAAGTTCACATTCATCGATTTATTCCAAATGATCGTTAGACTAAGTAAGGCACAGACTGACCATTATAAGGGTAAAATGATACCCGGGGTCAAACAGCAAAGTTACCACAGCATCACAACCAAGTCAGTAACGGGTAAATCCTCCTCTGTTTGCCAAACAAGCATTGATCCGACGTGGCATACTCCTAATGAGACGTCTAAGGTCATTTTGGTCCAGATTGTCCCATTCCTGTTGCAACGCAGCAGCAAGTTCTTGGACATTGGCAGGACGTTGTTGACGTTGACGTAACCTCTGTCCAAGCATGTCCAAGACATGCTCGATGGGGGAGAGGTCGGGACTCAGTGCTGGCCAAGGTAATGTGGTGATGTTCTGTTGTTGGAGGTAACCTGTAACGATCCTGGCCCTGTGACATCTTGCGTTGTCATCCTGGAAGATGAAACGGCGGCCATGACGTCGTGCGAACGGCACAACATGGACTGCCAAGATGTTGTCCCGGTAGTACTGGCCTGTAACACGCCCTGCAACAACATGTAAAGCCGTTCTTCCAGCAACAGTGATGCCTCCCCACACCATAACAGAACCACCCCCAAATCGATCATGTCTGATGACGTTAACGTCTTGGAAGCGCTCGTTTCGATGACGCCACACCCTCCTACGTCTGTCCAAAAAATCAAAAGTGAACCTTGACTCATCTGAAAAATCACATTGCTCCAGCGTCGATTATCCCAGTGTTGACGATCCCTACACCAACGACGTCTTGCCTGAATGTGATGATCTCTCAAACAAGGGATCACGCGAGGACGTCGGGCGCGAAGGTGACCCCTATGCAGTCGATTCCGAATCGTCTGGCCACTCACTCTCACACCAGTGTCTGTTTGAAGACGAGCGCTGATCTGATTTGCTGTGATGACACGATTTCTCAAGGCCAAGGTACGGATAAATCGATCCTGGGCTTGAGTTGTCGCCCTTGGTCGACCTGAGCGTGGTCTGTCCTGTACAGATTGTGTATCACGGTATCTGGACCATAGCCTGCTTATGACAGACTGAGAAACATTCATCGTCCGCGCCACAACCGCCTGTGTTGTGCCGATCTGTAGCATGCCAAGGGCACGTAACCTTTCATTTTGGGTAAGCCGACGCATATCAAAATTTGTTTTCTGGTCACTAAAACAATTAAACTGATGTTTCCACCCTGGAATTCAATGCCACAATGACTGTAACATTCAAAGTCAGAGTCGTGCAAATCTTGGGTTGGACCCCCATGATGATCCCAAGCATCACCTGCATTCCATGCGGTAGCTATTGGTGCGTTTGGGCGTCACATGTAACTGGAAATGTTTCTTCTGTTAGGTTCTATAGTGACTTTTTTCGTAGTCATTTGCATAGTTTAGTATTTTGCCCCCAAAATCAAATATCCCCTACTTTTTTTGAATAGTATATTTGACAGGTGAAATAAAAGAAATAAAAAAATATCGGAAGAAATACAGGTTAATCATCAATCTGATTAAAATACATATCTATATTTCGTTTCGTTTTTTATACTTTCGATGGCCAACACTACATGAAGATCTGATCAGTCGTAGCGATAGGTCGCGTCAGAGGTCATACGAGCGGCTTTTGACCCTATGACGTCAGACACTTGATAAACCAATCAGCATTGATGTTACTAGTGGATTACCCACAGTTCCGTGCAAAACACGCCTAAAGCTCGCCGTAACAGACCGTTTTATTGCCTATCCCTCACACAATTCAGAACACGTCAATGATAACAACTCTTCCAGATCCTAGTGTAGTAAAGATAAGTAAAACGAAAATTTTAACTATAAAAACGAAACGAAATAGGATTTGTGTTTTAATCAGATTGTTTAATCATCTACCTTGGTGGACAAGCATTTCTACTGCACACGTGGTGAGACAGTTCTGGTTTCTCATCCTTGTCACAGTAGGCGTCATCAACGGGTTGATTTGTGGATATTCTATAACAACTGAAGAAACTAACACTTATACCTGGAAGAAAGTCAAATCTCATAAATATATGAATGCCCTTCGGTTTAACCAATGCACCATCTAACATTACAATTTATTCAACATTAAACCTTGTTTAACACGATAAGAATATAATGAGATTTAATGATATTTTGAGAACATTCTTAATTCATTCAACCGACCAAGAAATCGTTGACTGTCCGTTGTACTCCCTATCTCTTGGTATTCTATCTAATCAGAATATTTGAAATATTACTTATAGATTTTAAAAACAGATTAACACAATTTTAATTACCTGGCTCACAGGTCGTGCTACAGGGTGTTATTTTATTTTCACGCCATTCAAACTTTATTTGTTCAATCTGATGACCCCGTTGGCGACGGAAGTTGTATTTCTGGTCAACATTCTCTGGTAAAAGCAAATAAAAATACAATATTTGTCAGTGTTTAAGAATATAAAAACACATGGGGATATATTATATATAATATCAAAAGTGCTTGCAATTCAAAAGTTGGTCATCATCACAACACTGTTTTAGGTACATATATAATATAATAAAATGGAGTTTTATGGCTCGTCAGCTCCAACCGGGCTATATTGCGCCAAACACACAATATATAAGTTTATGGAATATGAGAACAACATTTCGACAAGGATTCTCTAGTCTTTATCAAGCAATGGTAAATATGCCTGCTAACTTACTTTGTTATTGAATTGTTTCTATGACAATTAGCTAATGAATAATAAAAAATGCTATGGAATACAATTACTGTTGATTACTGAACCACAATTCGGCTAGAATCCTTTTGTCTTTATTAAGCAGTGAGCCACGGTGGCTAAGTGGGTAAGACAATGGTTCGCTAGCCTGGAAGTCGCGTGTTCGATTCCTGCATTGGCCGAGAAAGTTCATCGGGATTTTCCGACGCGGCTTCCCCTTGTCAGTGGTGCAGACTGGAGGGCATTAGCAGTTGGAATTCGATATAAGAGTAGGACACAGTGCCGCTGTCCGGGCAAAATTTCCCTCATCGCACACTGTATGGCGTATGCCCGTCTTCATTAGCCCAGAATAAGAGCACAGCAGTAGGACGTTAAACCTGACTCCATTTCATTTCATTTTCTTTATCAAGCAACGATACCGAGGAACTATAGTTAGTACCATTCAAGTTTTTGAGTTTTGATTACTGATCAGGGTTGATTGTGCTTGATTTTTATATCATTGCGGGTTATTAGATAGTTAGTCTTAGTTACCTGGTTCATTTTTTGTTGTGGCAACATTGATTGACAGTTCACCTTGTTGATCATCCTTTTTGACTTTCCTTTGTTGTTTCCTCTGTTCTAAAATTAAATAAATTACAAACTATTCTAATGCAACTTTTGTGGTGTATTTGCCCCATAACGTTGCTTTCAGATGCAGTAATAATAATAATATAATGAATTTATAAAGCGCCTGCATTCCAGTAAAAATTACTGCTCAGCGGCGCTATTACATTTTGTAAAAATGGTAGATGCAGAATAAATAAAAATGAATAGTACATATAATCACAGAAAATTTAAGAAATATGAAGTTATTAAAACGACAGCGCAAGATTTAGATGGCCGTTCTTGCTGTGGTATTTGTCAAAATAGATAATTGAACATATATTGAAAATTTCATTCAAATTACTTTATTCTGAGCGAAATTTTCACTGTTTGAAGTTTCGATAAGATGTGGCATAGTCTGGTTCTTCGAGACTCAACGTGGCTTCTCCATTTTTAAATTAAATCATTAAATGGCGATTGTATTTCAATCCGTTTAAATCTCCACCATCCGATGATCTAGAGAGTTGCTCTGGGATTATTATGTGAATAAATGTCTAAACAATAATTTATATAACATTTAAAGCCAAAATAAAAACCTGCAATAGACAGATTTAGCTCTTACATATTGCATCTTAAAGCTAACTTAACGATTCCAGTCGTTTTTAAATCAGCTAAAAGTAAGCTAATGGAACAACAGATTATTAGATATATGTGGACAGTACCTGATTTCAGTCTCCCTTGTTGACGACGTTTTATGTTTGGACGTTTGGTTATCAATTCTGGAGTATCAGTAACACCCACCGTGTCTGACGTGGGTGTCTCGGTGCTATCTGGAGTAGGCGGATGTGATGTTGATGAAAAAGGTGCTATTGTTGACGTCGTTATAGTTAGTAATTTGCGTTGCTTCCGTTTCTGCTTAGTACTAGTCTGTCTTTTCCTCGAGGCTGTATTCTTATTGGATGACTGTTTCTTCTTGTTATTTTGTTTTTTTCTTTGAGATTTATCTGCCTTGGTGAACTTCTTTGTTTTGTCAACGGAATATTCCTTCTTATTCGAAGGTCTACGACCTGAGGTGGCTTTGGTTTGTGCGTTCTGCTTTCCCACGCCCGTTGAAGTAACGCTTTTATTCCTGGCATCAGTACCTTCAGTACGAATAAAGCTTTCGGATTTCTTATTTTGTTTTCTTCTTTGAGATTTATCTGCCTTGGTGGACTTCTTTGTTTTGTCAACGGAATATTCCTTCTTATTCGAAGCTCTACGACCCGAGGTAGCTTTGGTTTGTGCGTTCTGCTTTCCCACGCCCGTTGGCGTAACGCTTTTATTCCTGGCATCAGTACCTTCAGCAAGCTGGTTGACTTCTGGTTGTCCGACTTTCCGAATAACAGAGGTAAAGCTTTCGGTTTTCGACACGGTCATAATCCTTTTTGGTCTTAACTTTTTTCTTATTACGCGAATAGGATTCGTAATAGGTGTTCGTTCAGGTGGTGGTCTTTTTGTGGACAGACCCAGTTTTCCTTCGATAACATTATTGTAAAGGAGAGTTTTCCATGGGTAAAAAGGCTCGGCTGATAGATTATGGTTTTCTGTTATGCCAGATGGCTCAACTGATGGAGTTGTATAGCTGTACCATATCGCAACTGCTGTCCTTTCCACTCGGGAAAATCCCTGAAAGGTAAAGAACAGTGGGTATAAAAACTACGGTAGCACATACTTATCCAAGGGACGCTGTGGGATACAATCCAATTCTGAAAAAAGGTCAAAATGGCGCAGGTTTAAATGGTGGTTCAGTGCATGCTTGAACTTTGGTCTTACCATGATTATTACAGTTTCATTGATTGGTCCATCTGCTTCGAGTATTTCTATCACATTCCCTGATTGGTTATTTTGGCGATATTTGAATATGGTTCCTGCTACTTCCCTTTGAATCACAGGTTCTTTGGTCCCCGATAGGAAGAAAATGCCATCTTTGTCCTTCATTGCTGAAAATATTAGTACATTTTAAAATCCACCTACTCCATAAAAAGCTTCGTTTTTGCGTTATGTCGCAAAAATTCGACAATTAAAAGGTATAAATTAAAGATACATTATGGGAGATTCGATAACGAGTTGGCAGTTCTCATTATAATAGTTAAAAACTAGATAAAGTAAAGTCAATTTGCTGAAAATTTCATTCAAATTGATTCACTATGAATCGGGAACAAAGCGATTAAATTTCCGCCTAGCCTTGATCATCATTACTATAGTCAGTACGATAAACAGTATAGTCTCGATTATCCATTTAATCGTTAAATCGCGAAGGAATGTTATACAGTAAATCCAATAAAGATCGCAGGCTAGCGATGCCATCTAGAGTTGATTATGGTCTGGATAAGTTAATTAATGTCTAATTAATAATTTAGATAACATTTCAGGCCTAAAGAAAGACCTACAATAGACAGATTTAGCTCTTGCATAATGTATGTTTAATTATAAAAACCGAAATGGTATTGGTTAGTAGATCGCCATTCTCAACAATCCTTGTATTGTATTTGGCGGTCCACAATCTGGTTAAAATACAGATCTATATTTCGTTACGTTTTTATACGCCCACATTGAAATGTGGACGTATATTGCCGTCGCCCCCGTCCGTCCGTCTGTCGGTCCGTCTGTCGGTCTGTCCACAATTTCTTGTGAACGCTCTAACGATAAAGTTTTAAAATTGATATATATTGTTAACATTAGTGAGATGAAGAAGCCTATTTAATTTCAATAATTTCCGTTTATTACGTCTAGAGTTATGGCCCTTGTTTCACTTTGTTGAACCTTGTGAACGCTCTAATGCCAAAAGTTAACATACGATCTTCGTGACATTTATATGCAATATTTAAGTTAGTGAAAGGAAGAAGCCTATTGAATTTCAACAATTTCTGTTTATTACGTCTAGAGTTATGGCCGTTGTTTCACTTTATTGAACCTTGTGAACGCTCTAACTCCAAAAGTTATCATCCGATCTTTCTGAAATTGACATGCAATATTTAAGTTAGTGAAACGAAGAAGCCTATTGAATTTCAGCAAGTTCCGTTTATTACGTCTAGAGTTATGGCCCTTGTTTCACTTTATTGAACCTTGTGAACGCTCTAACGCCAAAAGTCATCATCCTATCATTCTGAAATTTATATTCATTATTTAGATTACTGAAACGAAGAAGCCTATTGAATTTCGGCAATTTCCGTTTATTACATCTAGAGTTATGACTCTTGTTTCACTTTATTGATCCTTGTGAACGCTCTCACGTCAAAAGTTATCATCCGATCTTTCTGAAATTTATATTGAATTTCAGCAATTTCCGTTTATTACGTCTAGAGTTAAGGCCCTTGTTTCACGTTATTGAACCTTGTGAACGCTCCAACGCCAAAAGTTATCATTCGATCCTTGTGAAATTTATATGCATTATTTAGATTAGTGAAACAGAGAAGCCTATTGAATTTCAGGAATTTACAATAATTACTTCTAGAGTTATTGCCCTTGTTTCACTTTGTTAAACCTTTTTAATGCTCGATTGATGATAGTTATCATCCGATATGTATGAAATTTATATGCATTATTTAAATTTGTGAAACAGGTGTATTGAATTTCAGCAATTTACGTCAATAATTTCTAGAGTTATGACAATTGTGAACGTTTGAATGACAAAAGTCATCATGTGATCTGTATGAAATTTATATGCATTATTTAAATTAGTAAAACGAAAAAGCCTGTCAAATTTCAACAATTTCTGTAGATTACTTCCAGAGTTGAGACCCTTGTTTTAGTTTGTGGAACCTTGTAAACCCTCAAACGATTGTTTTGTAAAGGCCCCCAATTACCTACAAAGGAATAAATATGCGACAACCCTTGACGACCGCTCGGACGATTTAGCTGCTGTGGGCGTATGTTTTGTTGCCTGGCAACCTATCTTTATACTTTTGGTGTTTTCCACTGCATGAAGACAAGTAAAACAAAATTTTGGACTATAAATATACGAAACGAAATACGACCAGATTGTGGACTCATACTCGGTCATCATTACCAATAAATAAATATATTACCAAGGATTACTTTACTTCTGGGCTTTTCTGTTACCATAATATTACGACTTCCTTTCGGTAGACCCAGCAGTTCTGTATATCCTAAAATTAAATACAATTACGTAAGAACGGCGCCTCAAACAATACGATATTATAAAACCGGAAGTGCCCTACTGGACAATGAACTGGGCCTCAATAGCTACTCATCTTCTTGTTGCTGTTGTTCTTCTTTGGAGCGATGCTCCAACAATTCAATTCAAGTACGATCGACAAGAGTCTTGACATGCTAGTTCTTTGAATAACTGCGCATCAATGAACCGATTATGGATCTGGCGACACAATTCCAAGATGGCGCCGATGACGTCATGCTCGGTTCCTGGTCCATAGTACGCTCGTACTTGTTTTTGGTAAAAAAGCCCATTAACCAACCTTTATTAACTCGGCGTCTGATTCTACCAGAAACGTCATCACAACCTGTATCGTTTCCACCACACACATTACATTTATCCACTGATTTTGTTGATCCAAGTTTTTTATCACACCCAACACTCTAGAAGAATATAAGAAGGTATCAATATTTATCACACCCAACCCTCTGGAAGAAAATACGGTATAAAATATTTATCACACTCACACCCAACACTCTGAAAGAATATAAGGTATTCATATTTATCACAAGCAACATTCTGGAAGAATATAAGGTATTAATATTTATCATACCAACACAACACTCTGGAAGAATATAATGTATTAATATTTATCACACCCAACATTCTGGAAGAATATAAGGTACTAATATTTATCACACCCAACACTCTAGAAGAATATAAGAAGGTATTAATATTTATCACACCCAACACAAAGCTGGAAGAATATAAGGTATTAATAATCCCACTGTCTGTCTACAAGCTAGTAAAGTATCATCTCTCACGAGCGAATTATCATTAATATTTTCTGGAAATACTTCTCTTGGGCTTCTATCAGTCGAAGTTTTCCACGCTGTGTTATTTATCCTAAATCCCTGTCCCCGCTGTCGACATCCGCTTTAGTGCGTAGGGATATATAATTAGTTTAATTCTAGGTGACCGCTTAACTTATACTTCAAAGTAGTTCCATGCATGCGGATTCGTGTGAACAGTGGTGCTTAATTTTATTTAAACTAAACAAACTTAACGTACCACACACTTTCCCGCAATACATACGCCTGAATCATCTCCGCCACAACTAGTTCCATCTACAACATGACTTGAGAATTTAACCACGGCAGTACCAAATGAATTAAGTGGTGTACACAACAGAGAACACGGCACAATATTATTAAAAGTTTCTGTTTGGTTTAATCCTGAAAAAAATAAATTTTTTATACATTCAGATTAGCTCATATTGAAAATCACTGACAGCAGTGTCATGTACTTTTGGTTTGAATTTCGTGTCTTCAGATTTGAAAGACAAACAGCTCGTATGTTTTTGTGTTTATTATAGCGCATCTACATGTTAGGTGGCTAAGTGGGTAAGACAGCTATCTAGTCGTTCGGATGGGACGAAAAACCGCTGTCCTTTGTCAGGCCCTCTGTCACGATAAACTTTCTCGGCCAATGCAGGGATCGAACATGGGACCGCATGCTTAGCGAGCCAACGTCTTTCTTGGCCAACGCAGGGATCGAATGCGGGACCGTCAGGTTAGCGAGCCATCGTCTTTCAGTGAGCCATCGTGGCCCCCGCGTAGCTAAGAAGCGCTTGGTCTTGCTGATCGAATGGCTAGAGGTTGTGCGAACAGTGAGAGACTTAGATAAATCAGTTTGAAATGACATAACATAATACGACATGACATAATATGCAGTGCCGGACTGGGCCCACCTGTCCACTTGTCCGTGACAGGTGGGCCTAAGCTCATTTAAAAAAAAGTGGGCCTAAGCCTATAAAGAAAAAAGAAAAAAAGAAAAAAAGAAGAGAGAAAGAAAGGAGAGGGTGAGGAAAGAAAAGAAAGAAAGGAGAGGACAGGAGACAGGATAAAGAAAAGATAGGAAAAAAAATGACAAACAACACAAAAAAAGGAGTGTACTAGAATTCTCAAATCCATCTAATGATAGTGCTCTTAGGTCATTCTGTTATCTAATTGTATCAGGAAATCAAACATTTGCCTTCTACTGCTTTGGTCTGAAATGCTTGGAAAATGGGTTTGCGGTTGTCAATTTTTAAAATTTTCCTGGGGGAGAGCCCTAAAGACCCCCTCGAACCGTGCTCTTGACACGCCTTCGGCGGATACTTGTGTGGGCCTTGGTCAATGACCTGACAGGTGGGCCTTCGACCCACCAGTCCGGCACTGATAATATGACAAGAATGAAAAGACAACTTTTATAAATTAGTGTATTCCCCATGGATTTTATAAGAATTTTACAAGTTTTACCTGGGTCGTACCATGTCCAATTGTACACCTTTCCTTGATATTTTTGACCATTAAAAAATGAGCATTGTAGATTTCTAAAATGACGAGATCCACTAGGACAAGGCTGTATAAATATTTAAAATAAAAAATATTAAGGGGTGATATAAAAGATTCGGTTGTGCATAAAACTTTTAATTTGTTTGGAATAATGTTTTGTTTCTTAAACATACATTATGCAAGAGCTAAATCTGTCTATTGCAAGTCTTTATTTAGGCCTGAAATGTTATCTAAATTATTAATTAGACATTAATTAACCTATCCAGACCATAATCAACTCTAGATGGCATGGCTAGCCTGCGATCTTTAGTGGATTGTGAGCCGATTTACTGCATAACTTTCCTTCACGATTTAACGATTAAATGGATAATCGAGACTATGCTGTTTATCGTACTGACTTTAGTAATGATGATAAAGGCTAGCCGGAAATTTCAAGCGCTTAGTTCTCGGTTCATAGTGGATCAATTTGAATGAAATTTTCAGCAAATTGCATTTACGTTATCTAGTTTTTAATTATTATAGTGAGAACTGCCAACTCGTTATCTAATCCCCCGTAATGTATCTTTAAGTTTCCTAATGAATTGTTATTTTTTGTATTTTACTATAAACATATTTATCGAAAGAATATCTTCGATTACATTGTTGTCTACTTTCAGGCCGGATGTGATGTAGATCAGACGTGATGGTGTGGAAATCAGGCCGGATGGGTTGGAGATCAGGCCCGTTGGAAGGCGGTCATGCCAGCTGGCGATGATCTACCGGTTGTAGGGGAAATCAGACCCGGTGAGGGAGGGGTGGGGGTATGGGGGTTCATTTCCATACGGAAATTCACCTATCGCCCATTCTAGGTACTGTTCAACTTGACGTCTGCCGATGTTTCTCCTTGACAGTGGTGCATGAATGAGGGCGAGGCAAGGAACGGCGTTTAATTGTTCGGATTGGGCGTAAAACTGAGATGCACCTAAAGGAACCCTTGGCAGATGGAATTCGATATAAGAGTAGGTCGTAACACCGCTGTCAAGGCAAGGTGTCCCTCATGGCACACCGTATGGCGTATGGCCGTTAAACGTCATTTCATTTGTAGGAAATTCCGACCTCCCCATCCGACCTAAAAATAGATTATCTAATATTAATAGGGAGCGTTCATTTTACCTGTGCATTACAAAGGCTGTACTCTCTCGAGTCACCATGGCAATGAGTAGTTGATACTTGTATGGCGGTTTTACTGAAAAATCGAAACTAATACACTTGACACAATACTATAGAATGGAAAACAATTATTGTTTATTACTGAGCGATGTCTCGACTTCGATTCGAAGTTCTGTGTATTTCGAGTCTATTGACTACATTTACGGCGTGGTTCCCCGTTGTCAGTGATGCAGGGCGGAGGGTCTGACAAGGACAGCTGTCTAGTCGTTCGGGTGGGACGAAAAACCGAGGTCTCGTGTACTCATTGACGTGCACGGTGCACGTAAAAGATCCCTTGACAGTCGGAATTCTATATAAGAGTAGGCCGTAGTGCCGCTGTCTGGGCAAAATGTTCCTCATAGCACACTGTATGGCGTATGCCCGTCTTCATTAGCCCAGTGGGAGCAGAACAGTAGGACGTTAAACCCCATTTCATTGTATTTTATTTCTATTGACCGGACAAGATAATAAAGGTGGATAAGAAACAACCAAACATTCTATTTTGCTAGTTCAGAAAGTTTGCACCATGATTCAATAAAAATGTGAAGTATCCTAAAATATATAGGTCACCCAATTTTGAATATGCAAAGTTTGAAAGATTTTTATATTCCCTTGATAGATGATGTCCTTGGAATGTTCCACCTAGTAGATTTAGCTTTTCAGCGCCATTTGTAATAAGGGACTTAAAGAACGAGGCTAGACATATTCCACAAGTCATGTCGAACGGTGACAACATATTCTTATCTTAGGGGCATGCGCAATAAATGCTACCGGTATAGACTGGAATAACCAGACTGTAGATCTTGACATCCCACTGAGTCTTCTGGCGTATTTCGCTGAACAGAACTGATTTGAAACTAGAGTAAAAACGGAAACGACTGAATGTAAATCAGAGTTTATATACATTCATATTACATTATTAAATGCGTTGCGACCCATTTCTATAAATTTCTAGGTCCCAAATATTAGCGAATTAGCTCCTTTAAGTTGCAAAATACATGCACATCAAGTCACGTATATTTTGCTTCAGCCAAGCAAGAGCGTGAGAACTGTTCCCGGATTTATGTGTTACATGACCGCTAAACTCCGTGATGCGATTCTTACAATTAAAAACACATTAAACGTAGCATTCTTTACACCCAAATCCTAAATTTGACACAGAACAATTAATCGCTTGACTTGTTTTGTCTCATTTAATTAAATCTGCGTTGTAATCGGCTGACTAGTGACACAAAGTTTGTGGTTTTTGTGATTGTTTTGGTGTGTTACACAAAGTCAAGGTAAATTGGTCGAGACAGAAAGACATTGGAATTCGGAGAGAACTTTCCAATTTTATAGAAACACAGCGTAACCATTTATTTTTATTTTTAATATATATATATAATTTATTTGTTTTATTTTATGCTTGTGTGAATATGATTCGTTTTGAATTATTTAAGATAAACGCCTCACTGTTCAGAAGAAGATACATACCCAGATTTATAACAGTTTCTTAATCTCGATTTAATACCGAGGCCACAGGAACGTGAACATGGTGTAAATTCACTCCACGCGCTCCATCGATATTCTGCTCGAGCCTAGAACAAAAATAAAATAGTTTATTACCTCTTTCAATTTTCTATCATACCTGTCTATTGAAAACTAGTTATTTTAATAACTTGAATCGTTAACGTCCACAAACAAGGACGATGTCGTTAATTTATAATAGAAAAAGTGAAGGCCCCAGAACTGACCCGTGTAGAACGCCCGCATTAGAAAAGCTGCTTCCTTCTACACTGTACATTATATATTCAAAAATGTCTCTTTTCTCAGCATTTTCATCTTAATTTCACATAACGAAGGGTATAAAAAATGACTGTTCAATGTTAAAATTTCGATCGATATTTCAAGTACTACAAAACTTTATAAAGACCATGAAGCTTAACACGGGGTCATGGGGTCATGGGGTCAGGACGTAGGCTGTTCAAGATAAATAGTACAGTGCATGTACATGTACATGAGAGCAAACAACATAACTATGTTAACGTATTAGCGATCACTGACAAGTATAAAAAAACAGATTAACACGTGTTTGTTTTTATTTGAAGATTTTGTGGGTATTACAAATGACGCCACCCACCGGAGATTCGTGGATCGTCGTTTACTCTCGTATCTGGTGGGATATCAACGATTATAACAATGAGTTTCGTAAAAGCAAGATGTCATTTAGTTTGATGGGAAAATCGCTAATTTCTTTTATCCACATATTGGACTTTTCGTATGTCACATCACAAAAACATTTGGGAAAAGTAACATGGTTTCTTTTCGTCCTGGGCGTTTTAATTTAACACTGTCAGTGAAGCTCTTGATTGACTTGAATTGGTACTAAATTCATCGCGTTTCTGGCGAACCGACGAATCTAATATATTAAAGTATTAAGAATTATGTGTTTGAAATTTTGTGAGTCTCGAAATGGACCTAGTTTGTGTCGAGTGGACGTTAAACTCTCTCTCTCTCTCTCTCCCTCTCTCTCTCAAATTTTGATTTTGAAATTTGTTTACTTATTTAACTCAGAGTCATCTCGTTCAAAGTCCAATATCACTAAATTTATCAACATTAATCTAGGTCAATATAAAATTGGAAACCACCTTCAAATGAATTAGATGAAACGTCACTGCACCTTTAAGTTTTTAATCGTAAAGTAGAGTTAACCGGTATAATATTAGTCTATCTATTACGTTATGTAACTTACCCACGCTTGGCTTATATAACGTATATCATATTAGTATTCGCGTTGAACAAATATGTAAAAAATGTAAAAAAAAAGAAAAAAAAAAAGAAGTAATATTTGTTATATAAATGAAATGAAATAATATGGGGTTTAACGTCCTACTGTTCTGCTCCGAACTGGGTTAATGAAGACGGGCATACGCCATACAATGTGCTTTGAGGGGAATTTTGCCCGGACAGCGGCACTATGGCCTACTCTTATATTGAATTCCAACTGTCAAGGGATCTTTTACGTGCATGTCAATGTGTACACGGGACCTCAGTTTTTTGTCCCACCCGAACGACTAGACAGCTGTCTTTGTCAGGCCCTCCTTCTTGCATCACTGACATAAGAGAACCACGCCTTAGATACAAAATAGATATGGTGATCTGTGTTCTTCTGTAGAATCGTCTTCCATAGTTTTCTTAAGAAAAACCTACATTTTTTGTTTAATATCATTATAACTAAACAAACGGTTGCTTTCATTAGTTAAGTAACAAAAGTATCAATGGTGACGTTTCAAAGTGTTTACATCTAGCTTAAATTATTGGGACCCCCCCCCCCCCCCCCAAAAAAAAAAAAAAACCCGGAAAGTGTTTCTTTTTCCCTCAAAAATTTATATTTCTAACATTTTATTGAATTTTTCGAGAAAATTCTTTAAGGTCATAGATCGTGCTTTCTAATTACATCCGGTTTCCTTCAAAGAATTTGTATCTGGTACACAAATAAAAAAAAATATGAAATAATTTGATTTTTGTAGAGAAATCCTACTGAAGACTATTACCTTCTCTTGGTATTTAGTTCATGTATTGATGATTAATATCGGTATTTGTACTTCAGTAACCTGTATATCGAATACATTACTTTTAATAAAAAAAAAAACACGTACGTGTTTCTCAATGCTTATCAGCTGAAGCCCCATTTGTAAAATTGATATGCCATAATTTTATTTATGGAAGATGAAATGAAATGAAATGGGGTTTAACGTCCTACTGTTCTGCTCCTATGCTACAGTGTGCTATGAGGGAAATTTTGACCGGGAAGCGGCACTATCGCCTACTCTTATATCGAATTCCAACTGCCTAGGCATCTTTTACGTGCATTCTAATGTATACACAGGACCTCGGTTTTTCGTCTCATCCAAAGGACTAGACAGCTGTTCTTGTCAGACTCACCGTCCTGCATCACTGACAAGGGGGAACCACGCCGGAAAATCTCGATGAACTTTCTCGGCCAATGCAGGGATCGAACACCCGACCTCCAGGTTAGCGAGCCAGCGTCTTACCCACTTAGCCACGTGTTATGGAAGATGAATAGATTGAAACGATATGCGTTTGAACGCCCCAATCTTCTGCTCCATCCGGTTTAATGAAGACGTGGCGTGTTTCATGTTGCGTAAATTTTACCCAAACAGTGATGCTACGCCTTACTCTTATTTCGAATTGAAACTCTCGGGGTTCTTTTACGTACACGCCGATGTGTACACAGATCCTCGGTTTTTTGGCCCACTCAAACGACTAGATGCTGGTCCTTGTCCGGCACTCCGTTCTGCCCCCCCCCCCAAAAAAAAGGCCCCTCTGTTAACTTTACTCCAATAAAGCAAGATTTTCGTTTGTGGGGTACATACTTTTACATATTCCTGAAGCAATGGCCCGCGAAATCCCTCTCTGGCCATTGCTGGATTGACTTCTGATACTTGAGCTTTTGAGGGAGTGTGTCTATTCTTCCCGTTCAATCAAATCTATCCCAAGCACAGCAACATGACAGCCCTTCGTTTAATCTGGGATCTTCCCTAAAACTTTGGACAGTGATTTTAGGTATTAAAAACGGTGAAAATTGTTCGTCTCCAAACAATATTGTTTACATTGTTTTCGATTTGATAGCCTCGTTTGTCACGCAGTTGGTTTTTCTGCAATATTCTGCTTTGCACTGGTTAAATGGGCATAATAAAATCACGTGAGTCATGACGTAACGTTATGTAAGTAAACATATTTGGTCCAATTTGGAACTCTGTTTAAAGCGTAATGATATTATTACGCAGTTAGCTATTGATTGTTAATCGGACTATTGACCAATATTAATTTGGAACAGAAATTTGCTTCTTTTACAGCAGTGTTAAGTGGGATTAGGTATAATAAAACGGAACACCGCGAGGAGTATGATACTTTCGTGGCTCAATGATCTTCATACAATTCAGGGTCTATATAGATCCCTTTGCCTGTCCCCCTTCAAACCAAACAAATATAAACAAACTTCGTTTGTATTAAACTTAAAACCCTTTTATTTCAACATTATGAGGACTATTATTTCGTGTTTCCGGTGTTTGGAGCGTGACCCTATGTGGGAGAGAGAGAGAGAGTTCAACGTCCACGCGACACAAACCAGGTCATTTCGGGACTAACACACGGTTCAATTTTATTTCAATAATTCGCTTGCGCGTAGGGGTCTTTTGCAGTAGGAGGAAACCGGAGGACCCGGAGAAAACCCACGAGGTACCCAGAAACAGTGAAAAGACCAAATGCAAACTTTTTTTAAATAAAGATATATGAAGGAATTGCAAAAATCATAAAAATATATATCGAATTTTGAAGCCTTTCTTTATCTACACAAATCATAATAGAACGTGGATATGAGTACTTCAAATTTAATCGAAAAGACTCACTCTTTTGAGTAATTTTGTAGAATTATCAGATCTGTAACTTCCGAGATTGCTGCAGTGGATGTTATCCGAGTACTACAAATTTTATCGAAAAGACTTACTTTTTTGAGTGATTTTGTAGAATTATCAGATCTGTAAGTTCCGGAGATTGCTGCAGTGGATGTTATCCGAATGCCCGTAGAGATGATAATTAAGGGCCAGCAGATGAACACAAAGAGGTGAAGTTGTAAGAGGGCCATAACTACATCTTTAAACTATAGCGACTAAATATACTACACTCTTGCCGCGTCTCTAGTAAACTCATCCACCTATTATAGTAACAAGATCTATCTACTTTCACACCTGATAGGCCAACATCTTCATTTCAGTCTTGACACCTGGGCAAAAGTACGGTAGGCCTGTCCGAACAAAATTAATATTTCAAGATTGAGTTTCACGTTTTATGGTTTTTGTTTTCGTATGGGGATTATTTTTATGTGTTTTTATTTTAGGAATAGAGAGAGAAATGGGGTTTATCGTCCTCTCGACACTAACTACGTCATTTCGGGACTTTATTTCAATAATTTACTTGTGCGTAACGGTCTTTAGAAATGGGCCGACCCGAAGAGCACTCACGGGGATGGGCGTTCGACCCTACAAGCTTTGGATCGAAACCACGCTTCTGGACTCAATGACAGACCTTATGATCTACAGCGTGCTAGTGTTAGACAACTCGACCACGGAAACCATCTTTTTTTTTTAGGAATCCTGGAGGTAAAATTTGAAGTATGAATGTCAATAATAGACCATTAACTTCTCGAATTCTATTAAGACTTGTTGAATAGTGATTAACAATCTACAGGAATAGTGGTTAATGATGTATTTAGATTCGATAGATAGTTATTAACAATCTATTAGATTAATGATTAACAATTTATTTAGACTCGTTGAATAGTGATTAACAATCTAATTAGACCCGTGGAACAATTTATTTTGACTCAACGAATAGTGATTAACAAGCTATTTTGACCCGTTGAATAGTAATTAACACTTTATTTGGACTCGCAGAATAGTCATTAACACTTTATTTGGACTCGCCGAATAGTGATTAACAATTTATTTGGACCCACCAAAGAGAGATTAACCCTCTATTTAGCCTCACTGTTTAGTGGGCTCGTTCAATGCTGATTTATTAGAAGTCGTTGCATGATTGTTCACAGATTCTGCAAGGACTGCATAGAGGGCAGTATAGCTTTAGATGCCTTAAATAGTCATGAGATAGCCTGTCCAGAATACTGTTTATCGATATTGTTTTGGAAAATTGGATCGGGATTAACACTACATGTTCAGACTCGAATATTTGTTAAGAATATCAGATTTTTTACTTACCTTTATCTGTTCCCGTTGTTTGTGCCATAGCTGTTTACAATGGCTGTTCTACACGTCGAATCGTTGTTAACAATGTCGGTTTTAGAACTTTAGAACACTTAGCTATCGGATTTATGACTAGTTGTAAACACTGTCTCGGGATATTTGCTATTTGTAATTTATATATCAACACGTGTCAAGAGTTTTAATATCTTAGACCCCCCCCCTCCCACCCCACACCCTTCCCCACATAATTTTGAGTTACGAAGTGTTTTCACTTCAAGCAAATAACCCAGAAATATCACAAGCAGCACACAATCGTAACCAACACTGTGTTGTAATTTCCATAGTCAGTGATTCTCAACCAGTGTGCCGCAATATCTTCCTAACTGTGCTACTAAATTTTGAATGGCCCACTAAGAAAATTTCTCACTAAAGAAGCCAGCTATTTGACTGATGAAATTCGAAACACCGCAATAAAAAAAGTTCATAGCTATGTTTTTCTTTATATTGTTTGAGTCTACGGTTGTATGCCGTCTGTGGCTTGCCATGTTTTTATTTTGCAAAATTCTAATATTTTTCATATATAATTGGCCAGGTGTGCCGCTATTTTTTCATGGGTTCCAAGGTGTGCCGTTGACAAAAAAATATTGTTTAGTTTATCTAGTTGAGATTTTCCAAGATCATACATATATACAAACATTTGTGTAACTAGGTACAAATATAACACCCATGGCGCACCATACTTTATAACGTTTCTCACCTTGTCACTAATAAATGACGGTTCCTTTGATGTTTAAATTACAGGTGAATCCATGTAGATAAAATATATAATCTATAGAAATTTTATCGTTTGTTATCTCTAACTTATAGTAACCTGGTTAAATGGATATATATATCTTTCACTGGGAGGTGTGTGTGTGTGTGGGGGGGGGGGGGGGCTCTAACTCTAAAGATTGTTTTGGATATGTAGGTGTCTACGGTTGAAATGAAGGAATTCAACAAACTTTACCGCGTTTTCATGGATACATTTGGTGAGGCGGTTGAACATTCGATGAGCCTTAGTAGTATCACCGAGAGTAGCGAAGTGGGTCGGAGGACCTGAGAAGGACAGCTGTCTAGTCGTTCGGGTGAGACAAAATACCGGCCCCGTGTACACATTGGCGTGGGCGTAAAAGATTATTGACAGTTGGAATTCGATATAAGAGTAGGCCATAGTGCCACTGTCTGGGCAAAATTTCCCTCAAAGCACATTGTATCGCGAATACCCATCTTCATTAGCCCAGTCGGAGCAGAACAGTAGGACATTAAACCCCATTTTCATGTGGTTTAGAGCGTGGTTGTAGTAATCCACGTGGTTAACAACAACTTTTGTTTTGGTGCACATACCCTGATGTCTATTACAGACCTTTCTGCCAAATCCTTTGGAGAGAGAGAGAGAGAGAGAGAGAGGGAGGGTTTAACGTCCAGTCGACACAAACTAGGTCATTTCGGGACTAACATATGGTTTAATTTTATTTCAATAACTCGCTTGCGCATAGGGCTCTGTAGCAGTGGGAGGAAACCGGCGGACCAGGAGAAAACCCACGAGGTTGGACAGGCGACCCTACTCAGTGTCACGTACAACCGATGATTCGAAACCACGCCAGTTGACTCAATGACAGGCCTTATGAGACAGCGCGCACGTGCTAACCATTCGGCCATCCACCCCAATCACCCTACAAAACGCACAAGAAATTAAAAGATAGGTTGCCAGGCAACGAAACATACGCCCACAGCAGCTATATCGTCCGGGCAGTCAACAAGAGTTGTCGCATAATTTTACTTTTTTCGGTAATGGAACATTTATAATACATTAAAATCTGATTAAGAGTAACAACTCATTAAGTAATTATCAGAAAACCATTAGAATTTGTTTGGTTTTTTATAAAGTTCTGCCCCATGCTAACGTTTAGTATACAAAACTTTTAACATCATGGATTTAGCTGTTTAAGTCAAGATTCATTGAAAATCAATATACTTGTTCGTCTCAAGACCTTAAACACTGTATCAATTTAAAGTCAATCGGATATCAACTTTAGCATCTAGAGCGTCCACAAGATTTTTTGAAGTGATCAAGGAACATAACTCTGACAGTAATTATCGGAAATTGCTGAAAATCAATAGGCTTCTTCGCCTCATGACCTTAAACACTGTGTATAAATTTAAAGTCAATCGGATATTAACTTTAGCCTCTAGAGCGTCCACAAGATTTTTTGAAGTGATCAAGGGCCATAACTCTGACAGTAATTATCGGAAATTGCTGAAAATCAATAGGCTTCTTCGACTCATGACCTTAAACACTGTGTATAAATTTAAAGTCAATCGGATATTAACTTTGACCTCTAAAGCGTCCACAAGATTTTTCAAAGTGATCAAGGGCCATAACTCTGACAGTAATTATCGGAAATTGCTGATAATCAATAGGCTTCTTCGTCTCATGACCTTAAACACTGTATATAAATTTTAAGTCAATCGGATATTAACTTTAGCCTCGGACCGACGGACGGACGACAATATACGACCACATTTCAATGTGGGCGTATAAAAATAGGAAGCCATGCATTATAGTTTATATAATAATTTATAACTATAGCTTCATCACAGTATACATGTCTTCTACTGTACAATACAATTGCCATAATGTATTAACAATTTAACAAACAATATACGATTACTATAAAATTACAATTAGTATCAGCACATCCGACAAAATGTACGTGTCAAATAAATATTCTAACAAATTATAAGATTGACAAAAATCTTTAAGTGAGTTGAACCCGAATTATGAAAAATGTACAATCAATCCATAATCAGTGAACAATAAAAAATTAAATAGACGAATTTGAAAATCGCGCAAAAAGTGAACTTTAGAATTAACTTTGTGAATACGAATTAAATAATTTTTAAAAAATAGAATTTTTTGATTAGTTAAGGTTTTTGGGACATGCTCCCAATTGCGACAATCCATATCCCTAATACCCGTTAGTGCAGGACCATACTGACCCCTGTTTTGATAATCAATACAAAGTAGTATATGGGGTACTCCAGAACCAAAAGCTAAAAATAGATTCGTGCGAAATTGCCCCACGGCTTATTAAGTTGAATAGAAAGCCATTGTGACACGATACAGTCGTTTGTGTATTATCTAGATAGTGTGGGACGTTGCAACCTTCTATCTTTCTATTCAACACTGCCCTTACTCACGATCGTCATATAATTTATTGACTCGCCAATCGCCAACTGTTTACAATTACGAATTACTATCGCCAACTGTTTACAATTACGAATTACTATCAATAGATATAAATTAACATTACCCGACTATTTCTCTACGCGCCCATTCCTCTTTTGTTATTCAAAGGATGAATTTAAATGGTTGGTGTAAAGCGCGTTCCCTTCCCCGTCTGACTTTAAGTTCATTAAGATACCGTATGACCGATCTTTAAGCCTAAAACTGGAATATATTTGTCGTTATGAAATGGGTGGGCAGGGAGGCTTTTTACACCAACCCTACAGTAAAACAATCAACAACGGAGCAATTGCATGCAATTAATTAAATAAACAATAGCAATAAATATATAAATAATAATAATAATAATAATGTACAACAGGCGCATGCTCAATTTTATATCTGTAAATAAAGGACCATGTGCTTGACTTCGCGCAATTTTGCAGAATCTACAAAATGCATTGCCAATCCCACACATGGAAGAAAGGTAATTCAAAATAATCATAAATCTCCGCGAATCAACGAAATTAAATCATGGACCTACTTAAAGTATTTTTAACAAAAACAACCAAAGGTAGTATATATTTCAGAATTTTAGACTCAATATTATTTCAACATTCCGACGTATCCAACGCCTTGAAATTTTTCCAATGGATTATCTCAACAAAAAATCAAGTGTCCCCAAAAACGAGCGTTGCGCACACGGCCGTAAAATTATAATCAACTTCAGAAAAGACTATTTCTATACATAATATCATCAAAAAATTAATAGCTGAGTTTGAAGACTGCATTCGCCGTGGCTCAAGGCAGAAGATACACCCATAATACTTTAGATTAATGACGTTGATCCCATTGCACACAAATTTCAATTAACGATATACAAATATCACTTGTGTTTGTAAGCATTACTGAAATCCGCCCTATGTAGTGTTTTTCGGTCTCATATTTCGGTAATCTCCACCATCCTCAGATTCGACATTTTCTTTTCATTCATCTTCACCAGATCGTCAAGAGTACTTCAAAGTTCCAATATTGTGAAAAAAATTTTCTTTCAACAATGGTGCTGTGGTAGTTTATCTATACGTTTATATAATCTCTTAAAACTAATGGTAATAAATCTAACAATATCATATGTACAAATTATAAATAATCGCACTATTCATATAGATATACCGTGGGCACACGGAACCATCCATATGGCGGTGACAATGTCCATTTACCGATGCCTTATTGCACTATTCATATAACAATAACGCACTATTCATATAGAACTGCTCATATAACGATGGCGTAATGCACTTTTCATATAGTGACATATTGCACTATTCACAACGATGACATATTGCACTTATGCCATATTGCACTATTCATATCTCTATGACATATTGCACTATTCATAATGGTGACGAACTGCACTATTCACATAACGATGACATATTGCCCTATTCATATCTCTGACATATTGCACTATTCATATCTCTCTGACATATTGCACTATTCATATCTCTATGACATATTGCACTATTAAAATATAATAATTGTGAAAATACTAAATTACATCACATATAAACAATCTTATTTACACAGACATAGAAATGGTTATTATCTCAAATGTATAGTTTGACCAGCAATCTATATTCTACAATATTCTATGGTGCCCCTGTCATGACACATTTCTTTGCTCATTTAAAACCTTTTGATAATGCCTTGCTACATCAAAGGGTGTCTTTTCCCATTGAGATACTTTCAAAACGTATTTATATACAATTAGGACAGTTATGGTTGTAAAATAAAAGATTAATTGACTTTTATGAAAGTAAAAAACCACTAACGGATAATATTTGAGTTCTTATTTTTTTTTGATCATCTGTCATAGATCTTTTAATTTAAATATTTTAAATTTAAATCTTTTTCTTTATGGTTAAATTTGCTATTAGTATGTTCTTGACAGTAACATTTCTTTTGTTTTGAAATGCACAAAACAATAATAAGTCTTTCAAAGCAAGAATAGATCTTTTTCTTTATGGTTAAATTTGCTATTAGTATGTTCTTGATAGAACATTTCTTTAGTTTTGAAATGTACAAAACAATAATACCTCTTTCAAAGCAAGATTATCTTAGAATCGAGGAAAATAGAAAGAAAGCATTCATATTAAAAGAGAAATATGCATTCAGTAATAAAATGTATTATAATATAGAATAAGAACATAAAAACACCGAAGTAGAAGTATTTAAAACAGAAAAAATATTAGTTATACTTGCATTGTAAAACCACAATTCAATTAAATAAAAGACTCAAGAAACTAAAGAATAATTTCACCTATACATTGGTCTCTAATATGGAAAACTGCATCAGCTGACATTGCTGTTCAAAAGAAAATAAAAAGACACAAAATTAAAATAAGTATTAATTTTTATAAAATAAAACTGCTAGCATCTTACATATAGCTACTCTTAATATGAAGTAAAAACTGTGATAATAAAAAAATCAAATGCACTAACTTGCAGTCATGAAAATAATATGCATTCTGTTCATTAATATATCTTTTCATATCATTAAGAAAAGTCTTATTAAAGCATTCAAAACAAATATTTTGTATGATAATTCAATGCTTATAAAGAATAAGTAAGTAGTTTATGGGGCATTTCATGAGTTATATATATATATAGAAACAGTATAAACATACTAAGTATTAAAGAAAAAAATAAGAGAATATAATTTAATCAGTAGTCTCAAACCACACTCATTCAAAAGTTTAAATGTATATTATTCTGATTTTTTTTCTAAGAAAAACCACTTCAGACATACTTTAGATGTGAATTAGACTTTTTTTAAGACATGTTTTATTCACTATAAATAAATGGGAGATTGGGGAACAGGCAAAATACCTATGTCAGACCCCTATCTCTAAATTAGAATTTTAAAATATGATTGTACAATATAGCTTGTTGCCCTTCAAGGTGACATCAATCAAATACATACCTTTTTTTTCACAAATATGCACAATAAAATTTCAAAAATGATTTAAATATCTTAGAAAAAAAAATATATTCACAAATTTATATTTCCTAAAGAAAATATCAACACATATTTTAAATATCTTAGAAAAAAATTGTAATTTGAAATTTTCGTAATTTTAAAAGATAAGTTTAAAGAATACTGTCTTCAATAATATTTATATTGACTGAACAGGCGATGCCTAAATAAGTTCTCAAACTTTTTTTTTTTTTCTCCTTTCTTAGATTGTAAAAAATACAGTAACAATCAGTACATTTTTCAAAATCACAACTTTTTCGTATGTTTCCTAAAGAAAATATGAACACATGGTCGGGCCTTTAAAATCCATAACAGTCCATCTGTCTGTATATGAATATTAAAGTTAACACTACCAACCAATAAATATGGTTTAATTTAAATATAATATATAAATACATTACAATTAATTATATTTTGGCACACAAAATTCACACAACTAAACGCTACTCACAATAGTCAACAAATTCATCTATTCTATATATACATATATAGTTTATACACTCGTATGTTTAAAACATCTATTTTACTCAGTGGCGTGCAGAGGGGGGAGGGGAGGGGCAAAGGAACCACATCACAGAGACATCCATTGTCACTCATATCACAGCGACATCTAGTCAACGAGTGACATCAATATCACAGTGCCATCCAGTCATGAGTGGCAACCATATCACAGTGCCACGCAATCAGAGAGTGGCATCCATATCACAGAGATATCCAGTTAACGAGTGGCACCCATATCACAGAGATATCCAGTCAAAGAGTGGCACCCATATCACAGAGACATCCAGTCAACGAGCGGCACCCATATCACAGTGCCATGCAATCAAAGAGTAAAATTAAATTAATCTTATTTCATCTTTTTTGACATATTTAAATTGTCTCCCTTTCTCAAATGAGTATTAGAATCTAGAACGTACACTTGAATCTTACGGGTATAGAATGAAGGAGGAGCTGACCCTACGCATTACCAAATCTCTGCATGCCACTGATTTTACTAAACACAAAAAACATCAAAATACACAAAACCCCATTACTTGTAGTTTATGTTTCACTATACCTATTTTAAAAAATCCAACTTTTGATACTTCAGATGCACAAATGCAAATTATATACTCATATGCTATATATTAGCAAAACTTGATTGATTCTGAATTATAATCCTAGCCAGCATATTTTGATCTATTACCTCGATATATTACATATGAAAAAAAAAAAATATTGGACAAAATAATAAATTAAGGATACAAATGAAAAAAAAAATGTATACAAAATGTGTATGATCAAAGCAGAATGGGGAAAATGAGGCCAAGAGAAGAAAAGATAAAAGCACTTGCAGAGCAAAACAGTGAGGATATATGCTAGATGGTGAGTCATCTGTTGTAATGTTTTAAAGAAAAAAAAATTAAGATATGAAATATAATAATTTTAGTCATAACATGTATATTCAGTCTGATCCTAGTAAAACAATTCTGTAAGAACACTTCCCAACATATTCACAAAAAAAACCCAACCTTTCTCATACCAATCATGCAATAAAATGATAAGATAAGCCTACCCCACCCTTAGATTCCAGATCCCAGAAATAATTCTGTTGTAATAATTGGCAAGATCAAGACATTCGTTTTTTAATGAATTTGCTTTTAAATCCAACTTCATGCCAAATATTCAGAAAATAAATAAATATTTTGAAAAAAAATTAAGAATCTGAATTACAAAAAAAATGTCATCACCAAGAGAAAAGTTAAACACCAAGCATGCAACATAAAAACCAGACCGAACAAACTAAAATATTTAATTCTTATATTGGTTCTCTCCATGTATAAAAAATTGCTTGTATTGATGGACTAAATACCTATAAATACAAATAATTAAACAATCCACCCCTAAAAAAATACTTCAACAAAACAACATTTAGAAGAAATCGTCATGTTTCTGGGGAATCGACGAATCTGATATATTTAAGTATTGAGAATTATGCGTTTGAAATTTGCGTTCTGTTGTTAAATCTGTTGACATCAAATAATAACATTAATTTCTGATTTAATATTTCATACATATACATCAGGACACCGAACACCATTTACGTAAATGTTATTATTTGATGACTACAGAGATAACAACAGAACGCAAAATTCAAACGCATAATTCTCAAAACTTATATCAGATTCGTCGATTCCCCAGAAACGCGATGAAATAAACTAAATCAAAGCTGAGCCAATTAAATATGATACAAGAAAAACCAACCATGATTTAAATACCATCACACGAAACAAACATAAACAAGACAAGAAGACCAGCAGACATTGACTAACATTGTCACTTAATGACCACACAGTACCACTTGAATATAACCACTGCCATTTAATAACACAGAGAAACAATAACATACAAATTACAAAATCAATTTTATGCCATACTATTTCAAAATGACATTTGTTTCTTGAACAATTTGAATGTTTCAAGTTCAATAAAATTTTCTTGTTAATTCTTAAGAATTTTATCTGGAGCATAATTTTGGAAAATCAGCGATTTATATTTTTGGGTATTACAGATTCCAAATTTCTGAATATCAGTATTTTAAACGATAATTTAACTTCAATATTTTGGCAACAACTTGTCCAACCTCATTTTAAATTCCGAAAATGTTACTGACAGAAAATAATGTCATCCTAGTTTTTGTTTTGACATAACATAATAACAATATCAAATATTTTTCTCCAAAATATATGAGAACAATCCTATTCCATCACATATAAACTTTATACAATAGTACTCGTTCCTTCATCATCACCAAAGAATATACACAATGAAGATGGACTTTTTGTTTCTTCTCTGAGAAGAGCTGAACTTTCATTAGCGCTAAGAGAATCAGATGAGTCACCCATGGAAACGTAGACCTGACTTGAAGCAGAAGCTGGCACAATACAGGAAGCAGAAGTAGTAGTAGTGGTGGTTGCCGAGGTAACAGAAGAAGTGGGTGTTGATAGAGGGTGGTGGTGGCGAGATGTAGTCGGGGAAGGTGATCGGGAACGGATATAAAGTGCTCCGTGACGAAGTATTCGGCCATATTTGTGGATTTGGCCACTAGCATCACTGGCAGGGTCATCGTGGGATTTGGATCGTGGAACAAAACGAGGACGACTGGTCTACAGAGAAACAGACAAACAGCCAATAAGAACAAGGCAACAAATTTTTCACAGCCTCTCTTTCAATAACAGTGTTGTTAACATGAATTTGAAACTCCCCATATTAAATTCAAATGAATCAAAATTGGTTCAGAAATGACAGAAAATAGGCTGAGTTCAAGTCATAAACATTGACATTTTGGAATTTAAATGGACGAATACAGAAATGTACCCTAAAACAGACATGGAAGAATCTTAGGTGATTACGTTTTTAATATCAAGTGTTGATTGTTGAATTTCAGGGTCTTATATAAAGTTGGTGTTGTTGGTGTCCTCCCACTGCTAAAGACCCCTACGCGCAATTATCTGCGATACCACCCTCAATGAAAGTGGACGTTACGCACCACGAATGAACGAACTTTGGAACCTGTTCATAATATCTTAAGTCATATTGCGATTACCTTCTATAATACTCTAAAGAACAGTCTCGAACCACTATGCACATAGAATCTTGTTTAAAAATCAATTTCTTTTCCTTGTGTTAGACACCTCTCTAAGCGACAAGAAAAGGTGAAAGAGGATATGGATTAATGCCATGGCAAAAGAGTAAAAACCACACTGTTATTGAAGACAGAGGATTAAAAGATTAAAAAGATACATTTATCAAGGTAAATCATCAGCCGAATCATGCATATAAACAGCAATTGGGAAAAGCTTTACCACCAAAAATAGAGAGATAGAGTTTTGCTTAAAATATAAAATACAGAAATGAAGTGAAATATAATTTAAAATAGCCAACAAAAAAATTCAAAAAATAAACAGATAGATTTTAATTATGATATATTAAAATTTTTGAAAAATTGTAGAATATAATTTAAAATAGTTAACAGAAAAATTCAAAAAAGAAATAGATAGATTTTAATTACGATATTAAAAATTTTGAAAAAGATATCTGTAGAAGATGAATTAAAGGTTCAAATTTGAAAATAAAGAAAATATAAATTGTAGAAATTGAGATTTAATTTACGGTCAGTGAGAATAATGATTTCTTAAACCTTGGAAAAATTATTGATTTTAATGTTAATTTAAATCCAATTTTTTTTTAATAGAATTGTTTAAAAGAACTAATAATTGAAGTCAAGTGCAATAATATTGATCAAAGTGCTATTTGAGTATTAATTATATTTTGAGGTGCATTATTGGCAGTGAATAAATAGGTGCCTTTAGTGAATAATATTATATGATATAATATATTTAATAAAGTGAAAATTTTTGCAAGATAAATATTCTGATGTGCAAAGTTTAGAGAAATTAAATACCATTAATGCTGATGCAAACTAACTTATAAGTAAAATCTCAAATATTTCAAAATATTCCGAGAATGCCCAAATAAAAAAAATAAAATGTTATTAATATATGTATATAAATTTTATACATTGTGTGAATAAATTGCAGAAAATGCATGTATTACTGAAATTCAAGTCATTTTGAGTCAAAATTCTGTAAAATGTATTCTTTAACTGCATAAAAAAAAACAACTTTACAAATGATTTCAGAAGAAGCTCTTTGAAAATTATAAATCATTTCTACTTGAAATGCTGAATTCGTTAACATCTAAATTTAAAATATTGTAAAACTTTGCCCAATTGTGTAGTTATTAATAGATCTTTTTGTTTAATATGCATGTTGAAATTCAAAAATCAAATGCAATTGCATTGTGCAAAAAATTATTACTATAACAATAGAGAAACCCTTTTCCTAGAAAATAGATCTAAACTAAAAATAGCTTTTTCCCTTACATCAAATAAATGATTTGAGAATATTCCTTTATATGAAAAAAATATTTGGTGAAAAATAAATAAATAAAAAGATATTGAAAGATATAAAGATAACAATCAATGAAATAGTTTAATAAAAAGACAAGAATTTGAGTTCAACCTGGAAGTATAATTCTAAAAAGGATAGAAGATTATTAAGAAAAGTATCTCTATTTGGTAAATTAATAAATCTCCCTCAAACGTGACTTTGTCAGTAGTTAAATGTTAATTACAATGGAAGACATGCTCTAAGTTAATTATTTAATTGATTTAGAATTAATTAATTATTCACTCCATGTTTATGCTAATTAGTAGAGTTAATTAAATAATCAAATCACACACGAGTTGCGTTAGGATGTACCTTTGCTTCCACTGATTCTGGGATTGTCTCCACAGAACGAGCCATGGTCACACCAGTTGGTCTTCTTAGTTGGAAAGCTGCCTGTTCATGGAAGACAACTGCTGTTCCTGGAACTCTTCGAGGAGAATCTTCGCTACTTCCAGCATCAGTCTCATTATCTGGGCGTCGTCTATGTGACATAAAGCGTCTCATGCTAGTTGTTTTCGTCTTCTGGCGTCGAATCTTGAATGTTTTACGACTTTTGGCATCTTGTCGTTGGAGTCGATGACCTCTTGGATCTTCACCATCAGCAGTTGTCATGGTATGAATTGATGCTAAAAGAGAGTAAAAATTGTTATTGATCAACTGATAAAATGAAATACGTATTCCTCATATCTCGGAATTCGTAATAACTGAATTGATGCTGTCCTTCAAAGATACATAAATTATGAGCTAAATCTGCCTATTGCAGATCTTTCTTTAGACCTGAAATGTTTTCTAAATTATTAATTAGACATTAATTAACTGATCCAGGCCGATGGCATCCGATTTCTCCACTATTAAATAGATTAGAAAGGTTTAGCCATATTTTGATTTAATTTTAAAATGGAGGAGCAAGCCATAGCTTCGAACAACCAGTATGGTGGTTGAAATTACTGCACACGTCTTGTCAAACCTTTGCTCGCAATAGAGCAATTTGAATGAAATTTTCAAATTATCAATTTTATATTATCTATTTTCGAACTATTATAGCAAGAATCGCCAGCTCTTTTAACTAAATCTTGCATATTGTATCTTTAATAATTAAACCATAAATGGCTGACCAAGCTAACATTTACTGCTAGTCACTGACGTCACTATCAGAGACTGCCAATGAAAGGACTGATAATAAAGGGTACCGTAGGCATTGAGCATGTTCAGAATAAAGTAATTTGACTGAAATTTTCAATATTTTTAATCCTACCATTCACGATAACAGATGAGGTAGGTATGATACAACATGCACGCGTTAAACATTCAGCCATCCAACCCCCCAGATGTTTTTAGTATTGGGAAGTAGATGGAGATCCCGGAGAAACCCAATAATGTTGGGATGTTGTCGCAGGCTATGTCACGCGATTGTCACGGTAAGACTATACAAAGCTTGAATTCTAGAACGTTCGATCTGTTATCCCATTTTATTCTTGTCTATCATTTACTTCACTTACCTCCACCATTGGCAGCTTCGGCTTCTTCATTTTGAAACAGAACTCGAGCTGGTGACCCCTGCTCATCAAAACTTGATTGTCTAGAGGCATGACTTCTAATTGTTCCACGCCGATGAAGTCTTGGTGAACCTTCAAAAACAGCTTGTTCTGTAAAATAATAAAACAGATTATAAACTTTATAAATTCTGTTTAAAGCATTTTTAATGTAGATTACAAGTTATCTTACATTTTGACTTGTGAGGACAGAGTTTTTTGGGGTTTTTTTTCAGTTTTAAATATAAACCCACTACAGAAACTTCAAAATGGAAAAGTATGGTATTTGAGTATAAAATATTATTGCCATATTATACTGAAGATAACAGGTAATTTCTCAATCAGGCACCAGGAGTCAACATGTTAGCGATAGATAATGTGCTTCCAGAGAGAGAGAGAGAAATGGGGTTTAACGTCCACTCGACACAACTAGGTCATTTCGGGACTAACATATGGTTTAATTTTATTTCAATAATTCGCTTGCGCATAGGGGTCTTTAGCAGTGGGAGGAAACCGGAGGACCCGGAGAAAACCCACGAGGTTGGACAGGCGACCCTACTCCTTGTCACGTACAACCGGGGATTCGAAACCACGCCAGTCGACTCAATGACAGACTTTATGATACAGAGCGCGCACGCTAACCATTCAGCCATCCAACCCCCTAATGTGCTTCCAACAATAACATTACTACTAAATAAAATATTTAGCCAATGGTACTAATAGTGATCCTAGTTTACATAATTAACATTACAATTAAAGGGAGATAACACTAGTGGAGAGAGAGAGAGAGAGAGAGAGAGAGAGAGACTAGGTCATTTCCGGACTAACATATGCTTGCTTAGCAGTGGGAGGAAACTGGAGGACCTGGAGAAAACCTTGAGGATGAACAGTCATTTTCGGTCTAATATATGGTACAATTATATTTCAATATTTCGCTTTGTCTTAGATGCTTTAGTAGTGGAACAGCTAGAGAACCCAGAGAAAACCCACGAGGTTGAGCAGACTACCCTACTTCTTGTCACTCGACTACCCAACCATTTAGGAGGGAATTAAACAGATCGGTTACCATACCTGGAGAAAGGTCATCAATAATATTTTTTCGGGTGAATTTCTCCAATATTCTACTTCCATCATGGGCCGAGATACGTTTACTAGATTTACTGCGCATCATTAATGGAGAATTATCTTCAGATGTAGCAGATCGTTGAGGCCCACTAGCAGAACTACACTGTGAGAAGATGGTGGCTGAAATTGATAGATAATATTTCATAATAAAGCTAAATGTCTCACACTAATATTTTGAGATTAACATAAGCTATGGTATAAGTAGAAAATCCAAATCGAGAGTCCAAACTTAGGATTGTGTACTGGGGGTTGTTGTTGTCAACTGTCATTGTGTTGTCATCTAATAAGTGTATTCTCACTTCTCTAGCACCACACTTCTTTAACAATTCTGAATAAAATTAATAGTCTATCACCACCCTTCCTTTTACAGTACTTTATCAATTCTGAATAAAATTAAAATTAATAGCCTAGAACCGCCCTTCCTTTTAACGGTACTTAATAGCCCAGAAAAAATAACTGAAATTTTGTAAGAGTAAACAATAAAGTGGGGGACCCCTCGGGACTACATCTTATCGTTAATGCCATCCGGTGCGAATGTTCTTAAAGTGTGAATCCATTTGAATTCATTGGCTTTCCTTACGGCATCGTTTTTGCTGTTATCTGGTGCCAAAGATCGACTCCGGTCCATCTGTGACATCACATGTGCTCCGGTGACCACCGACACTATATATAGAGGTCCACCGCATATCCTCATTTAAGCCTGAAGAGTTCGAATAAGAACGAAACTAGTAGCTGAGAGAAATCTGGGAAGGCTGTTCGCCTATTTACAGATTTTTCACTGAAATTTTGTAATCTAAAAAGTACATAGAAATGACTTTGCACGGTTTAAAAAAATACAAAGAGCCATATATACAGTGTCTTTTATGTTATAATTTGACATAATAAAGTTATGATAAATGTTTATATTCCAACCTCTACTTGGTCGTTTTCCTGCGATATTGAGCACTGGTTTCATTGGTCCAATAATCTCCATGGCAATCTCTATTACAGATGGTCTAGAGCGATCAGGTATATAGGAATCTGATCTCTCAGTAGCGAAGGTGGCAGCTCTAGATCTATAACCAGCTGTTTACAATCACACAAAAATAAAAATTAATGTTCATTTAATAATAGACATTATTTATACGCTGAAAGTTACTTTCAAAATATGTGTTCCTTTGAGCAGAATATCGTCATCTATTCAACTTGCATCTATCTGGAACCAACTCTAATTAAATGAAATATAAGCTCACATTTGCCACACTATTTTTATGGAGAGAGAGAGAGAAATGAGGTTTAACGTCCACTCAACACAAACTAGGCCATTTCGAGACTAACACATGGTTCAATATTATTTAAATAATTCACTTGCCCGTATCACTTGCGCGTAGGGGTCTTTAGCAGTGTGAAGAAATCGGAGGACCCGGAGCAAACCAACGAGGTTGGACAGGCAACTACTCATTTTCACATACAAACAGGGAATCGAAACAACGCCAGTTGACTCAATGGCAGACCTTATGATACAGCGCACACTCTCTAACCATTCGACCATCCAAACTCCCTCTACTTTTATGGAACAGCATATCAAAACAGGTGAAGTCTAGCACAATGCTTAATCTTTTTATAAAGAACCTTATAACAGCACTTTGAAATAATCCAAATTTTATTAATTTTTCGTTCTCAAGAAGGCCTTAATCTTTGAATGAAATTTAGTTTTGAATATTCTACTCGTCCATTTTTGAAATTGTATTCCAAGATTTTTGACTACGGCAGATAATTTTTATTAATAAGCGATTTGCTCTTACCTAGTTCATCTCGTAGTTGTTTGAGCTCAGTTGCTAGTTGTATTAATATAGAACCACAAGATTTAGGGTGGGTAAAGGAATAGCCTTGTAGTTTATCTCGTATTGTTTGTTGAAGGTAATATTCTTGTGCTGTATCACAGTTCACTTTCATCATCTATAACATAATAAAAATCAGGGAATCGAAACCACGCCAGTTGACTCAATGACAGACCTTATGATACAAGACCTGGAGAAAATCCACAAGGTTGGACAGACAACCCCTACTTCAGTTGACTCAATGACAGACCTTGTGATGCAGCGTGCATGTGATAACCATTTGACCATTGGCCATCCAACCCCGCTACTTAGAGTTACATTTTATTTTTGTTTTCTTATGACGTCTGATCTTTCCGTCATTCCAAAATTATACAAGGACTGCCAAATTTTAATATTTTACATCCGTAAAAAACAGCTCTAGAGAAAAAATATCTAGAATATCTAGAATCTCTGATGGTCTGAGTAAAATAACACAGGTGGAATATAGCGCTAAAATCATTGTTAACAATTCCTACAGAGCAATTTCTTTAAAAATCTACAACAAAATCTGTGTGAACAGAAAAACAAACCATTTAAAATATTAGATGCAAAAATCTAGAAATTCAATAGGATTTTTTTTGTAATGTTCCCATGAAGAGAACTTTATCGTGTTCACAAGATTTCACAAATTTGAATGTAAACTCTACGAGTCTAGATCACTACATTGTGAATTATTTTAGGGTGCCTCCTTAGGTCCAAATAGAGAGAGAGAGATTAACGTTTTGGGTCATTTTGGGACTAACATATGGTTCAATTTTACTTCAATAATTCACTTGCACATAAGGGTATTTAGCAGTGGGAAGAAACCGGAGGCCCCGGAGAAAACTCACAAGGTTGGACTGACGACGCTACTCCTGATATGATATGTAGGTTTGTTTGTGATTTCTGCATATTGTGTTTTGTGCGTAGATTTGTTTTGTGTAATTGTGTGTGGTGCAGTCCCCCTGTACTTACTATTAGGCCTAAATAAACAATCACACCAAATTTAATGTGGACATATAAAATGGGAAAAGCTTACTCTGAAGTCAATAAAGGTCTGCAATATCAAAAACAGAGCTGGTCGATGAGTGACGACAAAATCAATGAAATTCCATAATGGTAGACCAACTGAAATTAAAAGATTTATTATTAAATTGGAATATCCAGAAAATTGATATATTTATGCCGATATCTTGAGGTTCATTACACATTATTTGACATCAATATGATTTTGGTTGAAGTGTATGTTAAATAAAGCTGTATTATACATTCTATTGTTCATTTAGTATATTGTTCATTTCTCTATTTCAAGCCTCTTATTAAATAGCTTTACAGGCAACTTGTATATGCTGGTACATGGATAGACCTATTTCATAAGGCTAACTGGTCAAAGGTCACGAGATGTAAACAGGGCTAGCACTAATCCCAACCCTAAACCTGGACCTAGCCCTAACGCATACCATAACCTATTATCTTGTCAACAATCATGTGCCCTAACCTTATTTACATCTCAGTGGCTTGGACGAAATATTGAATTGACCTTAACAAATAGATCTATCCCCGGTACACATGTCAGGAAATAAGACACCTGTCGAAGGCTGTCTACGATATCACCCTTGATGGAAGTAGACGTAAATCTCCAGGAATGAACGCACAAACCTGTTGAAGGCGTTGCTGATCCACTATTTTCGATTTTCATTACGATTACTACCTCTGATTTTAAACACTGAACAATTTTCTGAGCAAAAGATTGTACAAATAATAATACTAATACCTCTTCCTCTGGCTGCTAAATTTTGTATGGTTTTTGCCACTTTATGCCACTCTGGTGCCAATACCTTATCAAAACATACCATTAATATCTCTAACCCTATAATATCAAACATACCATCAATATCTCTAACCCTATAATATTATACATACAGTTCTAAATCACAGTGGAAGATTATGCAAACATGATGATTTTTATATGTGTAAAATGATTATTATGAAAAGAGAGATACTTGAAATGAAATGAAATGTGGTTTAATGTCATACATTTCTGCACCAGACTAATGAAGATGGACATATGCCATACAGTGTGCTATGAGAGAAATTTTGCCTCGACGGCAACATTTTCACCTATTCTTCATGGCTAAGTGAGTAAAGCGCTGGCTCACTAGGCTGGAGGTTGAGAAAGTTGGCCCAGAAAGTTCATTAGGATTTTCCAGCATGGTTTCCTCTTGTTAGTGTTGCAGGACAGAGGGCCTAACAAGGTCCCATGTACACACAGGCGTGCACGTAAAAGATCACTTGGCAGCAGGAATTTGATATAAGAGTATGCCGTACTACTGCTTTCCGGGCAAAATTTCCCTCATAGCACACTGTATGGACTATGTCCGTCTTCATAAGCCCAGTTAGAGTAGAACATTTCCTATTCTTCACCAAAATACGTGCACACCAACTTATAAACCGTTGCTAGCCAAGCACCCCCTCCCGGCTAAGAACCACTGATAGATACTTACCAAGTAAAGCACCCCACTGTTGTAGATCATAAGCCAACTTGTATGTAGGTTTATCTGACTGTGATATACTACTAGAACGACCGTATTCACCAATAGATAGATGTGATTTGGCATTATTATTAGATCCATGTACTTTACCTCCTTGTGATAACAGATTACATATAATATTACATATAAATACAACGTCGGTATGAGATAACTTTGGCATATCTGAAAATATAATAAACAATCATCTTATAAGGTAATGAAATGAAATGAAATGGGGTTTAACGTCCTACTGTTCTGCTATGAACTTAGAAATTTTTGCCCAGACAGCAGCACTACGGCCTATTCTTATATCAAATTCCAACTGTCAAGGGATCTTTTACGTGCACGCCAATGTGTACACGAGACCTTGGTTTTTCATGCAATCCAAACGACTATTTTTAACAGGCTACCAATATGAGAAGTTTACAGATTCTTAAAGGAGGTAAGTTGCTAACTCAATATAATCCACAGTCTTCAACATAGGAAACATGACTTATTGGTCAATTTAAATCAATGACAGACCTTATGATACAACGAGCGTGCTAACCATTCAGTCATATAATAACACTATGTAAGCAAGTTATTCAAGTAATAATTCTTACCTTTTCTACCACATCCAACTCTAATGCACAACGGTAAAATAAAATTAACCAATAGATTAAGTGTTCTATCATTCACATGAAACATGGCTGTTCCTCCACAAATCTGCTCAAATGTATATTGGTCCTGCAATTCAAAACATTTACTTAAGAACTTTTCCCAGTGCAAGTTAGCTTTGACATTTGACAATTGAAAGCACTTATATCACTACTAATGCTATACTTACAAGATGGATTGGCACACCACTGTAAGTTGGCTTTGATAATGGCAAGCACTTATATCGCTCCTAACTTTGAACATCTAAGATTTATCTGCACACCATTTAATAATTTTATATATTAATAATATTAATAGGGTCGGTGGATTACGGTTGGGAGTATTTGTAAATTTGTGTTCAATAATTTTTTGGTATGGAGAGGTTCTTTCGAAGTGAGAAAAAACTGTCATGCCCAGAGAAACATATGAAACGTGGCCGACGACACTATTTCTTGTAAGGTACAAACCAAAGTCAAAATCACTTGCATGGACAACAAGAATTATATAATTTATGCCAAGAGACAACATATATGGCCACCCAAAATGAATACATGCCAGTCAAAGGAGAGAGAGAGAGAGAGAAATGGGGTTTAAGTCCACTCAACACAAACTAGGTCATTTCGGGACTAATACATGGTTCAATTTTATTTCAATAATTCGCTTGCGTGTAGGGGTCTTTAGCAGTGGGAGGAAACCGGAGGACCCGGAGAAAACCCATGAGGTTAGACAGGCGACCCTACTCATTGTCACGTACAACCGGGGATTCGAACCCACGCCAGTTGACTCAATGACAGACATTATGATACAGCACGCACGTGCTAACCATTCGGCCATCCAACCCCCCACCAGTCAAAGGAAGTTTGGAGTTTAAATTTAAAAAATTCAGGGTCAGGAGTAATAACCTGGCATAAAATAGATCGTCATGTCTGAATTTTTACAATTTGTATATATATAGGGTCCCTCATGGTCTTTTATGTGATGGGCAGTAGCGTTAAAAGAATTAGTTACTGACGGACGTAGAGGTGTGAGGACAATTAACTTCCTCAGGAAATGTGAGTATATAAAAAGGGCAATCCAAGGACAATTGCAACAATAATCTCTTGTTAAATACGAAACATTATATTATATTAGATATATTTGAAAAGATACGAAACAGTCTTTGCTCTAAAAACATGCTACATCCTACCCCTAACAACTGCATCTGCATGGCAACAAGTTTAACAACTGCTGAACAAAATATAGGTGGCACTTCTACTACTGAACTGGACTCAGACCGACTGGAACTGATGGTTGTGGCGCCTTCAGGTATTAATGGACCACCTGGTGATCCTGATAGTAGAATGTTTATCAAAACATTGACTAATGTCTGAAATACCAAAATAGTAGAAATTTTCAATTTCTATAATTATTTCATCTATCATTCATTTTTTCATTAGTAAGAGTCTTTTTTTTTTTTTGAATTAAAACATATCTAATGTGTTTAAATTTGCTATGATGTTAACTGCCTGTAATTGTGGTCAAAGACATATATATGTATTTACTACCTCTATATATATATACTGAGCGCCATGGAAAACGCATCACTTAGTTTTTCGTCTAACAAAATGATCCTGTAAACATATCTTATTTAATTTGCTTCTTATTGTGAACAATATTCAAATGGAAACACATTCAATAACAACACATTTGTACACTTATGGATGTTTAATCTGTAATCAACGGTACAAAGTCAGAGGGGTCAAAACCAAAAGTACGACACAGATGTCAGTAGCGCGTGTGTCATCCACGGGCTCTTACGCACGCTGTGCAGCGACGTCGCATGGAATTAACCAATGTTTGAAAGAAGGCCTGGGGCAAATTGTTCCATTCTTGGACAAAGAGCAGCTTCTAAAGCAGCAATGGTGTGCATCTGTGGTCTCCGATACAGACGGCGTCCAATTTCATCCCAGGCATGTTCTATCAGTGCCATGTCGGGAGACATGGCTGGCCAGTCCAAGACATTGATGTTGTTAGCAGCCAGGTAGTCCATACTAAAACGGGCGATATGCGGACGTGCATTATCCTGTTGGAAGTGCTGAAGTTGTGGGTGCGCTCGAAACCGCGGAACAACAATTGGTTGCAAGACATCATCACGGTAGGCTACAGCATTAACACGACCCCTGCAAATGTGTAGGGCGGTCCGGTGATGAAATGTGAAGCCTCCCCACACCATTACACTTCCCCCACCCCATCGATTCGTTTCGAAGACGCATCAGTCTGCAAGATGTTCCCGAAGACGTCTCCACACACGTTGACGGCCATCAGCGTGATAAAGATGAAAGCTACTCTCATCACTGAAGAGCACACTTTGCCAGTCTACTCTTCTCCATGTCTGGTGTCCTTGAGCCCATATCAAACGCCCCTGACGGTGATGATTCCTGAGGATAGCTCCAACATAAAGTCGTTGTGCACGTAGTCCTACTTCTCTTAGACGACGTCTTACGGTGTTGGTACTTACTGGTCCTTGTCTTTCGACGATTGCTGCACCTTTTCGATTCGCTGGGCGGAATCTCTCACGCAGATGAGTGACCCGGATGTAGCGGTCTTGAGCCTGGGTTGTAATGCGTTGTGGACCAGGACGTTGACGGTCACGTGTTGATCAAGTAACTCGAACACGTTCCACCAACCTTACAATAGTGGACTGATGACAATTGAAGTGTCTGGCAATAGCACATGTAGACATGCCAGTCCGGGACATTCCCATGGCTTCATTCCGTTGATTTTCAGTAAGTCTCGGCATCTCTAGCTCGATTCCTTCACACGTCCAACAACAAATTACGACAGATTGTAGTTTCACAGTTCATGTACTGCACATTAAGTTGAAAACATGCTTTTAAAGGGCACACACAATGCTGCACGTGAATATTGGGTTTTTCATGTGCATCTTGTGCAATTTTTTTTTGTGCACACGGGCCGATATTTTTTTGTGTTTGGGAGCATTGTGTGAAACAATAGTTCATAGTATTGCATAATATTATACATACAAAACCACCTAGTAATAAAATATTTGAGAAAAAAAGTGATGCGTTTCCATGGCGCTCATTATATTATTGTTAAATTATTTATACATATTCATTATCCTCAAATGTGCTATATATTGTATGTATTAGTTACCCTTAAATGTGGTATACAAGCTATATTGTATGTATCTATTACCCTTAAATTTGATAAATTACTGTATTATTTTTATGTCTCTAATGTACGTAAATGAGCTATTATTATTTATACACCTCTAAATGTGGTAAATGAGCTATATTTTATTTATATACCTCCAAATGTGGTAAATGAGTTATATATTATTTATATGTCTTTAAATGTGGTAAATGAGCTATATTTTATTTATATACCTCTAAATGTGGTATACGCCATACAGTGTGCTATATACATTGGTTTTTCATCCCATCCAACGACCAGAAAGCTGTCCTTGTCAGGCTATCTGGATGAACTTTCTCGGCCAATGAAGGGATGAAACACCCGACCTCCAGGCTAGCGAGCCAGCACCTTACCCACTTAGCCACCGTGACCCCCCAAAACATCTTTAAATGGAGTATATTTGATTTATTACCTTGAGATGTGGTAAATGAGCCACCTGGAGCAAATGAGCTATATTTTATTTATATACCACTAAATGTGCTACCTGGAGTAAATGTGTTATATTTGATTTATTACCTTTAGATGTGGTAAATGAGCTATATATGGAAACTTTCTTAATGTAGAATAAACCCCTGAAAAAGAAATATGAATCGGTCATTACATAACAGAAACAATTATTGAAACAAATTGAACCATAATTGAGATATACTACAGAAATGAATAACAATATAATAGTTAGCTATTATTTCGTACCTTTCAAAATACTTGAAGCTGCATCCCAATTCATCTGTCTCTGAAAAAAAAAATAACAAAATCAAAATGTAAACTGTTGAACACATATCATAAATGTTAAATTAAAAATACATATCAGAAGTGTCAACCCCCAGGTATGAAAAAACAGGAGACCAGCAATGAAAAAAAAGGAGAATCCAGGAGATTTTTTTTTTCATCCAATAACTTCATTTTTATTAATCATAGGCTAATAATTTAAATGACAGAAACTTTTTTTTTTTAAATATTTTGTGAAAATTTACATAAAATGCTACCCAAGAGACTTTAATACGGTACTCCAAAATGTGTTTTCAGTCATATCATAATAAATAAGAATCAGTCATACAAATTTTACAACTCAAATCTGTGAATAATAGCCAGTTAAAACTGATGAAAATCGTAAAAAATTTGAATGATAATATATAAAATATTTATAATCTTGATAATATCAGATAAAAAGCAGGCTACATTAAGTCGAAAGTAGCAAATTTCAATCTGCAAAACCGATAAATCCCGTTTTCTATCTATGGCTGCAATCGTGTGAATGGAAATCCCCGGAAACGTGACGTCAGGGCGGTATTTTCCCGCAAGTGTCTCCCGTACATAAATGGTAATTGCGCTTATTTCGATAACTTTTATTTTCCCCGCAAGTGCCTCCCACATAAACAGTAATAGCGCTTATATTTCTATAACTTTTGAGTCCAATTATTTGCATATATTGAGATTGATATCAAAGTATTATAATACAATCACTAGAAATATATGTAACTGGAAATGTAATCCAAAATCACAGATTCATTGGCTAATCCCTCACATCCGCCAGATCCTAGTGTAGTGAAGGCAAGTAAAACGAAATTTTGAACTATAAAAAACGAAACGAAATAGGATAGTGTTGTAATCACATTGGCAATTAATATACGTAATAAAAACAATAACAGTTGCTAATCCAATTAAAGCAACGTTTCGTTAATAACGTTGAGAGAACCCTCAATGAAACATCGCTTTAAATAAAATAGTACATATGAATATAACTCACTCGTAATCCAGTTTTCTTGGAGAGTTTCGTAAAAAGTCGATCCAGACGTCGTAATATGAGATTAAGAGCGGGCCGTATTGTTTCTTGTGACCAATCAGTGGCTGGTAACATCTCTGTCATATATCTAAAGATATAATAGAACAGTTAAAAACATTTATAATCAATTTCATCAAGACATTCAAAGAACAATTTTCCTCAACTCTTTCAAAATTCTATGCTTGTGTTAATTTAAAAATATAATTATTAATTAAGTCTTGGTTGTCAGTCCTTTTATTGACATGCTCCGTCTTATTAGCGTTTAATGAAGTTATGTCAGGTATTTCTAATCCACTTAACATCTAAGCCATCTGATAACCTAAAGAGTTGATTATGGGCTTGCATGTTAATAAATGTCGAAAATAATAATTTATATAACATTTAAAGCTAGAAAAACGTTTGGCAATAGACAGGATGAAATAGAAAGAGAGAAATGGGGTTTAACGTCCACTCGACACAAACTAGGTCATTTCGGGACTAACATATGGTTTAATTTTATTTCAATAATTTGCTTGTACGTAGGGGTCTTTAGCAGTGGGAGGAAACCGGAGGACCTGGAGAAAATGCATGAGGTTGGACAGACGACCCTACTCCTTGTCACGTACAACCAGGGAATCAAACCATGACAGTTGACTCAATGACAGACCTTATGATACAGCACGCACGTGCTAACCATTCGGCCATCCAACTTCCCCCAGGGAATCGAAACCATGACAGTTGACTCAATGACATTGCATGGGTTAACCAATCAGCCATCCAACCCCCCTAATAAAGCATGAAATAAAGTTTGAAAAGAGTATAGATAAAATCTGACCTCTGTAGTCCTGTACAAGCCATAGTAACACTATCATACGGTGATAATTTTAACAGGGTATGAGCAATTTCAGCTAATCTCTGTAACAGAAACAAGAAGTTTATGAAATCATCAAATTGTTTCCCTATAAAATACATAACTATACTACGATCATCTACATTCTACAAGGTAAATGTCATTTCAATGCTTACATGTACAATGTGAGGGACATGTTTTAATAATGAGTCACAACTCTAAGAAACTAACCATAAATAACACTGAAATCTGCATAGAATACAATATGAAATGGTGTAAACTATATGTCCATCTGTCACCTTATACTAGCAGTGTGGTTCAGTGGGTATGGCACTGGCTCATTTTTTCCCAGGCAGCACTCATTTCAGCCTACTCTTCATCCAATTTCAACTGCCAAGGGGATCTTTTATGAGCTCGCCGCTTTGTACACAGGTGGACTTCAGGGTTATTTTTCATACCATTTAAAGGACTAGGCAAAGATTCAGGTAGGCCAAGATATAATGGAACTGAGACGACTTAGCGAGTGAGATGCTGGCTCGCTAACCTGGAGGTCCCAGGTTCAATCATGATGTTGGTCGAGAGCGTTTCTCAGGATTTTCTGGAGTGGCGAGGGGAAGGAGGGCATGACAGTCCTGCATACGCCACCTCCGGCAAGTGATTTTCTGGAGTGGCGAGGGGACGGAGGGCATGACAGTCCTGCATACGCCACCTCCGGCAAGTGATTTTCTGGAGTGGCGAGGGGACGGAGGGCATGACAGTCCTGCATACGCCACCTCCGGCAAGTGATTTTCTGGAGTGGCGAGGGGACGGAGGACATGACAGTCCTGCATACGCCACCTCCGGCAAGTGATTTTCTGGAGTGGCGAGGGGACGGAGGACATGACAGTCCTGCATACGCCACCTCCGGCAAGTGATTTTCTGGAGTGGCGAGGGGACGGAGGACATGACAGTCCTGCATACGCCACCTCCGGCAAGTGAGAACCTGGGCTTTAAAATTCCTGAAGTTTGTTCTCAGGACATGAAATGAAATGAAATGAAATGGGGTTTAACGTCCTACTGTTCTGCTCCTATACTGGGCTAATGAAGACGGGCATACGCCATACAGTGTGCTATGAGGGAAATTTTGCCCGGGCAGCGGCACTATTGCCTACTCTTATATCGAATTCCAACTGCCAAGGGATCTTTTACGTGCATTCCAATGTATACACGGGACCTCGGTTTTTCGTCTCATCCGAAGGACTAGACAGCTGTCCTTGTCAGGCCCTCTGTTCTGCACCACTGACAAGGGGAAACCACGTCGGAAAATCCAGATGAACTTTCTCGGCCAATGCAGGGATCGAAAACCAGCCACCGTGGCTCCCTCAGGACATGAACCCAGAACATCATGCCACTGATTACCTTAGATTTTAGCATGAATCAAGCCATTTTTATATTTTGCAATCAATGACTATCAGCTGCTTTAAATCTCATAAAATAAACAATTGGAATTATAACTTACATTATGAGCTTTATGATCAAGTAGTTCTGGTGATCTAAAAGAGGGATCTGCTAAAACTTTGCGTAATTCTTTCATACGAGCTGTGCAACTTGAATAGAACTCAACAGCTATTGACAACAGTGAATCTCTGGGTTTACGGAACTCGTTACGTAGTTCCAGATCTTCAGGGTCGGGTACAAAGGTCTTCCGTCTGCCTTCTTCCATATGTCGACTTGGGGAGAGGAAACTGAAATATTATTTAAAAACCACAACCGAGAATTTATGATTTCAATCTGAAATGTAGTAGCAAGAATTTTACATGAATAAATCAAAGTACTGGATTCTAAAGAGCAATCATATTTAAAGACAAACTTTCAACAATTTCTTCTGAAAAACGAGAATAGAGTAATCGGTGGACAGATTAGCCAAATCATTTGGCCGAATCAATTGGCGCCGAATTGCAGCAGAAGTCATTCGACCGAATGAGTTGACACACTAGCTGAATCCTGCGCCCGATTTACCAGTCGCTTGCATAAACTTTCACGTCACATGATTCAACATGGGAGTATAATATTAAATGCTTTACAATCAATTTACAATAGTGTACTGCCAGCTAGCAAACTGCATTAGAACAAAACATTTTAGAGTATGCAATCACTGTCGAATAATATTGTCCTGATATATCAGTCTGGCAAGCCAAATGTCACCTAGGAACTCCAACTCAATATGGTTGCTATAGCAACTGTCAGGAAGGTGCGGCAAATTGAAAATAGAGAAGGTGCGGCAAATTGAAAATAGAACATCCCAGTAAGATTACCTAGCATGAGAATCTTCTCTATCATCCAGTGTTAAAGAATGTACACTATGATTCTGCATGGGTTTTATATTGGAGTTGACCGATTCCATCTGGCGCTGGGGGATACTCATTGGTCTGAAATAATAAAAATAATTATAGAGATATTGAACATTCTACACTGCATAAAAATATTACATATAACCTGTGGCAGATGTAGTTAAAACCTGAAACATCGTGATATGAACAAAAAACTTTCCTTTCCAAGACAATAGTGGGTAGTTCTGGAATTAACATATAGTTTTATTGTACTTGGGGGATTGACATCCTCAGTATCCTCAGTGGTCTCATTCCGTTCTACTCCACTATATCCTGGGTTCATCCACAGGGTATTCACATATTCAAATTATCTGCCCTTTATAATAGCTTGATTCTATAAACCAATTAAAAAACAATTTACAAACCAGTCTTAGTTGTTTACGTTCTCAACAATATGGTGGCGTGTTCGCTTCATAAGCAAAAGTTTGCAAGAAATTTAATATAAAAGAAGGGACATGGCACATAAAAAGATGTCCTAAATATCTGTTTAAATTGTCTGCGATATCACCTCGGTGGAAGCGGACGTAAAATACAACTAACTCATCATCATCTGTTTAATGAGAAAGATGTTTTTATATTTCATGTCAGTTTTTATGTACGATTTTTATGATTGGTCGATAAAGATAGCACAATCAACAAGGGCAGATAATTTGAATAAATGTCTCGTCCATGAATGAACCTAGGGATTAGTGGAGTGGACCGGAATGAGACCACTGGGGATATCGAGGATGGGGTATTGGGTGGTTGAGTGGTCTAACATGTGCACTTTAGATCATAAGGTGTGTCATTAAGTCAAGTAGCATGGTTTCAATCCAAAGCTTAACAAGGAGTAAGGCCACTTGCCTAACATTGTGGGTTTTCTCTAGGTCCTTCAGTTTCCACGCACTGTTAAAAATCCTTATGCACATGTAAATTATTTAAATAAAATTGTATATGTTAGTCCCGAAATGACCTAGTTTGTGTTCAGTGGACATCAAACCTCATTTCTCTCTTTGTTTTCACCACTTACCTGGTAAAATATTCACAGCAACTAAGTAAAGCTTTAAGAGAAACAGCAATCCTGTTGATCGAGTCTATCTCAGCTCTAGCAGCAGTAGGGTTATCTCTAGCTGCAGTCTCTTTCTTCAAGTGTTGTAAATAACGTGGTATTATAACTTCCAATACAGTCTGAAACACAACAAACATAATATTAACATTTACAATACACAGAACTCCTCCTTGGGCTCTCTATACAGTGACAAATGAAATGAAATGAAATGAAATGGAGTTTAACGTCCTACTGTTCTGCTCCTAACCTGGGCTAATGAAGACGGGCATACGCCATACAGTGTGCTATGAGGGAAATTTTGCCCGGACAGCGGCACTACGGCCTACTCTTATATCGAATTCCAACTGCCAAGGGATCTTTTACGTGCACGCCAATGTGTTCACGGGACCTTGGTTTTTCTTCCCATCCGAACGACTAGACAGCTTTCCTTGTCAGCCCCTCCGTCCTGCATCACTGACAAGGGAGAACCACGCCGGAAAATCTGGATGAACTTTCTCGGCCAATGCAGGGATCGAACACCCGACCTCCAGGCTAGCGAGCTAGCGTCTTACCCACTTAGCCACGTGATCCCCAATATACAGTGACAGAGATATCATTACTTTGTTTCTTAGAATACTGACAGTGAATTGTGACATTCGTCCGTGGGTAGAAATGGGGTTTCACGTCCACTCGACACAAAGTAGGTCATTTTAAGACTAACATATGTTATTTTGGGACTAACATAGGGTTCAATTTTATTTTAATAATTGCGCATTGGGGTCTTTAGCAGTGGCAGGAAATGGAGGACCAGGAGAAAACCCACGAGGTTTGACAGGTGACCCTACTCCTTGTCACGTATAACCGGGGAATTGAAACAACGCCAGTTGACTCAATGACAGACCTTATGATACAACATGCATGTGCTAAACATTCGGCCATCCACCCCCCTCCCTCTGATAGAGAAATTAGAAACCAAAAAGAATACATACCAACATTTGTCCACTTCTATAAGAATCTGGTCCATAAACAACAACAGTCACACACATGTTGATAACATCCATCAAATCAAAGTCATCAGGATCATTCTCATAACAAAAATCCTAAATCATAATTAATATTACATTATAAAGCAAGTCATCGGGATCATTCTCATAACAAAAAACCTAAATCATAATTTATATTACATTATAAAGCAAGTCATCGGGATCATTCTCATAACAAAAAACCTAAATCATAATTTATATTACATTATAAAGCAAGTCATCGGGATCATTCTCATAACAAAAAACCTAAATCATAATTTATATTACATTATAAAGCAAGTCATCGGGATCATTCTCATAACAAAAAACCTAAATCATAATTTATATTACATTATAAAGCAAGTCATCGGGATCATTCTCATAACAAAAAACCTAAATCATAATTTATATTACATTATAAAGCAAGTCATCGGGATCATTCTCATAACAAAAAACCTAAATCATAATTTATATTACATTATAAAGCAAGTCATCGGGATCATTCTCATAACAAAAAACCTAAATCATATACATGGTACATTTTGCACTTAAATCTACAGACATGCTTGAATTTGTATATAGGGGAGTCAAAGTGTTTAAGAAAAACCCATCAAACAAGCTTAAAGGGGCATTAGGTAAGCTTAGATAAATAGCTGACAGTTCTCGCTATTTAGTTACAAAACAGATAATGATAACAGAAAATACTGGAATTTTCGGTCAAATTTCTTCACTCTGAACTAAGATATTAACGATTCAATTTTAGGCTATCTCAATCACCATTACTGACTTTGGTATGATAGCAAAGTTTCGATTATCCAATTTTACGTTTAAATATCCATCACAAAATGTATTCAAATCCACTAAAGATCGCAGGCTAACAATGGCATCGAGAGTTGATTGTGGTCTGGATAAGTTAATTAATGTCTAATTAATAAATTAGATAACATTTCAGGGCTAAAGAAGGAACTGCAATAGACAGATTTAGCTCTTGCATAATGTATGTAAAATTTGTATAAAGGGGAGTTGAAGGGGTTAATACAATAAAGTTATGAATAAAAAATTATTTGATATTTTACCAGAGCTCTGAGTGGTTTCTCCACTTCTACCAGATTTAATACACCCAGATTATCTACACACGTCTGCTCTAAAGCCATCAATAAATTAAACAGAGCATTCGGTTGAACCTATAAAATACATAGAAAATTATGTCAGACAATCAAAACGAATGTAATTAGCTCATACTTTACTAACAAAGCTGTAAGACGTTTAAGTGGTCACGGTGGCTAAGTGGGTGAGATGCTGGCTCACTAGTCTGCATGAGTTGAGAAAGTTTATCGAGATTTTCCAGCGTGATTCCCCCTTGTCAAGGTTGCAAGACTGGGCCTGACAAGGACAGCTGTCTAGTCATTTCGATGGTACGAAAAACCGACATACCGTGTACACATCGGCGTGCACATAAAAGATCCCTTGACAGTTGGAATTTGATATAAGAGTAGGCCATAGTGCCACTGTCCGAGCAAAATTTCCCTCATAGCGTATGCCCGTCTTCATTAGCCCAACTCGGAGCAGAACAGTAGGATGTTAAACCCCATTTCATTTCATTTCTCAGACATATATCATGTAGCAGAATATAAGGTTTATGTTATCGATAATTGAAAGAAAATACATCTACTCTAGGATCAAGTCAATTTTATTATATAAACTTAATGTTTATCTTTCTTGTAAATCACATTTTTTTTATTTTGAGTGAAGCCGGTATCATTACAGGTCCGAGACTGTACAGCACACTGCACGCTTACAGCTGGCCCCTGGATGTATTCACTTATTTGCTACTTGTTGTTTTTTTTTTCTTGCATTGCCTGTGTAGTTTTTCTTATCTGCTGGTTTGTTTTGTTGGTTTTGTTTTGTGTGTAGTGCGGTCCTCCTGCACCTACTATTTGGTTACCAATTTGTACTACCCAGGTTTGGAAACTGATTTCCGAAGTAATGATGATAAAAGGTTGGAAAGTCGGACTGCCCAAATTTATAGTGTTTTGAAAAACAGATTGTCACTGTATTCAGTTCTAAACATGAATGAAGCAATTACTCAGTTGGAAATTTTCAACAAGTACAAATGTTCTTAATATATTGAGTTTTGGACTCAATTTTCAACAAATATAAAGGTTCTTAATATTTTGAGTTTTAGACTCAGTAAAAACTAACCTTATTACAGTCTAGTAGACCACCTGCTCCACAAGTCATATCCAGTAATGGCGCTACCGATCCAAACATCTGAAGCATGAATGGTTTTCGATGTAGAATATAAAACTGACGACATACAAAATGTATGGCTTTCTTCAATACAGGATTTGGTTGATTGTTGGAATAGACACGCAGTAGAGTCGGCATGATGTACAAAAACCTATAATATGAAAATAAAATATTTATGTCTTGTGGCATTCTGTGACATTACAAACCTATAGAGTAAAAACTGCTAGTTTATATCGTCTACAATCAGGTATACGTAGAAACAGATAGAACTGCAAAGCAGACAAGTATTGCTGACTGAAGCCACAATCATCAATTGATAGTTTTCCCATTTCGCACTAGTATGACATGTAAACCAGTTCCTATTAGCTAGCCTGTGCTACAACTTGACAGCCATAGTTAAAATATGTTTTGAATGCTCAGTTTTCCTTGGTACTTGTCTATCTTAGAGACATGTTAGAATTGCTTCGAATAGGTAAATTCTTCATTCTATATCACTGGTATTTCTGTATCCTATGACATAACCAAGGGCAACAACTCTGTTCAGAATCATAAGAATTTGTCATTTCAGCAGTATGAACAATGCATATAACTTTCAAGTAGATCCCATGATAACTTGTGTCGTTAAGAGTGTACAAAAATACAAATTGATCAAGGACAATAACTCTAGGATTCTTTATCTTACTAATGTAAATGACATATATAAATTCAAAATTATCAAATGCATTGTAGATGATCACAGTGTGATGAACAGAAAGATGGGGGGATATAAAAATAGAGATGAAATTAAAGACTTACCCATTTGTAGCAAATATGTGTTTAAAATGTGTACATGTGTTTATGAAAGATGCCAGACAGAATCGTAATACAGCCGTATCTTCACATAATAATATAACAGTACCATTAATCACATTTAGAAATAACGGTAAATCATTTGACCAGTTGAATGTATTAGGCATGGATTTAAACATGGTCGTCATTAACTGGAAGAAGAAATAGTAATGAAGATAATTAGGAATAAGAAATAATAGTTAGAAGCAGGTTTGAATTTATTTTTTTTTCTTGAAAACATCAAACAAATATATTCGTAGACCGTAAAGATTGCACACAACACCTTCCTTAAATATCCTTTAGGCCCTATTTTTCCTTGATAATCAGCAATGGTGGCTTTAAGGAGAGCAGTCGTCAAAGAATTCAATGGTGGGTATATCGCGTGCAAATATTTTAAAATAGTTTGTAAATGCATCTATCGTGTGTCTACAGACCTGTTCTATCATATAAATAATGAAAAAAAACAACCCCAGAATTATTAATAAGTGTACCTTGGCCCAAGAATATGTTCTATCATATAAATAATGCCCCCCCCCCTCTAAGAATTATAAATAAGCATACCTTGGCCCAAGAATATTTATGTAAAGAATCCATTCCAAATAATTCCTGAAATAATCAACAATAAATATTATTAAAATCTGAGAATAGTTTCTTCTATTCAGGCCTGGAAATAATGGTTTTAGATGTAACTGACAAAATGCCAGACACTAATGAATAGTACCCGACATTTTTAACTTAGTGCCGGACATGTATTAATAATATCAATAAAAAAAGATCAGTGCTGGACAAAATGACAGGCATTAATGAAATAGTACCTGACATTTTCAACTTAGTGTCGGACATGTATCAATAATTTCAATAACCAGCGGCTGCCAGGCAGGATACGTCCACATTTTCGAGAGATCGATAGAGAACAAGTTAAAAAGAAAGTGATTTTTCCTACGATCAAGGGCCATAATTCAGGAAATTACAATTCGATATGCGCAAATATCGAAAGGAACTGAGATCTTTGTGTTATAAACTTACATTTCAAGTTTCAACAAAATTGGATAAAAATTTTGACCTCCATAGGATCCACAACCTTGATATACCGTATTTTTACGCTATTTGAGAACGAACGGCGGCCATTTTGTCTGTCAATTTTGGGCTGATTTTCACAAAATTTGAACTCAGTCGTCCTTAGGGTGTAACGGTGATATAATAATATGGTTTTTAAATCAGATAAAAATTATGACCTCTATAGGGTCCACAAGCTAAAAATGCGATTTTTCGTACAATCAGGGGCCATAATTCAGGAATTTACTGTCTGATATGCGCGAATATCGAAAGGAACCAAGATCTGTGAGTTATAAGCATACATTTCAAGTTTAAACCAAATCGGATAAAAATTGTGACCTCTACAGTATTCACAAGCTAAAAACGTGATTTTTCGTACAATCAGGGGCCATAATCCATGAAGTTACAGTCCGATACATGCCAATATCGAAAGGAACCGAATTCTTACCCTGATAAACCTATATTTCGAGTTTCATTGAAATCGGATAAAAATTGTGACCTGTAGACTGTTCACAAACAATTGTGGACGGACGGACATCCGGACAGGGGCGACAACAATATACGTCCACATGAAAATGCGGGCGTATAAAAAAGACAAATCAGAGGCAGACAAAATGACAGGGACCATAGGTTTTGTGCCTGACAAAGCCTGAATCTGTGCCTGACATTATCTGTGACAGGTGCCTTATTTCCAGGCTTGCTTCCATTTCATAAATCTACTTCTGTAATACACACAATTAGTCTGCATGTCAGTCCCTGCATCTATGGTAACACATCAGCCTCAATGCAGATATTAAGCTTTTCATTACGTGGGGCGCCAGTCACTGGGTCATCACGTACTGAATAAACATTCCATGGGACTGGTTAACAATTAGTCTGCATGTTGCTGCATCTTTGCTAACACTTCAGCATGAATGAGGACATTTAAGCTTTTCATTACTTGGGGCGCCAGGCACCATAACATTACATACTGCATAAATATTCTATGGGACATGGCCCAAAGTTCACAAAGCATTCTCAGACTTAAGTTAAGAATTTACTCAAAATAGTTCACCTAATTTTAAACTAAAATATAGCCCTTTTTAAAATTTTGTTGTTTTAATGTATCAAATACATCAATAAGAATCTATGTAAAAAGTTTTGTGTTTCTGGATCAAAGATATTTCTGATAAACAGTGATTGAAAGTTGAGTAAATTCTCAGTTTGAGAATGCTTTGTGAACTCGAGGCCTGGTTAACTGATGCCATTCTATTATTAAAATAGTCTAGAAGAATTGATAGCGAAAAAAGGACATTACATGGAGGCCTGGTCATCACACGGGTCATCAGGACTCATTCTATTTGAATAGCCTAAATTTGTGCCCTATGAACATTAGCATAATCACCACATCTCATTCTATTAACAGAATAGACTAAAACTGAAACGGGCATAGTAAGCAAGAGACCAGTAGCCAAAGGGTTAAAGCCACCTATCTCACACACATAGCCCACATCTTTTGTCTAGAGTTACCTACCTTGCCCCATTCACCAGGATATAAATCAAACTCTGCATCTAAAGCTTTACGAGGAAATGAGGGAAGTTTTATAAATTCATCATACAGAAACGATACATGGTTCTGGAGCTAAAATATAAACAGAGAGAGGGATATAACTATATCATGTGTTTATTTATTCTAAGAAACAGAAACATTCATAAGAAAAGATAGGTTGCCAGCCATGAAACTTTCGCTCAGAGCAGCTTAATCGTCCGGGCAGTCAACAAGTGTTGTCACATATTTTTACTTTTTTTGGTAAATGAAACATTTATAATACACTAAAATCTGATTAAGAGTAACAACTCATGAAGTAATTATCAGAAAACCATTAGAATTTGTTTGGTTTTTATAAAGTTCTGCCCCATGCTAACGTTTAGCATACAAAACTTTTAATATCATGGATTTAGCTGTTCAAGTTATAAAAATTCATTAAAAATCAATATACTTGTTCATCTCAAGACCTTAAACTCTGTGTATCAATCGGAAGTCAATCAGATGATAACTTTAGCCTCTAGAGCGTCACAAGATTTTTCAAAGTGATCAAGGGTCATAACTTTGGCAGTGATCGTAAATCGCTGAAAGTCAATAGGATTCTTCGTCTCATGACCTCAAACACTGTGTATAAATTTAAAGTCAATAGGATATTAACTTTGATCTTTAGAGCGTCCACAAGATTTTTTGAAGTGATCAAGGGCCATCAGTAATTATCAGAAATCGCTGAAAATTAATAGGCTTCTTCGTCTCATGACCTTAAACACTGTGTATAAATTTAAAGTCAATCCGATATTCACTTTAGCCTCCAGAGCGTCCACAAGATTTTTTGAAGTGATCAAGGGCCAAAACTCTGGCAGTAATTATCGGAAATCGCTGAAAATCTATAGGCTTCTTCGACTCTTAAACACTGTGTATAAATTTAAAGGCAATCGTATATTAACTTTAACCTCTAGAGCGTCCACAAGATTTTTTGAAGCGATCAAGGGCCATAACTCTGGCAGTAATTATTGGAAATCGCTGAAAATCAATAGGCTTCTTCGTCTCATGACCGTAAACACTGTGTATAAATTTAGAGTCGATCAGATATTAACTTTGACCTCTAGAGTGTCCACAAGATTTCTTGAAGTGATCAAGGGCCATAACTCTGGCAGTAATTATCAGAAATCGCTGAAAATCAATAGGCTTCTTCGTCTCATGACCTTAAACACTGTGTATATATTTAAAGTCAATCGGATATTAACTTTGACCTCTAGAGCATCCACAAGCAATTGTGGACGCCGGATGGATGGAACGACGGACGGGGGGGGGCGACAACAATATACGCTAATCCCTCACTTCAACCAAAATGCTGGTAATATAACAACTCTTTTAGATCCTAGAGTAGTAAAGACAAGTAAAACAAAATTTTCAAACTATAAAAAACGAAACGAAATAGGATCTGTGTTTTAATCAGATGTCTGTCTGAATGATATGACAACTGAACTACTGGATGTTAATATGAATATTCATGACCTTTGTATATTTGAATAGAAATGAGTTACAATTCTATGCTGCTGTGCATGGCATGATTTAACAACTGCAGTACTGGATATGAATATTCATGACCTTTGTGAAATGAAATGAAATGGGGTTTATTGTCCTACTGTTTTGCTCCGAACTGGGCTAATAAAGACGGGCATACGCCATAAAGTGTGCTATAAGGAAAATTTTGCCCGGACAGTGCCACTACGGCCTACTCTTATATCACATTCCAACTGTCAAGGGATCTTTTACGTGCACGTCAATGTGTACACAGGACCTCAGTTTTCCGTTTCATCCGAATGACTAGACAGCTGTCCTTGTCAGGCCCTCCGTCATGACCTTTGTATACTCGAATAGTAATGAGTTACATTAGTATGCAGCTGTGCACGGAAGCCTAATATTTACCTGATGTACTGGTGTACTCGAGAGAACTGTATTAGTAAATAATGTTTTACCAATCTCAACAAACTTCAAAGTAAATACCTGTTGAAAAAAAATAATTGAAGTTAAAGATACATTATGTTAAAATTAGATAAAGAGCTGGCCATTCTTGCTGTAATACATACAAAATTGATAATGAAAAATTAATATATTCAAAATTTTTGACTGTTTGAAGATATAGCGTAGATCCTTTATTATCGTAGCAATGTTACTTGACAACGGAGACTTCACCACAATTGTCCACTTTATCATTAAATTTTTAAATTTAGCAAATGTTTAATCCATCGAAATCTCAGTCATCCGTTGTCCTAGAGAGTTGATTATAGGCTTGTCATGTGAATAAATGTTTAAATAATAGTTCATATAACATTTGAAGTCAAAGAAAGACCTGCAACAGGCATGATGTTAACCCCATTTCATTATGTCAACTACAAAAGTATTTATATAATACGAGCCACAGTGATATAGTCAGTAAGATGTTAGGTCGCTAACCTGGAGGTCCCGTGTTCGATCCCGATCCTCCCGTTGTTGGCTGAGAAACTTTATCTGGATTTTCCGACCTGGTTCCTCCTTGTCAGTGGTGATGGGACGAATAACCGAGGTCCTTTGTATACATTGTCGAGCACGTAAAATAACCCTTGGAAGTTAAAATTCTATATAAGAGTATATCGTAGCGTCGCTGATTGGGCAATAATTTCCCTCATAGCACGCTGTATGGCTCAGTCGGAGCAGAACAGTAGGATGTTAAACCCCATTTCAATTAATCTAATTTTTATATAATATCACTAAAGACATATATTATAATATAAATACAGCGTTCGTTTATATTCATGGATATAAAACAGTTATTATGAATTGAAATAATATGGGGTTTAACGTCCTACTGTTCTGCTCCGACTGGGCTAATGAAGACGGGCATATGACATACAGTGTGCTATGAGGGAAATTTTACCCGGACAGCGGCACTACGGCCTACTCTTATATCGAATTCCAACTGTCAAGGGATCTTTTACGAGCACGTCAATGTGTACACGGGACCTCGGTTTTTCGTCACATCCAAATGACTAGACAGCTGTCCTTGTCAGACCCTCCGTTCTGCACCACTGACAAGGGGAAACCACGTCTGAAAACCTTGATGAACTTTCTCGGCAGGGATGCAGGGATCTTTTTTTTTTGTCCCATCCGAACGATTAGACAGCTGTTCTTGTCAGACCCTGTCGGAAAGTATAAAACGGTTATTATAGTTTATATAATCATTTTGTTGGAGAGTAACTTACTCGTTTCTGTAAAGCCATGTCAGCTGTGTCAGGGTTCATGTGAGTCAGACTCAACTGTGGGTAAAAGTTCCGTCGGAAAAAGTAGAAATCTCTCACATACGAATTAAGATTCTGAATTTGATCTGAAAGAGAAAATGGTATTATTTTTGTTAAAATCTCAGCATATCAAGCTATCATTTTCCATTTCTCAAACATCTGAAGAGTGAAATCAAAGCAAATCTTCGACTGAGCACGCTGATGTTAGGTTCCCACTATCACGATTCACGCTACGATTGAAATCGTTGAGTAATCGCGGTGATCCTATCATGTCTTATCATATATTGAGGTCAATCGTACCAATCATGATGATCGTATCGAAACTTATCCGAACATATCTGCACCTACCAGATCGTGGACTTAACCCTTAACCGGTCATTGTTGACATTAACCGCAACATTAAACTGCTAGGGTTTAACGTCCTACTGTTTTGCTCCAAACTGGGCTAATGAAGACGGGCATACGCCATACAGTGTGCTATGAGGGAAATTTTGCCTGGACAGCGGCACTATAGCCTACTCTTTTATCGAATTCCAACTGTCAAGGGAATCTTTTACGTGCACGTCAATGTGTACACAGACTTCGGTTTTTCGTTTCATCCGAATGACTAGACAGCTGTCCTTGTCAGGCCCTCCGTCCTGCATCACTGACAAGGGGAAACCACGCTGGAAAATCTAGATAAACTTTCTCAGCCAATGCAGGGATCGAACACCCGACCTCCAGGCTAGCGAGCTAGCGTCTCACCCACTTAGCCACCGTGACCCCCACAATGTGAAGAGGAGAATGTTGCCCAGATAGTGGTGCTTTAATCTACACTTCATCAAAATCAAACTGTATATGATACGCGCATGTCAGCCTAGGTTGACATGTTGGGTGCTCTGTTTTTTTATCCCATCCAAAACACTAGGTACACTTTCCACACTAGCCAGAAGTCTCGACCAGTGTTTTGCTCTAGATTTAGCAACAGAGTGTAATGTTCAACTTAAAAACATATTCAATCAAATTAAATTTGTTGAGATTCTCGACCAGTGTTTTGTTCTAGATTTAGCAGCAGAGTGTAATGTTCAACTTAAAAACATATTCAATCAAATTATATTTGTTGAGATTCTCAACCAGTGTTTTGTTTTTGATTTAGCAGCTTAGTGTAATGTTCAACTTAAAAACATATTCAATCAAATTAAATTTGTTGAGTAAAGTCAATTCTTAATTTCCTTTTTTAACACATAAGACAGTTGTTCTCAACATTTTCTTGTCATCGGCACACCATGGAACACATGAAAAATAAAAACATGGTAAGTCAGACGGCATACAACTGTAGACATAGACTAGCCATAGACATATAGAATGACTAAATAAAGAAAAACATAGCTTATCAGTAGACACCAGTGAAAACACAATTTGGATCACATGGTTTTCGCATTTTCTTAGCGTGCCATTCAAAATTTCGCAGCACACTGGTTGAGAATCACTGATATAAGACAACTTAAAACAACAAACACTGGCCACTCTTGATCCAGATTTTAGTACATCTACTAGAAAAGTTCTACCTACTTGTTTTAGTATCAACGAGAAAGTATTCATTCTGTTGATCTTCAGGTATATTAAAGAATTCCAAAGCTTCTGTAAGTATCTGTGAGAATTGAGTATCTTCGTGTATTGGTAACTGTGATGGGATACTGGATAGATCCGGACCATGGACGAGTATCTTTTTAGCATTGGCTACATTAGCTGATATCAGTAGGTAGGGCTGGATGATAGTGAAGAAAATATTTAAATATTTCATTTCATACAAGTAAAACTTCTTAGGCCTTTAGTTCATCCTAGGGCTAACATAAACATAACATGCACCAACCAGTGACAGTCGTTTGGGTTATTGTAATTTTTTAAGCATTTTGTCTCGATGAACATAATCCCTATGCGGACAGATAGGAAGTCGGTACCATTGAGTTAAAAAATGGTGACGTTATGTCTCTACAACGTCATGACGTTACTGTGATGTCACAACAGCATATCAGATGTCGCATTTCTTTCAAAATTAGTCCATTTATGCATGTTAGCACTAGAAACGAATTCTGATTCAGAGAAGAGGATTTGCCCATTATGGGCACAAGAACAATGTGTTACAATAATTTAGAAGGAAGCTAAAAGTATATAAATATGGCTGCATTGTCGAAAGGTGATACTATTACAGTAGCCGTAGGAACACAGATTCATTTTAATTGTTGACAAAAATAGCCTACGTCAATAAAAAGAAATGAAATGAAATGGGGTGATACATACGTCCTACTGTTCTGCTCTAACTGGGCTCCATCAGTATGCTATGAGGGGAATTTTGCCCTGCAGTGGCACAAAAGCACTCTTATATCGAATTCCAACTGCAAAGGGTTCTTTTACTGGAGAAGTGCATTAAAGGTTGAATGGGCGGGGCTGACCAATTTTCATATTTGGGCCACTCAGAAGTAGGTTAATCCCCAAAATCATCATAAGGATTCATATTTTGACACAGGTGTACTCGAGATGTGTTACAAAAAAACAAAAGATAGGTTGCCAGGCAACGAAACATACGCCCACAGCAGCTAAATCGTCTGGGCAGTCAACAAGAGTTGTCGCATATTCTTACTTTTTTCGGTAATGAAACATTTATAATACACTAAAATCTGATTAAGGGCAACAACTCATGAAGTAATTATCAGAAAACCATTAGAATTTGTTTGGTTTTTATAAAGTTCTGCCCCATGCTAACGTTTTGTATTCTGAAAACCAATAGGCTTCTTTGTCTCATGACCTTAAACACTGTGTATAAATTTAAAGTCAATCGAATATTAACTTTAGCCTCTAGAGCGTCCACAAGATTTTTTCAAAGTGATCAAGGGCCATAACTCTGGCAGTAATTATCGGAAATCACTGAAAATCAATAGGCTTCTTTGTCTCATGACCTTAAACACTGTGTATAAATCTAAGGTCAATCGGATATTAACTTTGGCTTCTAGGGCGACCACAAGATTTTTTTAAGTGATCAAGGGCCATAACTCTGGCAGTAATTATCGGAAATCGCTGAAAATCAATAGGCTTCTTCGTCTCAAGACCTTAAACATTGTGTATAAATTTAAGGTCAATCGGATATTAACTTTGGCCTCTAGAGCGTCCACAAGCAATTGTGGACGCCGGACTGACGGACGACCGACGGACGGACGGACGGGGGCGACGACAATATACGACCACATTTCAATGTGGGCGTATAAAAACAATTTTGGCTGTTATGCAAAAGCGTCCCATGGTAGTGTTCCTAAAAGCTACACTTAAAAAGTCACCTGCCCAGGCCTTAGTGATATGGAGTCCTGACCCGTTCTCGTTCCATTTGATGCTATCGTCAACGTCAGGGTATCTAATCCAGCATCTGACTATGGTTCTGTAGGAAAGTTTGAGTAGGGAGAATTTGTTTGAAGAAATGTTTAGTGGGTGCCGAAGTAAGTATTTTGAACTTGGGTGGACACTCACCACGTGGTAGGTTATTCCACAATGACGTCATCAATAATGGCCGCTGATATTATATCAATTTTATCCTACCCGCTCTAGTTTTCCGTCAATTTCTATGAAATAAAGGCCAGAATGAAGCTGTTTATTTGAACTGATTTGAAGAACATATTTTTGGACCCACAAAACGCCACTATAAAGTAATGCTTTTGTGGACACCACCAGGGGGTGCTGTTCACATTACCGCGAAAGTTGGTTTTGTAACAAATGGGTACATCTACGAAACTGGTGTCAAAATATAAATCTTTCTGATGATTTTTGGGGCAAATGTCAAAATTGATCAGCCCCACCCAATAAAAGACCTCTTGGCGGATGAAATTCGATATATGAGTAGGTTGTTGCGCCATTGCAGGGCAAATTTTCCCTCATAGCACCTTAAGGGAGCCAAATCGGAGCAGAACAATAGGATGTATAACCTCATTTTATTTCATTTCTGCAACAATTGAAATGAATCCGTCTTCCTGCAGCTACTCTGATAGTATTACCTATCGGCAATGCAGCAGTAGTTATACTTTTAGCCCACCCGCCTCTCCGTAATTGTAACACATTGTTCTTCTTTATCAACTCAACATAATGGTGGGCATGCACTCTTTTCTGCATCAGCATTCATTTCTGCCGTTAAGATGGTGTAAACTGACTAATTTTGGAAGAAATGCGACGTCTGATATGCCTTTGTGACATTGCAGCGACGTCATGACGTCATAGAGACAAAACGTCGCAATTTTTGGACTCGCTGATACCGACTTCCTATCTGTCCGCAATACATTTATGGTGTCTAAATCCAATAGTTTTAGAGATATTTGAAATTTTTGATCGACAGCCACAATCTTGGATTTGCCCCCCCCCCCGTCCTTATTTGGACTCCGATTTTGGTAAACTTTCTTTTCCTTACTTAGGACATCATAATGAGTCAATAGAAACCAAAAAACCTTTTGTTGCAATTTGTTCTATGTCAAACGTTAGTTTGACCAGCCTACCACGCCAGTTGACTCAATGACAAGCCTTATAATACGGCACGCACGTGCTAACCATTCGGCCATCCATCCCCCCCTGTATATAAACGTAATGAATTAAATCATGCTATAATCACTCCTAATACTTACATCACATTGTTCTTTCTTCAGGGTTTGTTTCAGATCTTTAAAATAGATTCCTTCAACAGACGGTATGACTAAATTTAGTAGTGAGAGGGCGCCGGCTATAGCTTCCTGTCCACCTTCACATGGAGAACGAGCATAAAACATCACAAAACCAATCTGAAATATAGCAAACAGAGAACATGTACTGTATATAAAACCCATCTGAAATATAGCAATAAACAGAGCATGTAGTTACTGAAAACCTGAACTGAAATGTACCATCTAGCTAGCTGGCCATACAGGGCCTGAACTAGTTATATATGATATGAGCTGAACTTATCAGCTAGTTGTAATGAGCATGAATTAATATAAACTCACCAACTAGCCATATACAGCGAATGTGCTGATTTTACCAGATAGCTAAATACATTTAGAGTATGTGCTGATGAGTTTACCAGATAGCTACATATACTGATGTCCAAAAGAAAGTATACAGACTAAAAGTATGACTAAGTTTTGTTTAGATTAAAAACATTTGATAAAGCAAGTTTGTCTCTTGCGTCCAAACTCAACATTTCTAAGCAAAATAAAAATGTGAAACAAATTGACATTCTACCCAAATACCGTATACCATGGAAAAACGACTTTGGTTGATGCAGCACAAAATGCACAGTGTATACTTTCTTTTGGACATTAGTATATATATAGAGGATGTGCTGAGTTTACCAGATAGCTAAATAAATTTAGGAGATGTGTTGAGTTTACCAAATAGCTAAATACATTTAGAGGATGTGCTGAGTTTACCAGATAGCTAAATACTTTTAGAGGATGTGCTGAGTTTACCAGATAGCTAAATACTTTTAGAGGATGTGCTGAGTTTACCAGATAGCTAAATACTTTTAGAGGATGTGCTGAGTTTACCAGTTAGCTAAATACTTTTAGAGGATGTGCTGAGTTTACCAGATAGCTAAATACATTTAGAGGATGTGCTGAGTTTACCAGATAGCTAAATACTTTTAGAGGATGTGCTGAGTTTACCAGTTAGCTAAATACATTTAGAGGATGTGCTGAGTTTACCAGATATCAGGGCTGTCGGTAATTTTTCACAGATGATTAGCAGCACTGCTAATCAAAAAGTCCAATATTGTGAAGTCCCACTCATTTTAATTCTTATTTCTTCGTTAGAAAACAATTTTGTCTGCTTTTTATCGTGTGTTACTATTTCTTTTTCAATCGGACGCACACAGTTTTTTTACGAATAATCTTGATTAACTAGCAGACACGATATAAACAATAATATTTTACGGGAATTCTTACTTTGATTTCTCATTTTATAATACGTTTACACGTATTTATTTTTTATATTTTACTAACAATACGTGGGGGATAAACTGACTGAATTTATTTTTTTAAAATTGAATACTGATATAATTACTCGAAATTGTGATGTCTTGCAACATGAGTGGTAATACTTGATTCCCTATTTCTGGTTTAATAGTCCCAATTCATAGAGTTATGTCCCTGTATAATATAGTATAATGAATTGAGTCTGGGTAGTTGAGAAGAAAATGTTACATGGAGAATTCAGTTTTGCTTATAAAATTTATTTGATATTTTATACACGTTGAAAGTGTTGAGAAATGTGGATAAATCTTTGTGTCAATAATATCCAAAATGAAAGGCATACTGGTTGTCAGCAGCCCTGCCAGATAGTAACATGCATTTAGAGGATGTGCTGAGTTTACAAGATAGCTATATACATTTAAAGGATGTGTTGAGTTCAGTGGCTGCGCCAAGGGGGGGGGGGGGGCCCCCATAAATCTGTTCTGTCCTGTGTTGCCCCCACCCCCAATAATTTTAGAAAAAAAAAAAGTATTTGGTCGCGACAGACTGCATCTGATAAGCTCTATTTATCTCTAATTGGTGCCTGAATACTGTCAGACAGCATTTCCGACAGTCTATTTTTCAAAATTTTCTTAGGGAGGTTCCCAATACCCACCACAAGGACTCGCTTCTTCGTTGAGTTTCGTAAGTCTGTTCCTTTGACATTTTGTTCTCTGATCGGATAAACTAGTGATCAGGCAACGGACGGTACCTGGTCAGATCTATTTATCTCGAGGATCGGTGCCTGACTGAATACTGTCAGACATTATTTCTGGCAGTTTATTTTTCAAAATTTTCTGGGGGAGATCCCCCATACCCTCCGTAAGGATTCCCTACTTTGGCGCACATGAGTGGGCTATGTCGAGGTTCGCAAGTCCGTTTGTTTGACACTTTACCTCAACAATCAGTGCCTGAAATACTGCCAGGGTGCATTTCCGGCAGCCTGATTTTTTAAATCTTCTGGCGGAGCCCCCCTACCCCTTGTTGAAGCCCGTGTCTTTGCCCCCTTAACCTTGGACTTTGCCCCAGCTTGATACATAAATGAAATATGTCTAAAAATACATGTGTAGACAATTATAGTACAGTGCAATACATAACATACTTAAATATATAATATACACTCCAACAGGGTTGATCATCAAATTACACAGAATATTCTTCTTTTTTTTTTTTTTTTAAAAATGACCTAATTTCACAGTATATTCTTCTTTATGTATAAAATGCAGATCAGAGTACACATGTGCTGTACTTTGTTCGGAGGGGGGAGGGGGGAGTTTGCTTTGTGTCGTACCTTTATAATTAAATTTCATATTTCCATTTGTTTACGATTGTCTTGTTGCCAACAAACAAATCCAACTCTGTCTTTGACACAGTCCTCATTAAGTTGAGGAACTGATCTTTATTTGGGAATTTATTTTTAATTTTACATTCATAGATGTAATATTTTGTAAGGAGGATGAGGTGATTTACAAATAACCATTCATGTTTGTCATTAAACATTTCTATATTATATACTCCTAGATGTATTGATTCTTGACAGATTATGGTGTTAATATTGTTTTTAATATAATTTCAGACAAACTGGTTAATATTGTTTGTGTTACAGGACATAAGTAGAATAAATGTTCCTGGGTTTCAAGGCATGAGTCACAGAGGGCACAAAGAGAACTCTCAGTAAATTTGACTTTACATAGCTTTGTATTAGTGTATATCCTTCGATTTTATCTCAAATAACGTTTTGTCATATATACTGTTCAAAAAAAGTAGCGGATATTGTAATGCAAATACCTATGCAGCAGGTTGTGATATGATTAGTCATGGACATTTGACATGCTTTGAGAGTATGTTCACAGATGAAGAACTTATCGCCCCAACAGAACCACTGAGCTGCACATGCGACACGCAATAGCGCCATACACGTGGGAGGGGGTTCATTGTCAAATTTGACACTTCGAGGAAGGGTTGATGAAAACTGCCGTGTGCCGGTTTATCTATCCATGTTTGCTTTCCTATCGGTTCTTGCATAAGATTTACTGTTTAGCGTATCTTTGCTTTAGTGTGTTACATTTAATTTGATTGGAGATGTGGACGCCATATCGTCTGGGCAGTCAACAAGAGTTGTCGCATATTTTTACTTTTTTCGGTATGAAACATTTATAATACATTAAAATCTGATTAAGAGTAACAACTCATTAAGTAATTATCAGAAAACCATTAGAATTTGTTTGGTTTTTATAAAGTTCTGCCCCTTGCTAACGTTTAGTATACGAAACCTTTTAACATCATGGATTTACATGTAGCTGTTCAAGTTATAAAAATTCATTGAAAATCAATATACTTGTTCGTCTCAAAACCTTAAACTCTGTGTATCAATCTGATGTCAATCGGATGATAACTTTAGCCTCTAGAGCATCACAAGATTTTTTCAAAGTGATCAAGGGCCATAACTTTGGCAGTAATTATCGGAAATCGTTGAAAATCAACAGGATTCTTCGTCCCATGACCTCAGACAAGGTGTATAAATTTGAAGTCAATCGGATATTAACTTTAGCCTCTTTCGAGCATTTACAAGATTTTTTGAAGTGATCAAGGGTCATAACTCTGGCAGTAATATCGAAAATCGCTGAAAATGAATAGACTTCTTCATCTCATGACCTTAAACACTGTGTATAAATTTAAAGTCAATTGGATATCAATGACCTTAAACACTGTGTATAAAATTAAAGTCTATAGGATATTAACTTTGACCTCTAGAGCGTGCACAAGATTTTTTGAAGTGATCAAGGGCCATAACTCTGGCAGTAATTATCGGAAATCGCTGAAAATCAATAGATAGGCTTCTTCGTCTCACGACCTTAAACACTTTGTATAAATTTAAAGTCAATCGGACCGACGGACACTGACACTTGAAAAATTCTTTTAGATTTAACATGCATTGACCTCCATTTGGTACATCCTGGGTAATAACACTTCTTTTAATTTTATCGGGACCGTTCCACAAATATTTATAAACTATTTGATTAAATTTAACTATTATGTTTTTAGGAACTTTTAGAGCCAAGGCTGGATATGAAATCTTTGGTAGACAGAATGTCTTTATTATTTGTATTTTTCCAAGTATTGTCAAGTGTCTGTTATAGTGTTATTCCATTTTGTTATAACAGATTCTATATCTAGTAATTTATTTTCAAAGTTTATGTTATCAAACTCACTATGATTTAGTGAGAAGTAGATTCCGAGTATTTTAATTGGTGTTCTACTGATTTTAATACCTAGGCTTTCTATTTGATTAGTACAGCACATGCATACCCTGGAATGTTATTACATTTAATACCAGGATAAGTTACTTTAATATAATAATGCTTGTAATTAGAATTATCAAAAGATTTTATTATTAGTTTCATTATGTTTTTCTTTTCAAATATACAGCATATAATATACCAATCCAATAGTATATAATTTTTTCTTCATTTATATCAATTAATTTTCGTAAAACTATAAAGAATTTACATTCTCTGTGTAGATCCAAGGTGAACATGTTACTAAGATGCAGATTCGAAGAGGGGTGGTGGTGGTGATGGGGGAGGTGGGGGCGTGTCTTAGTTATTTACAATCATCTGTTGATACAAAAGAAGATGATTTTTCATTTGATGTGGTTCATTACAATATTTAAATCATTTTAATGGTAGGAATTATTTATACATTATTGGTTCCTGAACATTACTATTGCCCCTACATAATAATCATTATAAGATACATTATGGGAGATTCGATAACGAGTTGGCAGTTTTCACTATAATAGTTCACTAGCGGCTGCCAGACAGGATACGCCCACATTTTGAAAGAGATGGATAGAGAACAAGCTAAAAACAAACAGGATTTTTTGTATAATCAGGGGCAATAATCCAAAAGGTTATGGTCTGAAATGCGCAAATATCAAAAGGGACCAAGATCTTTGGGATATAAAGATATGTTTTAAGTTTCATTAGAATCGGATAAATATTGCGACCTCTAGAGGGTCGACAACCTTCATATTGCATACTTTTACCCCATTTGCGTACAAAAAGCGGCCATTTTGTTGGGCAGTTTCATTTCGATTTTCCCGAAATTTGAATTCAACCTTCATTATGGTGGAATGGTAAAATATATAAATGGTTTTTAAAATCGGAAAAAAAAATTATGACCTTTAGAGAATCCGCAAGCTAAAAATGCCATTTTCGAACAATCAGGGGCCATAATCCAGGAAGTTAAGTTCGGGTTTCCAACCTTCATTATGGTGGAATGGTAAAATATATAAACGGTTTTTAAAATCAGAAAAAAAAATTGTGACCTTTAGAGAATCCTCAAGCTAAAAATGCCATTTTCGAACAATCAGGGGCCATAATCCAGGAAGTTAAGTTCGGGTATCTGCGATTATCAAAAGGATCCATGATCTTAGTGTGTAATGGTGATATATTCACACATTTTTTTTAAATCAGATAAAAATTGTGACCTCTACAAGGACAACAAGCTAAAAACGCGATTTTCCGTACAATCAAGGGCCATAATTCAGGAAGTTACTATCCGATATGCCGAATATCGAAAGGAAACAAGATCTTTGGGTTATTAACTTACATTTCAAGTTTCATCAAAATCAAAAGAAAATTGTGACCTCTAGAGGTTCCACAACATTGATATACCATATTTTTACACTATTTGAGTACGAGTGACGGCCATTTTGTTTGTCAGTTTTGGTCCGAAATTTGAACTTAACTATCCTTAGGGTGTAATGGTGATATATTCCAACGTTTTTTTAAATCGGATAAAAATTATGACCTCTATAGGGTCGACAAGCTAAAAACGTGATTTTTCTTACAATCAGGGGCCATAATTTAGGAAGTCAGTTAGATATGCGCAAATGTCGAAAGGAAACGAGATCATGAATTTGTCTATTTGTCTAGCAATTTCCAGAGATACATTGTTCAATTTGTCTACAACTTTTTGGGCCTCTTTAAACAGTTCAATTTTAACACGTTACTTTCCTTCCAGCTGCGCATAAACATTGCAGTTATTATACCAGGACGAAACTCCATCTAATGATTTCAGCCTGTTTATTAATCCTCTATTTTTAAAAGTTATATCATCAAACATCATGAAGTTATTGATAAAGAAAGCTTTTCGTTTAAGCATCATTCATTATTTAAGAACTTTACTAAAATTAGTTTAGGTTTGTCACTATATTTTGAAGGCAGTCTGTGTATAGCCAATAAACGGTCTGGAGATAAACTAACACCTGTAAAATCCTTTACTATTTGACAGAATTTTAGAGAGAGAGAGAGAGAGAGAGAAATGGGGTTTAACATCCACTTGACACAAACTAGGTCATTTTGGGACTAACATATGGTGTAATTTTATTTCAATAATTTGCTTGCGCATGGGGGTCTTTATATAGCAGTGGGAGGAAACCCTAGGACCCGGAGAAAACCCACAAGGTTGGACAGGCGACCAGAATTTTAGTCCAAGGTTTTCATCGGTTTCTTCTCTTATCCCATTAACCTTCACATCCAGTTTTCTTGAGTATTGTTCGCTGTATGCCCAATCGGACATTAAGACATGGTGAATAATATTCAAAATTCCGAAATTAATATAGTTTACTGAGTGTATAACTACCACTCAACCTGATTATCGTTCATATTACGCTGGGTTTATTAGGTAATTAAGTGATCAACGTATTTATCGTGTTTTACCGTCTATAAACCTACCTTGATTAACTACTTAATCTGCCTTGATTGACTGACTTAATCCTTTGTCGGACAATTCATCAATCTAATCTTAAACAGAAGTCATTGCTTTCCCTTTGTCGGACTATTCATCAATACAATAACTGTGATTATAACTTTAATCTTCGTGTTAGCCTCGTGGTTTCTGCATTGTCGGACATTTTAATCGCATTGATGTGAGCCGACAGAATGTATAAACTTGTTATAGATGTCACATATTGTATGAGTATATAACACCCCAGATCAATAGACAGTCATTATAACTTTCAAAATGCTTCGATTCTTATCTACCACCCATTCTTCTACCGCCCAGTCTTCTTCCAAGCGAAAACGAGACGACGATGAAACACCCCTGTCCGCAAGTTCTGTTTCAACTCCTGTGCCGTCACCCAAGATAAGAAGGAAATTTAATCCGAAATGGTCTTCAAGTTTTTCTTGGTTGCGTTACGACAATGCTCTGCAGAAAATGTTTTGCCAGGTTTGTTTAATACTTATTTTAATCTAATATTTCTATTTCTACGGGAGATTTACGAATTGTGTAACGTTGATATACACAAGTGCTACGAGCCTACGAGATATATACCAATTATTATAAAGTTATTGCATACAAATCCCCTGTATCCATAAATGTATCTTTTACTATAAATACTAATAGTTTACTCATTTGTTTTTTCAGCCATGTCAGAAACATAATAAGAAAAATAACTTTGTGACTGGCTCCATGAATTTTCGTAAATCGGCCATTACAGACCATGCTTGGTCTAATGATCACATTGATGCCACAAAAAAAGAAGATGAACTATCCAAAGAAGTTCTTGTCGAAAAGTTTTTAATGATGTTCGACCAAGCTGACATCGCCATGTTGACCCTAATTCGCAACTCCTGGTTCCCTCAATGATTTAGCAGAGTTGAATGGATGTCAGATGACGTCTAAGTTGTACAGAGATAGAACTGCATCCTCGGAGTTAGCATAGAGAGCACCATAGTTATATATAGATAAGATAAACTCACCAGATAGTTTATAGAGAGCATGAGCTGTTTGAGCACAATAGTTATATAGATGATAAGTTGAACTCACCAGATAGTTATAGAGAGCATGAGCTGTTTGAGCTGGTAATCTTCGATAATATAGCACCAGTTTACGTAATACAAATAATAACTCCTCCTGTTGATAAATAAATATAGCATAAAACAACAATAACTATAATTGCTTCTTAACAGGGCCTGACAAGGATAGCTGCTGTCTAGTTGTTCGGATGGGACAAAATCTGAGCATTGGCCGAGAAAGTTCATCAGGATTTTCGGACGTGGTTCCACCTTGTCAGTGGTGAAGGACGTGGAGGGCTGTCTAGTCGTTCGGATGGGGCAAAAAAACGAGGTCCCGTGTACACATTGGCGTGCACGTAACAGATCCCTTGACAGTTGGAATTCGATATAAGAGTAGGCGGTAGTGCTGCTGTCCAGGCAAAATTTCCCTCATAGCACATTGTGTGATGTATGCCCGTCTTCATTAGCCCAGGTTAGGGATCTTTTACGTGCACGCCAATGTGTACACGGGACCTCGTATCATCCGAATGACTAGACAGCTGTCCTTGTCAGACCCTCTGTTTTTCGTCCCATCCGAACGACTAGACAGCTTTCCTTGTCAACCCCTCCGTCCTGCATCACTGACAAGGGAGAACCACGCCGGAAAATCTGGATGAACTTTCTCGGCCAATGCAGGGATCGAACACCCGACCTCCAGGCTAGCGAGCTAGCGTCTTACCCACTTAGCCACATGATCCCCTCTTTGGGTTATAAACTTACATTTCAAGTTTCAACAAAATCGGATAAAAATTGTGACCTCTATAGGGTCCACAACCTTGATATACCATATTTTTACGCTATTTGAGAACGAACGGCGGCCATTTTGTCAATTTTGGGCTGATTTTCACGAAATTCAAACTCAGCTGTCCTTAGGGTGTAACGGTGATATAATAATATGGTTTTTTAAATTGGATAAAAATTATGACCTCTATAGGGTCCACAAGCTAAAAACGTGATTTTTCGTACAATCAGGGGCTTTAATCCATGAAGTTTCGATCCGATACATGCCAATATCGAAAGCAGCCGAGATCTTTTGGGGATAAACCTATATTTCAAGTTTCGTCAAAATCGGATAAGAATTGTGACCTGTAGAGAGTCCACAAACAATTGTGGACGGACGGACAGACGGACGTCTGGACAGGGGCGACGGTATAATACGTCCACATGAAAATGTGGGCGCATAAAAATCCAAGATGGCGAAAATTCACAATGGCGGCCAGAATTTCCGTAAATTGTAGGATTTTTGAGAAAATCGTCAATTTTCTGTTTTAAATAGCTTATAATATCTCTTTTATAATGTTTTCAGAGTCACTGAACTTGAATAAAAACTCAAAAATTAATGCTGAAAATGATAATGCTAACCAGCAGCTGCCAGGCAGGATACACCCACATTTTACAAGAGATGGATAGAGAATAAGCTAAATACAAACGTGATTTTTTGTACAATCAGGGGCAATAATCCAGAAAGTTATGGTCTGAAATGCGCAAATATCAAATGGGACTGAGATCTTTAGGATACAAAGATATGTTTTAAGTTTCATCAAAATCGGATAAAAATTGTGACCTCTAGAGGGTCCACAACCTTCGTATTGCATACTTTTACACAATTTGCATACAAAGAGTGGATAATTTGTTGGTCAGTTTTTTTTTCGATTTTCCCGAAATTCGAATTCAACATTCATTATGGTGGAATGGTGATATATCTAAACGTTTTTTCAAATCCGAACTCAATTAAAATTATGGTTTAACACAAATCCAAGAAAAATGTTTTAAGGACAGACGAAAATTGTGATAATTGTCAAGTAAATGCTATATTTATACTAATAATTGTGAAGTTGACATAAAATTACATATACTTAGGATAGGACAGGCTAATCTTTGCTCCGTGAGGTGAACGACAGGGTTCTCTCCAACCAGGCTTGAAATTTCTTTTGAAAAAACTGATTGTAAATGGTGCTTTCTAGAGTATATCTTGGTGTTTTTAGCTTATGCATATATCTTTATAATTCATCAAAAACGACGTAAATTCATCACTACGCAACATTAACTAGTTTAGGGACCCCCGAAACTACCATACTCCTTTTGAGTGTCCATCCTTGAAAAGGGAGGCGAAGGGTATGATGGTAAAAAGTGTTTCAAATTCCCACGTTACTTGAATACTTTAATTATCAGTAAAATTAATTTATTGTTAATTCGCATACAAAGATATGATGTTAAACATGTTACAAATTAACAACTGGTATATTAGACGAGTATTTTACAGCAACAAGAAAGTTTACGTTTAATTTAATTCCAATAAACAATTTATATTTTTAAGTTGAAGGGAGAGTCGTACAGGTGGTAGACCATATTAAATGCTGTTTAAATGTGTATTTTGTATGCAGATAGATTATTATTTGTCCTTCTAACACGTGTAAGCTAATACCGTTGACTAATGAAGCTAGGCCTTTTAGTAATGACAATTTTTGTCATTAAATCATATAAGTGGTCAGTATTCTAAACTAATGTTTAGTATGTATAGAAAGTGGTTAGAAATTATACAGTTGTCATTAATTAGCAAGTGTGTAACTAGCTGTAAAAAATGTGACTGTTTATAACACCCATCACTATTGAATACACAAACCTAACCAATATTGGTGTATATCATTCAATAGTCACAGTTTTAACACCTTAGTGACATAACACCTACTTAATGACTACTGCCTGATTACTAACAATTTTAACTAACTAATACACATTATGTATGTATTATAAACTGATGACTTTGATCTATTAGTGTCGTATATTTATTGATTAGTCAACAATATCAACATTACAGTGTAAGCTAATTCCTGTGTGGCACAAACCTTTTCGTTTCATCGAAAATTCCAATAAATAATTCATTTTTAGAGATCAATTTTAAATTCAGTAGCTACGAAAACCCTATATATGATATATCACAGGCCTTACCTTGCGTGATACTCACCCATCCTAACTAGAAATTCGTTTTTCGTTAAATTTTGGCGGCCATTTTGAAAGCGGACAGAACCCCAACCGAAAATGATGTCACAGTAGTGACATAATCTCAAAATTGTCTTCAGTGACAAATTTTGACACAGAAACAACCCGTCCCCAAATATCGTTTCGATCGTCATACACTAGCTAAACTTTCACTAAGTTGGTGCCCTGCCTCACCGACGTTCCACATTTTAAATTTGACAGCCTACTTAAAGACTTTAATTGAGTTTGCGCCACCGCAGCTTTATAGGGAGGACCACTTATAAAATGAATCATGAAAACTTTAAAAAAAAAAAATGCCAAAACGTTGCTTTTTTTCAGAATAACTGTTGATTTGAGAAATATATGATTCATTCAACAACATGTATCATATAGCAGCAGATGTAGTATTTTCTTGTGAACATTGTGAGCCACATTCCATATCCATATGTCCATCTGTTCAGGAGTTATGAAGGTTTCCCTGATGCGCTCAATTTCTATGAAATAACGGCAGCCATTTTTAATGTTGGACGCCAAAATGGAATTTAGCAAAGTTACCCGGAAGTCCATCAACCAAATCTCAACACTTCAGCCACCAGGTTAACTGAAAATCATGGTTGAATTTATTCATCAAATTGGTAATGATGCTCCAAAATCTGAGGTCTGTCACATGGACTAAAGGGACGTCAACCAGCCCACTCGCCCCAAAAATAATGTATCATACCTGTTTATCTTTGTTGGTGAGTTTTTCTAGAAAATGTCGAAAGAAGAGAATTGGATCTTCTACAATACTATCCCATATTACTTTGCTAGCTACTTCACATACTGAAATAAGACATAAACAAGCCAACATTGAGGACGATGTCCCCCTGCCGAAATCCCAAAATAAATAGATGACACATATCAATTAAACATGCATTATGCAAGAGCTAAATCTGCCTATCGCAGGTCTTTCTTTAGGCCTGAAATCTTATCTAAATTATTAATTAGACATTAATTAACTTATCCAGACCATAATCAACTCTCGATGTCAAGGCTAGCCTTCGATATCGACTGGATTAGAATCCTATATGCTGCAAACGCTCATTGATAATTAAATCAAAACAATGGATAATCGAGACTATGCTTTTTAACGTACTAACTTTAGTAATGATGAATGAGGCTAGGCGGAAATTTACAAAGCTGATATTTTGGTTCATAGTGGACCAATTCGACTGAAATTTTCAACAAATTACCTTTACATTATCTAGTTTTTAACTATTATTGTGAGAACTGCCAGCTCTTTATGTAATCTTCCTATAATGTATCTTTAATTGCACATTTATTTTTTTTTTTTTTTTTTTTTTTTTTGTTAAACCCCATTTCATTTCATTTCATTTATTTTTTTTTCAAAAGTATCAAGCAATCAAACTGATTATCAACTATATACTAAGTTACATCACTCTCTATCAGATAGAATCAAAGTTATCTTGTCCCAAAGCATCGACCAATGAAATTGCTTGGCTCTGTTTAGCTTTAGCTCGAAATGTTAATCATTGAACTCAGTCAAGATATTCACCTAATGAACATCTACATCAAGTTTAAACATTCTACCTCAATTAAAAGCAGAGTTGTTATGTTCCAAAGTTTTGACCAATCAAATTGTTTATCGATCCTTAGCCGAAGCAGAAAATTCTCATCATCAAACTTAGTGAAGGTAATGATATAATGAATCTATACTCGGAGTTTCATTACTCTCACTTAATTAAAACAAAAGTTATACGTCCCAAAGCATCAACCAATCAGATTGCTTATTAATGTGTTTCCATGGAAACAACTTTTACTTAGTCTTTTGTACATAATGGCGTAGGATGTTGATGACTGGGCCTTGTTTGTTTTCATCTATCAGTCGGAATGTAAAACATAATATTTTGTCTTCTCTTATGGTACGCTGGCTCGCTAGCCTGGAGGTCGGGTGTTCGATCCCTGCATTGGCCGAGAAAGTTCATCCAGATTTTCACGTGTGGTTTCCCCGTGTCAGTGATGCAGGATGGAGGGCCTGACAAGGACAGCTGTCTAGTCGTTTGGATGGGACGAAAAACCGAGGTCCCATTTACATATTGGCCTGCACGTAAAAGATCCCTTGGCAGTTGGAATTCGATATAAGAGTAGGCCACAGCGCCGCTGCCCGTGCAAAATTTCCCTCATAGCACACTGTATGGTGTATGCTCGTCTTCATTAACCCAGGTTAGGAGCAGAACAGTAGGACGTTAAACCCCATTTCATTTCATTTCATTTCATTTCTCTTATGGTACCTATTTGAATTTGTTCAGTTGGGAAATATCTGCTTTAATTCCAAGGAGCAATAAGTGCGTCTGCCAAAAAAATGTTATTTACCTGATATCCCGCCATCGTTAACATCACAATCATCTAACAGATGAATTATGGGTAAAACTGCAGCACAAATGGATGATGGGAAGAAATTCTGTGTCATCTGTAAATGGTGAGAATGTTCAGCCCGGTCTTCGTCACCTAGCAATAAGGAAAATGGTGGCAATTTTAGAAATTTTTAATTTCTGTCAATCATTATTAACTCAAGGAATAATGTAGAGTGGTTGTATAAAAAAATACTTGAGTTATTAAATCATAATACATGTCTACAAGGTAAATAACTATATATCCTAAGTACTTCCTCAACATTTTAAATGCGTTAATTTAATAACACTTATATTTTTTTTCTTTATCTACTTTGTGTACTGGTACTGATAAGGATATGAAGATATTTAGAATGAGTCAAAAACACATTAACTATATTTAAATTCAAGAAATTAAAAGAAAAATTTTGAAGGAAATTTATTCATTTTAATAAATAAAATCATTTTAAAAAAACGATGGCTTAAACTTTTGATTAGAAGCCTTTAGTCATAAATACTGATAATAAAAAAACCAAAAACATCAACTAAATATTTAAATTCAAGAAATTAAAAGAAAACTTTTGAAGGAAATTTTAATCCATTTTAACAAAGGGTATAAAAAACCCACTATGGTTTAAAGTTTTAAGTAAAAACCTTTTGTCATAAATATTGATAATAATAAAAAAAACATCAACTATATAATTAAAAATAATTAAAGACTAATTTTGAAGGAAATTTTAATCTATTTTAATAAAGGGTAAAAAAAACCCACTGTGGTTTCAAAGTTTTGAGTAGAAGCCATTAGTCATGAATACTGATCATAAAAAAAAAAAAAACCCATCAACTAAATATTTAAATTCAAGAAATTAAAAGAAAAATTTTGAAGGAAATTTTAATCTATTTTAATAAAAAAAAAAAAAAATAGAGTAAAAAAAAAAAACGTGGCTTAAGCTATTTAGTAAAAGCCTTTATAAGAAAATAACTAAGAAAGTAGATTTTTCTAAAAAAAAAAAAAGAGAAGAATCAGTGTAGCGTGAAAAGATAAAACCTGATTTATACTACAGTAGTAGGTGATTCAGAAAGGAATAAAGATTACATAGCAAAATGTTTAGATAGAGAAGTGATTAAGGTGTCATTATCTAATGATAAAATTAGAAGAATTTATTAACGTCTGATACCTAATGATTTGACACAACTTGTTTAGATATTCATATAAATAAGAGAATGGTAAAACTTGTGTAGAATCCGTGTCCAACAGGAATATGAAAACAATGGATCGAAGGATCCGATACGGAAGTGTCCTTCGCTAGATAGATATTAAGGTTAGAAAACGCAAGACATGTTCAGGTTCGATTTGAAATGAACCTGAGGTTCGGTAGAATTCTATTTTCTAAAATGATCAATTTTGATTGTGAATGGTTAGCATGTGCGCGCTGTATCATAAAGTCTGTCATTGAGTCAACTGGCGTGGTTTCAATTCCCCGGTTGCACGTGACAAGGAGTAGGGTCGCCTGTCCAACCTCGTGGGTTTTCTCCGAAATGACCTAGTTTGTGTCGAGTGGACGATAAACCCCATTTCTCTCTCTTTCTTTGTTAAGTTTGATATTTCTGGTTGCCAAATCAAAGTGAACAAAAGATGTGTCATTTCAAAAGGTATTGAATAATTGGATTAGTGGGATAATCCCATTTTTATATGAAAATTATCTGAAAGAAAATGACTCTAATTAAAGCATAAATAATGTGAAAGATTAAGAGTAAAGCATGCTGCATCAATAAGCTATACACAGGTAACCTGAATAACTGAAGCTTTTAACATGCCGAACACACTTTCATTTTATTTTCATAAACAATATCTTTATTTTATCTTTAATTAGATAACAACAGCACAATATGGACCAGGAACCAAGCAATATATCATCGCCACCATCTTGAAATTGTGACATCATATTGGAGATGGTCCTGCTCATATGATGTCATATGTGGATTGTGCATTAGGGTTACGGTAAGGGTTGGGCTTGGTCCAGAGTAAGGGTCAGGGTTAGTGCTAGCCTTACCTTGACGAAATCTGCAGGTCCTAACCCTTACCCTAATCCTAACCCACAATCCACATATAATGTCATATGTGCTACAATGAGCAGGACTGTCTCCGATCAATTGATGTGCAATTGTTACAGGAACAAGCGTGCCAAGTTTCATTTTGATTGAATTTGAATTGGCGAAGCCTTAGGCTTTTTTCAAATAGCATTGCCTCCAAGAAGAACAAGATGGGTCGTGCATGGGGACCAGTTCCTGATCCAAAAATACAATATGTCTACATATATTTGTTTTTCGCATAGTTTCAAGCATATTGATTATTAAATACATCAAATAATCCGGTGTTTGGCAGACTGGAGTTGAGATCGTTTTCATTTGATGACAAGTCAACACTGCCCATGCAAAATTTATATCTTTATTTCAAATTTAAACTGAATAATTTCTTGATAGTAGTTATAAAGATAACCAGCGGCTGCCAGGCAGGATACGTCCACATTTTGCAAGAGATGAATAGGTAGCAAGCTAAAAACAAAAACGTTTTTTTGTCCAATCAGGGGCCATAATCCAGAAAGTTACGGTCTGAAATGTGAAAATATCAAAAGGGACTGAGATTTTTGGAATATAAAGATATGTTTTAAGTTTCATCAAAATTGGATAAAAATTGTGACCGCTAGAGGGTCCATAACCTTTGTATTTCATACTTATACACAATTTGCATAGAAAGAGCCATTTTGTCGAACAGTTTCATTTCGATTTTCCCGAAATTCCAATTGAACCTTCATTATGGTGGAATGGTGATATATCTAAACGGTTTTTAAAATCGGAACAAAAATTGTGGCCTCTAGAGAATCCACCAGCTAAAAATGCAATTTTTAGACCAATCAGGGGCCATAATCCAGGAAGTTACGTTCGGATATGTGTGATTATCAAAAAGCCAAGATCTTTTATGATTAAAACACATATTTAAAGTTTCATCCAAATCGGATAAAAACAGTGGCCTCTAGAGGGCCCACAACCTTGATATACCATATTTTTACACTATTTGCGTACAATTTTTGTCTGATTTTCACAAAATTCGAACTCAACCATCATTACGGTTTAACGTTAATATATTCACACGGTTTTTTAAATCGGATAATAATTGTGACCCATAGAGGGACTACAAGCTAAAAACGTGATTTTTCGTACAGTCAAGGGCCATAATTCAGGAAGTTACGATCTAATATGCGCAAATATCGAAAGGAACCAAGATCTTTGGGTTATAAACATGTATTTCAAGTTTCATCAAAATTGGATCAAAATTGTGAGCTCTAGAGGGTCCACAACCTTGATAGGACATATTTTTACAGTGTTTGCGTACGAGGGGCGGACATTTTGTCTGGCAGTTTTGATCTGATTTTCACGAAATTCAAACTGAACCGTCATTAAGGTGTAACGGTGATGTATTCAAACGTTTTGTTAAATCGGATAAAAATTGTGACCTCTATAGGGTCCACAAGCTAAAAGGCAATTTTCCGTACAATCAGGGTCCATAATTCAGGAAGTTATGGTCCAATATGCACGAATATCAAAAGGAACCGAGATCTGTGGGTTATAAACATCAATTTCAGTTTAAACCAAATCAGATAAAAATTGTGATCTCTACAGTGTTCACAAGCTAAAAACACGATTTTTCGTACAATCACGGGCCATAATCCATGAAGTTACGATCCGATACATGCGAATATCGACAGGAACCGAGCTCTTAAGGTGATAAACCTATATTTCAAGTTTCATTGAAATTAGGTAAAAATTGTGACCTGTAGAGTGTTCACAAACAATTGTGGACGGACGGACGGATGGACAGGGGTGACGACAATATACGTCCACATGAAAATGTGGGCATATAAAAACTAAAGCTACAAAAAATAATAATTACATTGAATAATAATTTGGAAAAATGCTGTATTCCTTTAATGTCAAGATGGTATCAATATTACCAGTCATCATATATATCCATCGTGGTGTGAAAATATAAACCTAACCCGTTTTTTGTTTACATTTCATATTTGAAAGAAAGTGGCTACCGTAAACTACAGCACCTTTTATATGGCAAATAAACTTGATCATAGTACAAGCTTCACTGACTTCGGTTTTGATAACAGACACAGACTTCATTATTAATTAATAAGTTTGTGCTTTAATTTAGGACTGCCACTTACATCCAAACCTAAAAATCAGACAGCGTAAACCTTTCCGTGACTAAAAGAGAAAGCTGTAAGAATTAGTAGATCGATAAATAATTCATGAGATGAAGATGAAATAAAAGACTGTGCACCAAATAAGGAAGCCAAGAGAAGCTGAAAAAAGCCAGCAGAAACCAAAAACAAACAGCAGACACCCTTGTTAATAGATTGTTGGTTTTGATAAATTTGGAAATGGGTTCTACCAAACAAGAAACTATCAATCTCGCAAATGACAATAAGACTACAATTCTTCTTTCGTGGGGCTTAATGTCCGCTTTCACCATGGCTTATCTTAAGACAACGGACTACATTTTAGAGTGTTTCAAATTTATAATCAAAACCAACAGAGTATTAAAGAGACGCGGGCGTTATAGGAGTGAGGATATTGAACATGTACCTTCAGACGTTAGCCGACCCCAATGTATACTTCCATTTCTCCAGGAGAGGCTGCGATTTTGTATGTTAGAACGATTTACAGGAGCAAGGGACACACGTCGTGCTGCGAGGTTAATTTCTTCCTGGGCAGCTATTGGTTAAAAAGGCAGGTGCAGAACATACAAGGCAAACAAGGTGATTGGTTGAAAATGCCCAAGCAGTAAATGACACATAAAACATTAGTAATCAGAAAAGTTCTATCATCAAGATCATTTTATATCAATACTAAAATTAAAATCGGAAAATCGAAATATCAACACTTCATATATCTAAGAAGCATTGCAAAGAGCCATTGTAAAATAAGCTCCTCTTAAAGATGGCTTACAAAGAACACTTACATATGTGATTTACTAGGCTATGATTTACGCAAAATCAAAATAAAGAATACATACAAATGTGATGTATTATTATTCAGTCACCTTTACTAAACAACTGTTTTATCTTTAAAATCTACGCATCTGAGAAACATGCAGGAAAATAATAATTAATGAAAGATCTTGAAGATAGAACAAGTTAGTCATTTAAAACGAGGGCATTTAGGTTAGGTGATTAATGACAGTGAATTATATGAACAATGTAAACACAACATCTATCGTATATAAATTGATTTAGAATTTAAGTCATTGAGAAACTTTGATAGATTATAGAGACAACAATTTACTCATACATGATTATATCACATAAATGTGCCTTTAAGTAACTGTGCATGATTTGCATTTTTACGAAAAATATCAAATTTCTTGCGGCTTAAGCCACACTAATTACTAAGATTGATTATTTAACGGTTAATTAAACATACATTGTGCAAGATTATACATTAATTAACCTATCCAGACCATAATCAACTCTAAATAGCATCGCTAGCCTGCAATCTTTAGTGGATTAAGAGCCGATTTACTGCATAACTTTCCTTCACGATTTAACGATTAAATGGATTATCGAGACTTTGCTGTTTATCGTACTGACTTTAGTAATGATGATCGAGGCTAGGCGGAAATTTCATCGCTTTGTTCTCGGTTCAAAGTGGATCAATTTGAATGAAACTTTCAGCAAATTGCCTTTACATTATCTAGTTTTTAACTATTATAGTGAGAACTGCCAACTTGTTATCAAATCTCCCATAATGTATCTTTAATTAAGAAACGATCAAAACATCAATGCTAGATAATCTTTTGGTTTCGATTCAATCAGATTAAAAACAGGCCCATCAATTATTGCCAAAAATATAAAGATGGCCGCTGTTATGTTACATAGGAAGTAGCATAGATCAATTGGATTTCAGTTCATTATATCTTTTTAAATATTGAACTAAATCGAACCATTTTTAGGCTGATATAAGAAATTCAACTTTTACAATATTGTAGTTTGCAGGTGATTCCTATATAACTCAAAATGGGGGGGGGGGGTATGGCCGAATGGTTAGCATGTACGTGCTGTATCATAAGGTCTGTCATTGAGACAACTGGCGTGATTTTGATGTCCCAGTTGTATGTGACAAGGAGTAGGTTGCCTGTCCAACCTTGTGGGTTTTTGCCGGGTCCTCTGGTTTCCTCCTGCTGCTAAAGACCCTCACGTGCAAGCGAATTATTGAAATAAAAGAATTTTCCAGATCCTCCGGTTTCCTTCTACTGCTAAAGAACCCATACGCGCAAGCAAATTATTGAAATAAAAAATTATTTCCAGGTCATGCGGTTTCCTCCAACTACTAAAGACTCCTATGCGCCGGCGAATTATTGAAATAAAATTGAACCATGTGTTAGTCACGAAATTACCTATTTGTGTCGAGTGGACGATAATCCCCATATCTCTCTCTTTATGAAACTCAAATCATGCTCAGAGACTTTACATAAAGCAGTTATTAGTAGTAATCATAAACACAGAATTTATCGTTTTCATCAACGATTTTTTTCTTTTTTTTTGCATTTTACATCATCGACACATAATAAATGTTATGCTTACATTATTATTTATGATGGATTTTTAATGAAGTATTTGTAAACAGCAAAACTTTATGGGAAGTTAATTTCAAAATATTTTTATGCGAAGGTTTCTAAAAGAAAGTTTGGGAAAAGGATGATTAAAAAATGTAACTAAGTTTTAGAAGGTAAAATGTTTTTGAAGTATAAAAATAATGGTCGGCTCCGGCTCTATATAAAGTTTTGCTGTTTGTTATTAATCTAAAATACCTTGCATGTCCCCTTTTTGAAAAAAAAAAGGAGATGAAAAAGTATTTTGTTTATTTATAAATATAAATTTGTTCTCAATGTAATGTGAGGAATATACTAGGAACATTTTCTTTGAAATAATTTTAATAATATTTCAAAATCATTGAGATGTCTGGTTGTCGTGGAAACCCATGCGTAAACCATGGCTACATCGGCATGATTAGCTACAACATAAAAGGAGCATATCATATTAGGTTGGGGAGTGGCATTCGTTTTGTTGGGAATAAAGGCAGACTTGAAACGTCCAAGACTTCAGGGTTTTGTAACAAAAGATTGTAGGGTTTTATTTAATTAACAGGGTTATTATCCGAAATGTAGGACTATCTTGGACTAATTCGATGCATCTGACAGCCTAAGTAACTATATTAAACTATTTACAAAATCTAATTAGGGTCTAATGTAACATTCAACAAATATTCCCAAAATAGCTTGAATGCATCTGACAGCGTTTTAGAAATACGGCATAAGAAACTTTATTAAAAATCTAAGAATTTGTTTTTGCTATGGTCTAATGTATACATTCAACAAATATTCCCCCAAAAAGCTTGTGACTTGAACATGAACATCCTTGACAGACAATATCCCAAATATATAACCATTAATTGAAAAAAAAAATTCAAACTGTCACGAAAAATATATTATTTGCCAAAAATATCCAGACAATATCCCAAATATATAACCTTGATTGGAAAAACTTTTTAAACTACCACAAAAAATACATTATTTGCCAAAAATATCAAATCTTCAATGAAGTTCAAATTACGCTGCAGGAATATTAAAAGTATCAGCCATTATATGTAGTAAGCCTAACAGTAGTTACCATTACGCTGCAGGAATATTTAAAGTGTCAGCCATTATGTAGTAAGCCAAACAGTGGTTGAGATTCTGTAATCATTAATGTATCTAATTTATTGCGGACTTACAATATATATCCATAATTTATCTTTTCCTAAGTTCTCTGGATCTAATTATACTTGAAAAAAATTTGCTTAGACTGCAGTGTTTCAGCCTACTCTTCACAGAATTCCAACTGTCAAGGGACTACATTGAGAACTACTAAGGGGTCAATCTGTGCACGGACCTTATATAAATCTATGTCTGGGTTGTTATTTGTACGTCTATCGAAAGAAAATTAATTTCCTGACTATTACTCGGCATAACCGCGTTAAAATTCTACTGCACCACTGACAAGGGGAAACCCAGGACCTCCTGCTTATTGAGCCACCACCTTACTCATCGAGTAACTAAAATTGAATACTGGGGAGGAGAGAAGGGTTAATTCCCCCTTAAAACATTCATGTTAACATTTGTTACAAACAATACCCTAACCTCACAATCAAGTTTATGTCTAAATCTGTGAAAATGACAAACATCTTTTATTAGTTCCTTTAGGAACTATCTCTGAGCGGACATTGTCCACTGACAGTTCCTATCCGTCCCTATACAGCTTCAATATGAAAATACCGCTTTTGGAATCCTTACTGACTATTTTTTTCACCATGATTCTTCTTTATTCGCCAAAGGAATCATTTCTTGCCACAGTTGACACACATTTCTAATAATTTAACATTATTTTCAAGTAGAATTCTGCGATTAAAAACATACACAGAATGTGTTTGAAATTATCAGCCATTACGTGACTCGAACACGTGCAGATCACATGTTTATTTAATCGCTAAATTCTACTTGAAAATAGTGTTGAATTATTATAAATTTGTGTCAGATATAGTAAGAAATGATTCCTTTTGGAGAAACATAAAAAATTACAGTGAAAAATAGAAGGTAAGGGTTCCAAAACAGTTTGCGAACAGAGTTGGGGAAGTGCGGTATTTTACCGTATTTTCATATTTCAGCTATATAGGGACGGATAGGAATTGTTAGTGGACATCATCCACTCAGAGACAGTTCCTAAAGGAACTAATCTTTTATGTCTGTTAAAATTTACTGACATATATCTTTGAATAAAGAGAACTTTAACGGAGATTTTCTTTGATCATGCGGTACATAATGCTACAAAAAATCATTTGGAATTTATCATATTTTTCGGGGGAACCACGGTGGCTAGGTGGGTAAGGAGCTGGCTCGCTAGCCTGGAGGTCAGGTGTGTTCGATCCCTGCATTGGCCGAGAAAGTTCATCCCGATTTTCCTACGTGGTTTCCCCTTGTCAGTGATGCAGGACGGAGGGCCTGACAAGGACAGCTGTCTAGTCCTTCGGATGAGACGAAAAACCGAGGTCCTGTGTAAACATTGGAATGCACGTAAAAGATCCCTTGGCAGTTGGAATTCGATATAAGAGTAGGCGATAGTGCCGCTGCCCGGGCAAAATTTCCCTCATAGCACACTGTATGGCGTATGCTTGTCTTCATTAGCCCAGTATAGGAGCAGAACAGTAGGACGTTAAACTCCATTTCATTTCATTTCATTTCATATTTTTCGGAAACAGCTGTCAGATTGCATCATTATGGACTTCTATATATGGATCTAACCTTCCGTAGGCTACATCAATAATCTCGTTTCCAACAGAGGAATGGATATGACATACAAGTAGCTTTATTATCGGCACAAAAGCAGCAAGCTCTATATGCTATGATGCAAATTTACAAAATTCCAAATACCTACATGTTGCAAAAAATTAATATTTAAAAAAGCAGGGCCCAAAATCATTATCAAATAATTGTGCTATATAAATGATCAACATATCTGACATTAATATGTGTCAATCTCACCTTACAAATAGTTTAAAATACGAAAGAATTAATATTTCTAAAACTAGCAATAGAAAAAAAAAGAGATGGTTCAAACTTATGAAACTAACCCTTAGGTTTTTTTTTTAAAAGAGATACTCCATGGTGATTATTCAATATACATATATTTATACATTCACTTATATAATGACGCCATAACGTGTTATATGTATATATATATATATCGTTCCATGCAAGGATAAGGTGGGGGGAATATATCAAGCCGACACTAAAGCAGCTGAGCACGTTCATCATTCAGAGTTATCTCCCCTACCTTCCTCATGTTCTTCACCAGGATGATGTAATGCTGGTTCATACGCAGCCAATTGACAAACAGGAACTGTCATCATAGGAAAATTCTCCCGACCAATCCGTTTTCTCTCCTCCTCAGCCAGAAGACCTTTACGTATCATTTCTTGTTGTTGTTTACGTCTGGTGGTAGTGGCTGTCACCAAAGATTTCTGCAAATGGACAAAATGTTGCTTTAGTACCAGTATACAAATTTTTATGTACTCTAAAATTAGTGAATGGTATAGACATTTAGGTTGACAACTTAGGAGGCATAATTTCGATATGCTTTAACCTTTCCTGCAATTCGAATATAACTTTAACTTTATATAAATTCAACTTTATTCAGGCACAAAATATTTGAAGCAAGATGTCTTTATTGTCATAACTTGCAAATCCACAAATGCATCTTAAGCAAACTTGAAAATAAGCCATCTTTCCTCCTTGTCACGTGAACTACAGGAGGGCATAACTCTGCATGATAGTTGAGTATCATAAGAAAACGGACATCATGATAGTTGAGAATCGGGAAAAAAGGGACGTTTAAAAAAATCTGTATCGTGTTTACCAAACTGCGATATGGAATTTAAAATACAATTCAGTTGCAGCCCTATTAGTCCTAATGTACAGGATATTATCTACATATTTTAGGGCCATTAATTATGTTTATAGCAGACGTTACTTACCGATTCCTCCTGATTTATGGTCACTTCTTCTATTTTAGTTTTAAAATGTGGCATCCATGGAGGATCAATGACGGTGAGATTTGGTAAACCAATCGTTGGTGATGGTAAAGTAAAATCTATTCCTGGAGGTGGTATCTGAAACATTCGTCAAAAAAAATATTTATATCTTAGAAAATTCTAATCGATACTAACAGGCTTACTCGCTGTAGATTTAAAGGGACAATAACACTCTTGCTGGCTTGAAAGCTCCAGAAAATAAATAATATCTCTATCTAAGTACTAGATGATTAAGTGTCCTACATGTTGTGTAAATTATCCATTACATCCTATTTTACTTGTCCAGAGGGTTCGAAAATATTTTTAAATCGAAGTTTCATTTGAAAAGGTTTACGTTAGACGTTTCAAACCATTATGTTGAATTTTTCAAATTTTTTAAATAACGTGTGTTAAGATGAAATTTGTATCATCAATTAATTGAAATATTGTAAAATAGTACAATTTGTTGACCAGAATAAAGATTGGGACATATTATTCAGTTACAACAAGAGTGGTATTGAGCCTTTAAACAATGCATGTTACTAGGAATTATATAAATCTGCTGTAATAATAATAATATATGGCCACTGTTTATTTTGTAATATCTGATAAAACATGGGCTAATGTTTCTATTACCTTAAAGAATAAATTTGCCCCTTCTTCCATTCTTGGCCAAACTTGATATCGAAATCTCCACAATACACCAAACCTATAAATAATTATAATAAACTATAATCAACGAGGCAACATGGAGGTAAAGTTTAATATTTAGTGTCTAATCAAAACTGTATTTTCATTATTTTCACACTAAAAGGCAATTCTTCAGCAGACGGCCAAACAAAGAGAGAGAAAGAGACTAACACAAGGTTCAATTTTATTTCTGTGAGGAAACTGGAGGACCCGGAGAATGCAGGGATCGAAGACCCGACCTCCAGGCTAGTGAGCCAGCGTCTTACCCACTTAGCCACCGTGGCTCCCATGTAATTAAGAGTGATTTATCACTATGGTTTCCACTCCTACCTGATGACAGCGTTAATTCTTTGAGCTGTTTCTTCATGTTGTAATTCTTTAATTAACATATTCCTGGCTTTATCTGGTGATTTCACAGACGACAACAAAAACACAGAAGCTGATAAATAAAACCAATATAGCTATTATTATACAATACAGTAAAAAGACTAAATTTTACATTCTAGTTTAAACATACATTATGCAAGAGCTAAATCTGTTTGTTGCAGATCTTTCTTTAGACCTGAAACGTTATCTAAATTATTAATTAACTTCTCAAGACCATAATCAACTCATGATGCCATCGCTAGCCTGCGATTTTTAGCAGATTGGAATACTTTTTTTGAAAAATAATTAAACATAAAAATGGACAATCAAGACTTTGTTTTCTATCATACCTACTTTAGTAATGATAATCGAGGCTAGCCTAAGGCTTATATCCCCGGTTCAGAGCGGAGCAATTTGACTGAAATTTTCAGCATATTCTATTTACATTATGTAGTTTTTAACTATTATAGTGAGAACTGTCAACTCTTTATCTAATCTCCCATAATTCCCCTTTAATCAAGGAAATAGTATATAAGTTATGCTGTGATGATCATTTAGTAATTTCATAGAAAAATTTATCTGTGCAAATGGTTATCCTCCAAGTAAGACATTTTGGTCATTACTCCTATTAGGCTGACTTTAAAAATATCTTTGTTTCGCCTAACGCGACCGACTAACTAAAACCACCCCCGACTTAAATTATTTTATTGCACTTTTCCGCGATCTTTTTATTTTATTTTGTGTGTCAACCTGAAATATATCACGAGAGTTATTTCCCTTTACTATGGCTATGGTTTGATTCATTATTGAAACTGGTTGATCAAGACGAAAGCATCATAGGTGTCGCTTCTCAACAAAATGGTTGTAGACGAAAGCACGTCCATTCCCACGAAATGATTCTGCCTCTATTTTTCTCGAAAACGGATTTTGAATATCCGTTTTCGAGAAAAATGAAGGCACAACCCGCACGATCGTTAAAAAACGTGTTGAGGGAGTTTCAAACGTCAGTTTCTGGCAATTCGTGTGTGAGTCGTGCATCACGAAAAATCCCGATGTCATTGATTTGTTTGACAAAAAAAGAAGACGAATGTTTGCACCCGGAAAATTATCAAGCTGTCAAATTAGCTCTTAAAAAAAAATCTGAAAAAAACCCCGACCTACCGACCCTTCTCCTCGATTGTGGGTCGGGTTTGGTGAAACAAAGATATTTTTAAGGTCAGCCTTATCTTCACTGCCACAAATGATCATCTGGCTCATTTAGAGAAAAAGAGAGTGAGAGAGAAATGGGGTTTAACATCCACTTGACACAAACTAGGTCATTTCGGGACTAACAATAACACATGGTTCAATTTTATTTCAATAATTTGCTTGCACATTGGGGTCTTTAGCTGTGGGAGGAAAACAGAGAAAACCCACGAGGTTGGACAAGTGACCCTACTTCTTGTCACATACAACCGGGGAATCGAAACCATGCCAGTTGACTCAATGACAGACCTTGTGCTTTCATGCGCATGCATTAAACCACCCAACCCCAAAGTGGTAGAGTGTTAATTTAATAATAAAATGATACGAACCTGCAGCAGCAGCCAGTTCCTGGTCACTCTCTAGTATCAGTTCCCACGCTACAGGCATCATATCAATAAAATTCTCCACACTTAATATTGGTGCTGCTTTTGATAGAATAGTCATTGGACACTGTGTTAGTCTCTGAGCCTGTGGTCAAAATGGCAAGGTTATCAATATTTCACGTCTGATTGTATAACAAATTCTGAAATTCTATCAGATCAATTCAAACATACAATTCAAAATCACACATCAAAATGATTGTTGAATGAGAGGTGCAGGATATTTGATGGTTAGACTACCTTCACTACAACCATGGTGTTGGACAACTGCCATTTAAGAAGAAACTCCACAAGAAGAAACTCCACCAGGACAACTGCTAACTCAGACAATTGTTTTGCAAAATGAAAAGAAATGGGGGTTAACATCCTACTTTTCTGCTATGACTGGGATAATGATAACATGACAAATTGTTGCTCAGGACAACTAAAAACTTAGGAAACGAAATGTGAGGGAGAGAAATGGTGTTTAACGTCCACTCGACACAAACTAGGTCATTTAACCTATGGTTCAATTTTATTTCAATACAATTTTTCGCTTATGCGCAGGGGGTCTTTAGCAGTGAGAGGAAACCGGAGGATCTGCAGAAAACCCACGAGGTTGGACAGGCGACCCTACATCTTGTCACGTACAACCGGGGAATCGAAACCACGCCAGTTGACTCAATGACAGATCTTATGATACAGCGCGCTAACCATACGGCTATCCAAGTCTCGAGCTTGTGTGTTGTTTCAATATATTACTTAATGTCTCGCTCTCGACCATTAAACCACACTTAATGCAAACGTCAGGCATATTCTAATAGTAAATGCAGGAGGACCGCACTCTACATGGGGGGGGGGGGGGGTGAAAAAAAAAAAAAAAAATCTACAAGATAAACCTGCGGACAAGACAGAAAATAGACATTGCATCAATTAAAAAAATATCAAATCAAGTGAATGGATCCGGGGGCCAGCTGTAAGTGTCCACTGCGCTGTACAGTCCCGGGCTTGTTGTGACACAGACTTCACTCAAATTTGAAAACAATCAGGAATACAAAAAAGACGTAACAGAAATAATGCGACCAATCTTGACAGTTTGACCAAAAACATTACAACAAACCTGTGACTGTAGATATTTTAATATTGGAGGATCTTCTTTTATTTCTTTTGGTTTTTCTTCTTTCTTCCAAGTTGGATTCAGTTTTAATTTGGTCATAGAAACATCGGATTTGATTTTCTCCAGTAATGGTGTGCTTTCCCTTCTCCTAGTTGGTGACGTCAGCTGGAAAATTGACTCCTGCAATACCAATGTTGGGATTTCAAAATTTTTCTTGTTGGACATTTTAAGCGAAAATAATAGGGCATAACTCTTATCGTTATTTAAGCAGGCCATTTCAGACCACAATTCACAAATAAAAATCATTTGTCAACAAAATATTCAAATATTAATATATGTGACATATATGATTAATTTCTACGTGTTGTCCACTATATATTACCTCAATCTGTTTCAAAGCCTTCCTTTAACACTGTGCATGATAACTGACTCTTAAGTTTACTTACAGGAGAGAGAGAAATGGGGTTTAATGTCCACTCGACACAAACTAGCTGATTTCGGGACTAACATATGGTTTAATTTTATTTCAATAATTCACTTGCGCGTAGGGGTGTTTAGCAGTAGGAGGAAACTGGAGGACCGGGGATTCGAAACCATGCCAGTTGACTCAATGACAGGCCTTATGATACAGCCAGCACGTGCTAACCAATCGGCCATCAAGAACTATTTCACGTGCAGTATAGGATGTCGATAAAACGTGCATTGTTTACATCAGGAAGAATCAGTGCCTTTTACTTATCTCACGCCTTGAAGAACTATTTTATGTACCCATTTATTCTTAATAGGAAATATTTTTTATCCAGATATACTTCCAACACCATTATTTTCTAATATAGTGAGCTAATTAACTCTCCCCGATGTCATCCCTTTCAGTGATAGTAGTGGCCTAGCGAATATTCACAGCTAATCAGTCTGATATCATCTGGTTAATTCATACAACATGACCACCATATCTTTTATCCAGATATACTTCCAACAACTTTATTTTTTTCTTCATAACTTTATAAATTGGTTCAGAATTTAATTTGAAGAAGAATAAAGTTAATATTGAGAGCTAATTAACTCGCCGCGATGTCATCCCTCGCAGTGATAGTAGCAGCCAAGGGAATATTTACTGCTGATCAGTTTGATATTATCTGGTTAATTCATACACTGAGCAGTTTGAACTTTAACTACTCTAATAATAATGCACATACAATCCAGTCTATTATAGTTTCTCATAAAAACATTTTTTATTCCTGAAGCAAGTACCAGATGAATAAAATAGACATATTGCCGTTTTGAATGTCGCAACCTGGGTTCTTAATGATATTTCTAATAAATGTCTGGTACAAAGTTCAAAATGTCATGTACCATTTTATTATTTCCGTTTTGAATGTTGCAACCCAGGTTCTTAATGATATTTTTAATAAATGTCGGACACAAAGTTCAAAATGTCAGGAACTATTTTATTATTTCCAAGGCACAATTTGCATTTTTATGATTATAGAAAATATATTTAGAGATACCAGTAGGCTACTTTCTAGACATGTAATGAACAGCTAGAAGTTTTTATAATAATGACAGCCACAGTGGTTCAGTGAGTAAAACGTTGGCTCACTAACCATGAGATATGACATACGAATGAATAAACAGTATTCCTTGTCAGGCCCTCAGTCCTGCACCACTGACAAAGGAAAACCATGCTGGAGAATTCTGGGGAGTTTTCTCAACCAACATCGGGATCGAACTCCGAACCACCAGGTTAATGAGCCGGCACCTTACTCATTGAGCCAATTTTGCTCCCAAATTTCTTTATTATTTATAATCCCCGCTCAACAGTAGAACAAAATCAGACTTTGGTGGAAATAAGACGTTCGTGTTAGTAGAACAGAAACAGACTTAGGTGGAAATGAGACGTTCATGTTAGTAGAACAAAAACAGACTTGGTGGAAATGAGACGTTCATGTTAGTAGAACAAAAACAGACTTAGGTGGAAATGAAACGTTCATATTAGTAGAACAAAAACAGACTTAGGTGGAAAAACAACGTTCATGTTAGTAGAACAAAAACAGACTTAGGTGGAAATGAAACGTTCATATTAGTAGAACAAAAACAGACTTAGGTGGAAAAGAGACATTCATGTTAGTAGAACAAAATTGGACTTAGGTGGAAAAGAGACGTTCATGTTAGTAGAACAGAAACAGACTTAGTTGGAAATATGACTTTCATTTTAGTAGAACAAAAACAGACTTAGGTGGAAATGAGACATGTTTTATTCATCTTCATAACGTCTCGGGTTGAAAGACCTTTTCCTATTCATATTAAACAAACGATTAAAAATAACTAACCCGTCTTTTAAGCTTTTCTTTCAAGTCATCTTTCCTGTTATAATTTCTCGATTCGTGTGCCTCATCCTCTTCAGTCGATTCATGTATTTTACGTAAAGCTGTGATGAGACGCGAACAACTCCGTCTTTGTCGCTCATAACAATTAGGATGACAGAAGTTCTGATGAGGACAGATAAAGTTGGACAAATTGGCAATCTGAACAACAACCTATTCGCAGAAAAAACAAAATGGTATAGAATGAAATTAGGAATACAATTTGATTTGGTCCAAAACATTTGTTTCTTTAAAAAAATATATACATTTTAGCAAACAGTTGAATAACTGTAATGAAATATTCTATACAGTAATGCAAGTGATGTAAGTAAGGATGTAACGGTTCAAAAATTCTTGAACCGGTTAACTGGTCGTTAAAACCCCAACCGTAACCGGTTAACCCATAAAATTTTCTTTAAAAATATTTGTTGCACCAAAATTAGACTTGATAATATATTCTTAAATTATTAGTATTACAGCTTTTAAGTTAACATTTGCAGTCAGTACAAATTCCATTCATTCATTCTTGATGTTTCATTTCTCAATCTTGCACGCTGACAGGTCACGTAGGCCCTATAGATAGACCAGTTGAATCATTGAATTGAAATCATGTTGATTTTTTTTTTAAAAAAAGCTTCACTAATACTTCATAAGATTAGTTATGAAATCAGTATTTGAAATCATATCTTTGGATTTTTAAATACAAAATAAGTTTGATTATTCAACGTCAGCTAATTCCAAATAATTTACTACAACTTTGACCCCATCTGCACAGCATCGCGCACTCGAGTGATAATATAAACAATTTTACTATGATATCCTCTCTATTTTAATATTATTTCATCACATCAAACTTGTTTCATTTCGAGACTTTGTTTATGGAGTGATGACGTTAATACTGTAAAACAATTAATTTGTCAATCAATTGAGATTTAATGCTTGACAGCGAGTGCTAATAAGGTATACATTACAAATGTCAAAACCTGAGCGTGAATTTAAAGTTGTTAACTTCCCGAGACTTATTACAAATGACAAGTGCTATTTGAAATATTTATGTGGTCTTAGTGAAAGAAAACAATGTTGTGGCTATCATTCCTGGGTTTGAAGGTCAGGTATCATATGAAAACGAATACCGATTAGTAATTTTTTGAACCGGTTCAACAGTGCAACCGAACCGTGACCGGTTAACCGAGTGACCGTTTACATCCTTAGATGTAAGTAATAAAATCAAAAGTAGACTTGAAAATATCAGTGCAACCTCACAACCTAATATAAATTATAACATAATATAAACTCTCAAAAGTAACCAGAAACTAATGTCAAGCATTTTCACCAGTAATATTTGCAGTCTAGAATGACCAATAGTAAAATTGACAGGCAAGGTTTTTTTCGTATCAATGCAAAATTAGAATTTCAAAGAACTTAACCTTAAAGTGAAATAAATGCGGTTTAATTCATTTTTTGTTTTGTTTAAAACACCTTTAAAAACATTTCAAATTGGAATAATTCTAAAGATGGTCATTTTCTTTTGAAAAAATATCTTGCTAATTAGAAATAAACAAAAGACTTTAATATTGATCGACTGGCTATATTTTGAAGTAAAAGCTCTGATTTGAAAGAAACTATATATATCCACCTTAATCCACGGCAGATCTTGATAGAGTTGTTCATCTTCCACTTCTTGATCTCGATCACCAGGACTTTCTTGTGTGTCATCGCTTAACATGGTCACTGATTCTGTATCTTCGGTTACTGGATCTTCTTCAACAAACTTACCTTCTGATTGTAACGATTGACTACTCACTTTACGTGATCGCAGACTACCCATTTGTTTAATACCTGAAGAAGAGAGAGAAAGAGAAATGGGGTTTAACGTCCTACTGTTCTGCTCTGAACTGGGCTAATGAAGACGGGCATACGCCATACAGTGTGCTATGAGGGAAATTTTGCCCGGACAGCAGCACTACTGCCTACTCTTATGTCGAATTCCAGCTGTCAAGGGATCTTTTACGTGCATGCCAATGTGTACACAGGATCTCGTTTTTTCGTCCCATCCGAATGACTAGACAGCTGTCCTTGTCAGGCCCTCCGTCCTGCATCACTGAAAGGGGGAACCACGCCGGAAAATCTGGATGATCTTTCTCGGCCAATGCAGGGATCGAACACCCGACCTCCAGACTAGTGAACCAACGTCTTACCCACTTAGCTACCGTGATCCCCCTCCAGCAGGTGAAACATCATACATAGTACACAGTATACTTACTTCCACTACCTTCCTGTCTCTTAAACTTAAAACTGCGATTGTGTCGAAAACTTGCATTATGGGTAGAACCTCTTCTAAAATGACGGAGTAGTTTCTGACGACCTTGAGCTAACCTTCGACCTAAAAAAAATGAATGATAAACAAATTATATCCTATTTAAAGCTTCTATCTTTATTTGATTGACGATAATATAAACACCGCCAATTTTTGCTAAAATCTTTTGATTGGCCTCTTTTTAAAACGATTGAATCTAAAGCCTGGATATCATCTACAGTTCATATTTGAAAAGCCCAGGGGAATAACGATCGAAGTCACTTTTTCAAAGAACCCCAGTTAATGGCGCCATCTGGTAGCAAATTGTATAAGCTTTCTGTGGAACAATCTATTTCAGGTAAAAACGATCAGAGTCACATCGAACCAAGGCCCTTCTGAAATTGCCTCCCGAACAAATACGTTCATTGTACCCTTTATTTGACCTTAATTTGGCTGAAAAGTGGAATTCAGTTGTTGTACTGGTAATTATGATTCGTATTAAACATCATTTTGAAGTTGTAATTAAACCCACTCGTTGTCCTGTTCGCGTCAAACATTCTCGTAAGTCTGTTTTGCCTTTTATCCCCTGCACTCTTCATTTTGTTTTGGTATTCCTGAGTATGTTTTAGCATGGATGAAACAGTGCAGGTTTAGACATGTCCCAAAATTGGAAATTACAATTAGCTACTTTAAAATCTATCCTCGGTATTCCCAGTGGTATTGTTCCTTTCTACTCCACTAATCCCTGGATCCATTCACTTGATATTCACGCATTCCAATTATCTGCCCATTATGATTTCATTGGCCACATAGGTTGTTTCTACGAACCAATCAAAAATCAGATTACATACCAGTCTTACTATCATTGTTTATGTTCGCCACAATACAGCAGTTTGTACGTGCGATTATGAGAAACTTAACAAGAAATTTAATTTCAAAGTAGTGACATGCACAGAAAAAGATGTCCTGAAGTATTCCAACAAAGTTTACAACAATGATTCGACGATCCTTGTTTCAACAAAATGGGACTTACCTCCCTTTACCCACCTGCATAATATTTATGGAATTTTTTGATTGGTGGATAAAATTATCGCAATGATCAAGGGGAGATAATTTGATTTAAATCATGTCCGCAATAACCTTGTTAAAAAGACTATTCACAAAAACTTGTTGACTACTTCAATAAAATTAATTATTTATGACAAATATTCTATTTCTAAACTATCAACAGCAGGCTCAGTGAATGAGGCTTACCAATAATTATCTTGTTTAAAGATCCATTATGGGAGATTAGATAAAGAGCTGGTAGTTCTCACTATAATTGTTAAAAAGTAGATAATGTAATGGGAATATGCTGAAAATTTCAGTCAAATTGCTCCACTCTGATGCAGCGATTGAATGTTACGCCTAGCCTCAATCATCATTACAATAGCCTCCATTTTTGGATTTAATCATCAGATCGGATTCAAATCCAGTGAAAGTTCGACACATCGAGATAATAGCTTGGATAAGTTAATTAATGTCTAATAATTTAGACAACATTTCAGGTTAACAGAAAGACGTGCAATAGGCAAATTTAGCTCTTATTTAAATTATTGTGGGCTTATATAAGAATCGTATTTTTAGACAAAACTAGTTCACTTAAAATATGACTTAAGTTAAACTACAGGATAGATTGGAGTATACAATATATTTTAGTTTTACAGATCATATTCTAGATCAGTTAAATATGACTTAAAGGGACAATAACACTCTTGCTGGCTTGGCAGCTCCAGAAAATAAAAAAATAGCCTTATTCTAAGTACTAGATGTGTTAGTGTCCTACCTGTTGTGTAAATTATCCATTAAATCTTATTTTTCTTGTCCAGAGGGTTCAAAAATATTTTTAAATCCAAGTCACATTTGAAAAGCTTTACGACAGGCTTTTCAAATCATTTAGTTGAATTTTTCCAATTTTTTAAATTAGGTGTGTTACGATGAAATTTGTATCATCAATTAATTGGAATATTGTAAAATAGTACAATTTGTTGACCAGAATAAAGATTGGGACATATTATTCAGTTACAACAAGAGTGGTATTGAGCCTTTAAGTTAAACTACAGGATAGATATTTTAATTTTACAGATGGTACTCTAGACCTACCTCTTTCTTTCTTCTCATCTTGATTAGGATCTAACACTGATATAGATGTCGTACTACTATGTATAGAGTCTGATCTCTCAGTTAATACAGCAAAACTTATTTTACGATCACCAGGACTTCCTACTGGACCTAAAATAAACAATAAAACTCTATTACATACTGAAAGCACGACTGACACAAACAAAAATATTTCAATCAGAATATTAATATTCAAGGTTTTTTTATATAGTTAATGAAAAGAAATGTTTAACACAGCTTTACCAAGTTTCTAAATATGGAGACTAATGATTTCGTAGTTTCAGATGATAAAATTGGGGGTTGGGGGGAGTGGCCGATTGGTCTAAGGCGTGCGCGTTGCATCATAAGGTCTGTCATCGAGTCAAGTGGCGTAGTTTTGATTGCCCGCTTGTACGTGACAAGAAATAGTGTCAACTGTGTTTTCTCTGGGGCCTCCTTTTCCTCCCACTGCTAAAGACTCCTCCACGCAAGCAAATTATTGAAATAAAATGTTAGTCCCAAAATGACCAAGTATGTGTAGAGTGGACGTTAGACCCCAATTCTCTCTCTCTGATAAAATTCTGACAATGCTTGCTATTTTCATCATATTTGTTGATATACATTACATATGATATAAATTACATAGTTTACTGTCAAAAGAATCCTTGTTTGTGGCTATTACTGATCGACACAGAATGACGGCTAACTCAAAGAAGTCATGGACAAGAAATTTTATGACCAACCTGTTGCTTGGGGAAGTTCTGCTATGTTTGATTCAGAACTCTTGTCTGAATGACCTGGACTACTAACAATACTACTGAATCGTCTGGATGTAACAGTCTTTTCCCATACATGATCTCTTTTTTGACTGCGAGATTTGGGTAAATACTGGAAAGTTTCTCGTAGAAATGTTGTAATCTCCAACAAAACCAGACAACCCAACATTTTCAAGGCATACGGACATCCAGTTCCTTTTGCATTGACAGATGCTGAAATGGAAAATAGATAATTATTGTGAAGATTCCTAAAGTTATCATGAAATGGCTGAGGTGGATGGGTTGGGTGATTAAACAGTCTAATGCGTGCACTTTAGATCAGAAGGTCTGGTCTTGAGTCAAGTAGCATGGTTTCGACATGACAAGGTGTAGGGTCTCCTGCCCAACCCATTTTTCTCCCTCTTAACACATAGCAAAAATATAAAATTTATGTCCTGGAAGTTTTTAGGACCTCTTTCCATGAAGTATTCTGTTCATGCAGTAGAGCTAGAAAGCAAAGCTAGCCGGGTATCTCATTCTCAGTGATGCAGGACAGGGGGCATGACACAGATAAACATTTAGTCATTTGGATGGAGTGAAAAGTCTCATGGTCCATCATCATACTTCCTGGTGTGCACATGCATGGCATATGACAGTCTTCAAGAGCAGCCTGGAGGTCGGGTGTTCGATCCCTGCATTGGCCGAGAAAGTTCATCCCGATTTTCAGGCGTGTTTTCCCCTTGTCAGTGGTGCAGGACGGAGGGCCTGACAAGGACAGCTGTCTAGTCGTTCAGATGGGACGAAAAACCGAGGTCCCGTGTACACATTGGAGTGCACGTAAAAGATCCCTTGGCAGTTGGAAGTCGATATAAGAGTAGGCCATAGCGCCACTGCTCGGGCAAAATTTCCCTTATAGCACACTGCATGGTGTATGACCGTCTTCATTAGCCCAGTTTAGGAGCAGAACAGTAGGACGTTAAACCCCATTTCATTTCATTTCCAATTGGTTCAGTAGGCTATTCCGTTTAAAGAGATGTTTCTTGAGGTGTTTAAGGGGTGGGTGGATGGCTGAATGGTTAGTGTGTGCGCGCGCTGTATCATAAAGTCTGTCATTAAGTCGACTGGCGTGGTTTCGAATCCCCGGTTGTACGTGACAAGGAGTAGGGACGCCTGTCCAACCTCGTGGGTTTTCTCCGGGTCCTCCGGTTTCCTCCCACTGCTAAAGACCCCTACGCGCAAGCGAATTATTGAAATAAAATTAAACCATACATTAGTCCCGAAATGATCTAGTTTGTGTCGAGTGGACGTTAAACCCCATTTCTCTCGCTCTCTCTCTGTGTGAGGTGTTTAAAAATAATTCCTGTGCAATGAATTTCAATACCTTGTATGTGTAATGCTCAGTTAAAAAAAAATATTTGTTTTACCTTCATCTAGAAAATCTTCTTCTTCATCTTCCATTTTTAATTCTTTTCTTTTACTTTCATCTTTAATATCGTTGATGATAGACAGACGATCAGCGTGTTCCTTCGCTAATATATACTCCAACTGACTCCCTAAATTCTGTAGAAGTAGGAAAAATTATAGTTACATTTGAAACCAAGTAGGAAAAATTATAGTTACATTTGAAACCAAGTACATAGACATTTTTCTTGTTAACAATTTCAACGGTTAATTTTTCTTGTTAATTGTTATAGTCATTTTATTTCACTGTTTTATTATAAAAATTAAGAGTTTTTATGTAAGGTCAAACCAATTAGAATTTGTGCTCTTTGGGAATAGGGGGGTTGGGTGGTCTAGCAGTTTAATACGTGCGATTCAGGTGCTACGATATGATTCGTACCATGATTCAGGTCAATATTTACCAAGAAAACAACAGTATAAATGATTAATTGATATTTTTAGTCATGCTGATTTTGAAGAAATAAAACTGCTTTATAACACGATATTGATGTGGATCAAAATAAGGACCAAAACAATTTAAGAGTGTTTGTGTACCTATGGATAATGTGTGAAGTGAATAATTAAGCATGACAGGTTACTTATACTGAACTGATAAAAAAACAATAATCGCGATACATCGTTTCAGAGTCTCACGATTCTATACGCGGATCGTGAGAAGGTGTATCGCAATACATTGATTCCTAATACATTGATATATCGTGCCACCACTAATTAAGACCCTGAAAAACTATAAATTAAATTGCTTTGGTCTAATTGATTTTATTTACAATATTCATTTGGACTCAAAATCAAAATTTAAGAGCGTACCTCTGCCCAGGAATAAAACAGTCGTCCAGCAGCCCTTTTGAGCATCAAATTACGAAGATATCCAGATGGTTGTCCTCTATTTTGTAGAGCTGCCACAGTGTGTCGAAAACTTGGCAGGTTTAATTTCATCCAGTTTGGCCAGTCACCATGGTTACAGCGATGTATAAAATGAGCACACTCCAACAACATGGCTGCTCGTGAAGACACAGGAGCATCCTTAATAAAAATAAAAATTGAGATATAGTCCTAAAACAACTGACTAACCTTCATTCTCTATGATTATCACTAAATATTTTGTCATATTTTGTGGTTTAACGTCCACTCCACGCTACTAGGTCATTTCTGGACATATGGTTCAATTTGATTTCAACAATTCGCTTGTGCGTAGGGGTCTTTAGCTGTGGGAGGAAACCAGAGAAGCCGGAGAAAACCCACAAGGTTGGACAGGCAACCCTACTCCCTGTCACATAGAACCGAGGAATCGAAACCACGCCAGTTGATTCAATGACAGACCTTATGATACAGAGCACCCGTGCTAACCATTCAGCCATACAACCCAGCCACCCCGCCACCCCCTTCCCTGTATTGCCCAGATCCCACATGTCCCCATTCTTCCTTTGTATTTGTCAGATAACGAAACTTTCCCTTTATTAACTTACCAAATCCAACATGGCTGCCACTAACTGTGGATCTGGGAAAGAGCCTGGTGAAGAACATTCCATTAAGAAGGAGAAACGAAGCATTCCTGATCTGATGAGAAATTTATCGACAAGTTTTCTCTCTTTCACTAATACTGTTTCATTTGTTGTATCATGTATGTTACTTGTTTTACTGCTGCGAAAATCTGAAACGTGACAAGAAACATAAAATTCATTAATACTTCAGATAATCTTCACAGTTAAAGTATTGAGGAATAAACTCTCCAATCAGCAGTTATGTGTAGGATAGAGCATGAGACTGAAGTTATGCTAGGGAAGAAAGACTGATAAAAATAACCTGAGAAAAAGGAAAACCGAGGCCAATTACATGTACGGAAAATGAGAACATCCTAGAATTCCAGAAAGAAAAACCTTATATCAGGTATTCTTATGGGGAAAAAACCCTATCCTGGAAGAATAAATCGTAACAGTTTTTGAAGAAATTCCCCTGTATATATTCAAAGTCCCCCCCCCCCCCCCGACATTCAGACCCCAAGTTATTCCAGGCATTGAATATACCCTAAAGATCAAAGAGATTTACCGTTAAAGGTTCAAAGCAATAAAATAACCAATGGTAGCTAATGCCCTTTATGACGTAACAATGATGTATGTGTAATTATTAGTTTGTTACGTCTATTATTAAGATAGGTTGCCAGGCAACAAAACATACGCCCACAGGGCTGTAACTATGAAAGTAATCAACAGAAATTGTTGAAATTCGACAGACTTTTTCGTTTTACTAATTCAAATAATACATTTCAATTTCATACAGATCGGATGATAATTTTTGTCGTTCGACAAAGTAAAACAAGGGCCATAACTCTAGAAGTAATTGACAGAAATTGCTGACATTCAATAGGCTTCTTCATTTCACTAATTTAAATGATGCATATGAATTTCATACAGACTGGGTGATAACTTTTGTCGTTCACAAGTGTTCACAAGATTCAACAATGTGAAACAAGGGCCATAACTCTAGATGTAATTAACGGAAATTTGCTGAAACTCAATAGGCTTTTTTTCGTTTTACTAATTTAAACGATACCTATAAATTTCATACAGATCAGATAATAACTTTTGTCGTTAAAGCATTCACAAGGTACAACAAAGTGAAAAAAGGGCCATAACTCATGGTGTAATTAACGGAAATTGTTGAAATTCAATAGGCATCTTCGTTGCACTAATTTAAATGATGCATATCAATTTCAAACAGATCGGATGATAACTGTTGTCATAACAACAAACTGTCACAACAAACTGGAACAAGGGCCATAACTCTAGATGTAATTAACAGAAATTGCTGAAATTCAATAAGCTTCTTTGTTTTACTGATCTAAATGATGCATATAAATTTCATACAGATTAGAGCATTAACAAGGTACATCTTTGTTTCACTAATTTAAATGATACGTATCAATTTCAAACAGATCGGATGATAACTGTTGTCATTAGAGCGAAACAAGGGCCATAACTCTAGATGTAATTAACGGAAATTGCTGAAATTCAATAGGATTCTTTGTTTTACTAATTTAAATGATGCATATAAATTTCATACAGATCGGTTGATCTTTTGTTGTTGGAGCGTTCAGAAGAAGCAACAAAGTGAAACATGGGCCATAACTCCAGACAATATTAACGGAAGTTATTGAAATTAAATAGGCTTCTTCATCTTACTAATGCAAACAACATATATCAATTTCAAAACAATCAGATCATAAATGTAGTCTGTAGAATGTTCACAAGAAATTGTGGACGGACGGACGGACGGACGGGGACGACGGCAATATACGACCACATTTCCATGTGGGCGTATAAAAATTACAAGCAGTCAACTTTTTAAAAATTACGGGGGGTCACGGTGGCTAAGTGGGTAAGATGCTGGCTCGTTAGCCTGGAGGTCGCGTGTTTGATCCTTGCATTGGCCGAGAAAGTTCATCAGGATTTTCTGATATGGTTCCCCCCTTGTCAGTGGTGTAGGACGGAGGACCTGACAAGGACAGCTGTCTAGTCGATATAAGAGCAGGCCATAGTGCCGCTGTACGGGCAAAATTGCCCTCATAGCACACTGTATGGTGTATGCCAGTCTTCATTAGCCCAGTTCGGAGCAGAACAGTAGGACGTTAAACCCTATTTCATTTCATTTAGTTCAATTACTAAATGTCATTGAATCGAATATAATAATATAGACCTTATTACTACTTACCTTTGCCCAACTTTCCTTTATTCCACGCCTTATTGGCCAATTCTTTATCTACTGACATTCTCTTACGGGCACTGAGGAAGGTCAACGTTGCGTGACTAGCTGCTTTAAAAGACATCTTAGCCTTGGCACGGTGAACGTGAACATCACTTTTACTGTCCCTTCTGTCGAGATTTTGAGGATGTTCGTGATGACTCTCTTCCTCATGATCAGATTTTGCCTGACGTCTCCAACCTAAAAACGAAATAAAATTAATTAATGTCTTACTTTCCTGAAAAGAAATGGAATTTAAAATCTTATTTCTTTTCTGCGTAAGTTGAAAATACCAGATCATAAAATGTTAAGATTTTCCTTTTAATTTTTGTCATTTATTTATATAAGTTCTACTATAAAATGGGGGGTTTGGATGGCCGAATGGTTGTATCATAAGGTCTGTGATTGAGTCAATTGGTTTGGTTTCGATTCTCCGGTTGTAGGTGACAAGGAGTAGGGTTGTCTGTCCAACCTAGTGGGTTTTCTCCGGGTCCTCCAGTTTCCTCTCACTGCTAAAGACCCCTAAGCGCAAGCAAATCATTGAAATAAAATTGAATATGTTAGTCCCGAAATGAACAAGATTTTGTGAGTGGGGGTGGACGTTTTTAGTTCGCTACATATATTCATCTTTAGAGAGAGAGAGAGAGAGAGAAAGAGAGAGAGAGAGTGAGAGTGTTTATATAGTCCACTCAGCACAAACTAACTTTTGGGGACTAACATACGGTTCAATTTTATTTCAATAATTCGCTTGCGCGTTGGAGTCTTTAGCAGTGGGAGGACCCGGAGAAAACCCTCAGGAGGTTGGACAGGCGACCCTACTCCTTGTTACGTATAACCGGGGAATCGAAACCACGGCAGTTGACTCAATGACAGAGCTTATGATACAGCGCGCACACGCTAACCATTCGGCCATCCAACCCCCACATTCAACTTTAGATACAAGTATATGTTTTGCCCTACCTATATTAAATTTACTGAATCTGCGTCTGGGTGTGCTATAACCAGACGGGGAATCTTCTTCAGCAGCCGATATACTGGTCCGTGGACTTTTCCCATGTGCACTTTCATCTAATAACTCGGAATCACTGGCTGCATACTGAAACATTAATGACTGAAAAACAGAGGGTAACATGTTATTTATTAATTATTAATATATCAATCAGATTACAAGGACAGCTGTCTAGTTGTTCGGATGGGACGAAAAACACATGGTAGGGTGTTATTTATTAACTATAAATATATCAATCTGATTACAAGAACAGTTGTCTAGTTGTTCGGATGGGATGAAAAAACACATGGTAAGGTGTTATTTATTATTTATTAATATATCAATCTGATTACAAAGACAGTTGTCTAGTTGTTCGGATGGTACGAAAAACACATCGTAACGTGTTATTTATTAATTATTAATATATCAATCTGATTACAAGGACAGTTGTCTAGTTGTTTGGATGGGACAAAAAAACACATGGTAAAGTGTTATTTATTATTTACTAATGCATATACTGAGCACCTAAGTCTCTTCATGGCCTATATTAGCTATTTCTATTAACAGCAAATTTGCAAAGGTGACAAATGTAATTTTAATATTTTTATTCATCACGTCACATAGAAAATGTGTTATGTAACTCCTTTAAACTGTTAGGCAATCATTCCCAACCGCTAAATATTTAAAACTGAAATTTTCGGGCGAGGTACATGGGCTATTTCTTCACATTTTGATTTGCTAACTTAAAGAGTCATTACGTAAGAGCTAAATTTTCGTATTGCAGTTCAAATGTTATATAGACTATTAATTAGACATTTTTGCACGTGACTAGACCATAATCCACTATCTAGACCATTGGATGGCTGAGATTTTGAGTGGATTAGACAACTTTGCACAAGAACATAAACCACTATCTAGACCATCGGATGGCTGAGATTTTGAGTGGATTAATTAGACATTTTTGCACATGACTAGACCATAATCAACTATCTAAACCATCGAATGGCTGAGATTTTGAGTGGATTAGATAATGTCTAGTGAGAAATCAAGTGAAAACTGAAACATTTCCTTTAAAAAAACACAAATTATATCCTGCATATATATAGGTCATAGGCTTCAAAAGTCGACAGCAGAAGAATAACCAGCTAAGCTAAAATGTCAATATATATAGTTATCAGAAAGAGATGAAAAACTGTATAGAAGTTATTATAAGGAATGGCTATAGGGGAAAAGAACAAAAATATTAGATAATATATATGTAAACATAGAGCCATAAATATAATGAATAAATAATTAAATAACAATATTAGATAATATATAGGGACATAAAAATAATGAATAAATAAACAAATATAACAATATTAGTGTCAAATTTATATTCTTTAACTAAATTTTATTCTAAACAATAGATTATATAATTTAATTAATAATACTGCAAAGCAGGAAAGAAAAGACACAACAAAGAATAGGTCTAATAACAAACTTTAATCCAACCAGTTTAATGAGTTCTAGTGGTGTTTTATAAAGAATAGGTCTAATAACAAACTATAATCCAACCGGTTTAATGAGTTCTAGTGGTGTTTTATAAAGAATAGGTCTAATAACAAACTATAATCCAACCAGTTTAATGAGTTCTAGTGGTGTTTTTTAAAGAATAGGTCTAATAACAAACTATAATCCAACCAGTTTAATGAGTTCTAGTGGTGTTTTATAAAGAATAGGTCTAATAACAAACTTTAATCCAACCGGGTTAAAGGGGTTCTAGTGGTGTTTTATAAAGAATAGGTCTAATAACAAACTATAATCCAACCAGTTTAATGAGTTCTAGTGGTGTTTTATAAAGAATAGGTCTAATAACAAACTATAATCCAACCAGTTTAATGAGTTCTAGTGGTGTTTTATAAAGAATAGGTCTAATAACAAACTATAATCCAACCGGTTTAATGAGTTCTAGTGGTGTTTTATAAAGAATAGGTCTAATAACAAACTATAATCCAACCAGTTTAATGAGTTCTAGTGGTGTTTTATAAAGAATAAATCTTTAGTTCAATGAAATGAGTTCTAGTGTGTTTTATAAAGAATAAATCTTTAACTTTAATGGAGAAAAAAGTTCAAATTTATGTGATTCTAAAAACAAAAACAACACTGATTTTATTTTTCTCAGGATATTATATTCATGGATGAACACAAAATCGACAGACGCATCCTTAATGAAGCAAATGGAATTTTTATCATTCATAATGAAATGTAAGCATTTATTTCTTGCTTTACAGTAAGTCCGTAATTAATATATATTCAAAAGAAAATGGTTAAATTAGTTGAAACTTTTATGTATGTTAAAAATGCTTGATCTAGCCGTAACATTTCAACTTTCTAAAAAAAAAAGTAGTTTATCCTAGTTTTCCTCTTGGTCACAACAAAACACCTTTCATAACGTCTAACCATATGGTGTCTTTGTCGTCATGTCAAAGTCTGAAATTTTCAACACAATCTCAATTCATAAATCAATGTCAAGAACTGCAGACGTCTCCAGAAATGAAACTTTAAAAGAAATCGACAATTTTAGTTTTAACGTTTGAATGTAAAGGAACACCCCACACCCCACTAGTATGATAATTCTTTTAAAATTCCCCAGGCAAGACAACGGCTAGATCAAACATCATTCAACATATGCGTTAATTACCTTTCTGAGTTTTCTACGGAAGAAAGATTTGCGAGATTTAACAGGAGTGTTAGTAGTATCATTAGTGTGAATACTAGAGATGGGAGACTGGGTTACCTCCTTCTCATCACCACTATCAGACGTCACAGATGTTGTCCGTCTGCAAAAAAAATAATTTTCAATTTTATCACCTTCATTAGCAAGCCTGGAAATAAGGCACCTGTCACAGAAAATGTCAGGCACAAATTCAGGCTTTGTCCGGCACAAAACCTCTGGTGCTTGTCATTTTGTCCGGCACTGATTTGTCTTCTTTATTTCATTAGTGTCTGACATTTTGTCAGGTACATCTAAAACCATTACTTCCAGGCCTGTTCATCACTACTAACAAATTATTTCAATGACATCAATGGCAATTCTATGGCATACAATTACTGTTTAATAATGAGAGATGTTTCGACTAGGCTTCTCTAGCCATTATTGTTTTTTACATGAATATAATGTCTCATCATATTTCATAGAGAGAGAGAGAGAGAAATGGGGTTTAACGTCCACTCGACACAAACTAGGTTATTTCGGGACTAACATATGGTTTTTTTAATTTTATTTACATAATACACTTGCGCGTAGGGGTCTTTAGCAGTGGGAGGAAACCGGAGGACCCGGAGAAAACCCACGAGGTTGGACAGGCGACCCTACTCCTTGTCACGTACAACCGGGGATTCGAAACCACGCCAGTCGACTCAATGACAGACTTTATGATACAGCGCGCGCACGCTAACCAGTCAGCCATCCAACACCCCCCCCCCCCCCCATCATATTTCATATTGCTTGATAGAGAAGAGAGAAGCCTATAGTTGAAATGTCGCTCAATAAACATACATTATTCAAGAGCTAAATCTGTCTATTGCACGTCTTTCTTTAGGCCTGAAAAGTTATCTAAATTATTAATTAGACATTAATTAACTTATCCTGACCTTAATCGCTAGCCTGTGATATTTAGTGGATTGGAATACATTTTTTGAAAAATAATTAATCAAGACTTTGTTTTTTATCGTACCAACTTTAGTAGTGATGACTGAGGCAAGTCTAAAATTCTAAACTTAATATCTCGGTTCAAAGTGGAGAAATTGGACTGAAATTTTCAGCATATTCTATTTACGTTATCTATTTTTTTTACTATTATAGCGAGAACTGTCAACTCTTTATGTAATCTCTAATAATACCCCTTTAATGAGCGATGTTTCGACTAGGTTTCCCTAGTCTCTGGTATTGTATATATTGTCTTGTCATATTTTATATTTCATCATTGCTTGATAATGACTAGAGAAGGCTGGACGAAACGTCGCTCAGTAATAAGCAGTAGTTGTATTCCATAAAATTGTGACCTGTGTATACTACTAACATGCCTAAAATACCAAGTTAGTCAATACCAGGCCTAAATTCAGGTTCTGTTAGACACAATTCCTTTGGGGCCTTATTCATGAAATCTTAAAGCAAAATATTTTAAGGATGCAGCCCTTTTATTGGTCAAGAGATAAAATCATTGTAAAAATTCTAGCTCTTAGCCAATGAAAATGCTGCATAAATCTAATGGTGTTTTTTTCATTCTCTTAGGCACATATCAAATATATACAAAAATATGAATCGTAACTTACTGCATTGTGTTTTCTGGTTTTGACATTCTACTTTCCCGCTCTTTTTCCATTTTACGTCTGCGAAGCTTTTGAAGGGAATCAAGGAGGCCACTTAAAGCAATTCTACGATATGTCCCACCGTGCACTTCTTTTACATAAGATGTAAACTGACGGACATCACAAAACAGACCCTGAAAAAGTAAAAAAAGAGAATATTCAAATGATGACAAGAAAAATTATTCAATATAAAAGTCTAACTAATTAATGAATTATCAATTGTATTTTTTTTCATAAAAATTCTGTTACAAAATAAAAAAGGAATACATGTTTACTCAAAATTTCAAATTTGTTACATAATGCATGCATCTTTAACCTTTAGAAAAGATTTTTTATAAAATGTAACTTACAATATTTTCATGACCACATAGCTCAGATACACATTCAACACATCTCGAAACAAAATGTTTGAAGACATTTGCAATGAGTACTCCCTCTACACCTCTATAACCTTCTCCCCCGATACTATGACCAAAATTATTAGCATAACCATTTCGTGGCAGTGTTTCCTGTGAGGCTGACTTCTTTTGAGCTGTAAAATAATTGTAGAAATAAATACATGTAGTTATGAGTATGTACATCATGATGCTATGTACAATGGAAGAAACCCAAGTTTCTCTTGAACCTGTTGAACAAGAGAAATGAAATGAGATGGGGTTTAACGACCCTGTTGAAAAAAGAGTGAACATTTGTATAGCGCTATTCCACACTGACTGTATGCTCGTAGCACAAGAGTTGAGTTTTCTACAATTCTAGCAACATTTAAAACACAGTTCTAAACATAGCGTCGGAACAGATAAGTCTTCAGTGATGATTTGAAAGTTGATAGGGTTGTGGATTGGAGATAAAATTGAATAAAAGTTAAATTTTCTGGTTAAATATCTTCGTTTCATCATTCCACACAATTATAAACACGTAATATTAAATTCACATCTAACATTCAGTTCCAATTAAAATGATGTCATTTTTACAAAATCGTGCTATAAAGTCAGAGTTCAAAAAAGGGTTAATGTTAGCTGCCAATGAAGAATTTATTATGATTAAGATTGATGTAAAACTAAACACCTGAACTTTCAAATTTGAGCAAAAATATCTGTTTTTAAAATGTGAATGAATGGTAGAAGGAATTGTGTCTAGTCTTTTGAATGAGATGCAAAATCGAGGTACTGTATACACATTGGTGCATGTAAAAGAACTCTTAGCAGTGTGCCTTTTTTCTTTAGCCCAGTTGGGGCAGAAAAGTAATCAAAAATGTGATAAAACTTACATGCCCCTTGTGGAGAGTGTAGAATAATTGTAGGATCTGTACAAAAACCTAACAAAGCATGTAAGAAATCCACTGATTCCTGTAGAGGTCGTGTCTTGACTGTATCTCGGAGAAATCTATGGAAGTGTGGAGGATGGAGTTTCTGTAATCTCTGTAGACATTGTTGACCTTTCAATCGAAGGTGATCTCCTTGAGGACCGACAATTCCATCCCCACAACCATGAGGACAACCTAAGGCTTTATAAATTCTGAAACAAAGACAAACCAAAAGTTATCAGGAATAATTCAGTAAGTTGATCTTGGGGAGGAGTACTCATGCTGCAGATCACTGTCGTACCGTTGTTTCGAACACAAGAAGGTGTTCAGCTTCGATTAAACTTTATTACAGTTTACACATTACACTAACAATCTTTCAATCCAAGTCCAGTCTTCCATTCTCACTCACCGCCAATGACACCAGCCCAGCTCGTGTCTCTCACCCTTTCTTCGCTCCAATGCCTTATATGGAAGTGCAATAAGATTACATCATACAATCGTACTGCTATTAGATTAAAGGTACATTCGCACAGTTACTGTTTGTCACAATCACAGAAGAAAGAATTGCAATCCTCAAGACAGGCATCTAAGGAGAGGGGCCTGTGAGACTAACAAGGAAAGAAATGAAATAGGGTTTAATGTGCTACTGTTCTGCTCTAACTGGGCTAATGAAGACGGGCATAGGCTATACAGTGTGCTATGAGGGAAATTTTACCTGGACAGCGGTGCCACGGCCTACTCTTATATCAAATTCAAACTGCCAAGGGATCTTTTACTTAGTACCACTGGCAAAGAGGAACCACGATGAAAAATCCTATACCATTGACAAGGGGGAACCACGCCGAAAAACCCTGATGAACATGCAGGGATCCAAATCGGGACCTCCAGGTTAGCGAGCCAACGAACAAGGAAGGTACCGGTATGCCTAGTCCTTAAGATGGGACGAAAAACCAAGCTCCAGTGTTCATAACCATTTGCCTCTCGAGTGTCAAGCAATTGCTGATGACGGACAGACAGACAGACTTAATTGACGTCAATTTACATTTCAATGTAGGTGTATAATAAAAAGGTTAACATTTACCTAAACAATGAATCCATGTCAAGCAATGGTGGATAACGGACAAACAGACAGACAGACTTGACAACAATTTACCTTTCAATGTAGGTGTATAATCAAAAAGTTTACATTTACCTAAACAAAGAATCCCTGGCAAGCAATGGTGGATAACGGACAAACAGACAGACAGACTTGACAACAATATACCTTTCAATGTAGGTGTATAATAAAAAAGTTAACATTTACCTAAACAAAGAATCCCTGGCAAGCAATGGTGGATGACGGACAAACAGACAGACAGAATTGACGACAATTTACAGGTGTGTTATAAGAAGATTGACATTTACCTAAACAAAGAATCCATGGCCAAACTGTGAGCTGTAACATTCCCTTTAGTGCTCTCTAGAATTGGAGATTTATCCGACTGTGGAGTCTCGGCACTCTCTGGGGTCGTCACAGATTGGGGACTCACTGGATGGTTGGTCTCGATAATATCAAGATCGAGCAGGCAGTTTAAAATATTCAACAGAACTTCGCAGATCGATGGCGAGCGTTCCGACAGAGCGATAAAATGGACAGCTCTAAGGACAACTTTATAATTAATATGGCCGTTGTCTTGAATATAGTATTTGGAACCAGCGACTTCCTGGATTTCTTCTTCGTGTTGGTAATAGATATTGGAATCCGTCAAGCTTCGCGACATATTGCCGCCAGTTGTCAGGTGACTATCTTCTGCATCTCCTTCACTGGCACAGAGATCATAATTAGACGGGAATTTAGGATCAGGGCTGTGTTCCGTGATTGTAATGATTGGTCTTCTGATTGGTTCTGGTTTCTGCAAATCATCTTTGGAAGAATTTGATGAATCGTGTCCACTAAGATGGCTGCCACTACCGACCGATTCTTTGTCCGATTGCGGTAATGTGGGCATGCTTTTACGCTGTGATTGGCGATCTTCTTTAACGCTGGTGTAGGTGCCATGTGCAGAATTTGGACGAATCATTTCCGTTTCTGTATCAACAGTGGATATGGTACATGAACTAGAAGAATCGTCATGGTAACTTTTAAAGATATGTCCATGATCATGTTTTGTTGTTTTAGGCGATTGTGAACCGCTGGTATCAATCTCACCACTTTCTTTTTTCTTTAATAACATTTTACCTGAAGTAAAGATACAAAAATTACATTTGTAGTAGTTTTACATTGTTTACATTTTAGAAGGTTTACATTTTAGAAGCCACAACAATTCTTTAGCATATGGACCACTCAAAACCGTTCAAAACTATTGCTGCCTCCAGAACAAACGGCTGTGAATTGTTTCATTGGCTAATCCCTCACACCATCCAGAATGCGGGTTATATAACAACTCTTCCAGATCCTAGTGTAGTAAAGACAAGTGGAACGAAATTTTGAACTATAAAAAACGAAACGAAAAAAGGATCTAAGTTTTAATCAGATTGAAAGATCACCTTTCTCAAACCAAATTATGGGAGGTGGGGTATTAGGTGTAATTAATAAATTATTTCCCTGGCATTAAGTTTAGATCGCCTTGAAAATTATTAGAATTAGAATATATGAGAGAGAGAGAGAGAGAGAGAGAGAGGGAGAGAGAGAGAGACTAACATATGGTTCAATTTTATTTCAATAATTCACTTGCACGTAGGGCTCTTTAGCAGTGGGAGGAAAGCAGAGGATCCGGAGAAAACCCACAAAGCTGGACAGGCGACCCTACTCCTTGTCACGTACAACCGGGGAATCGAAAACCACGACAGTTAACTCAATGAAAGACCTCATGATACAACGTGCACACGCTAACTATTCGGCTATCCAACCCCCCCAGGAATATATGAGTGACCACATTATAAAATGACACAAAAAAATAAATTAAATAAGCTACAAACCAGAATCAAAGAACTGTTTTAATTCAATGACTCGTATTTTTTTAAATGGCGGTTCTTTACGTATCTCGGGTGTACTGAACAACCCCATATTGAACGGTTTATGTGTCGTAGGTGAATTAGGTTGAGGAGATGGGGTTCGTGTATCGTGACTCGGAGATAGTCGGATTTTTTCTTCAGGGGAACCAGGTTTACTTCCTTGCAGTACTTGTAAATCTGGTATGGGTAAACTGTGACTTCTGGCTCGGACAGCGTGATCAAATCTTACGAACTCGTCACAAACTTCTAATACACGTTGATGAACATATCTGTAAAATGTAAAACGTTTTAAGATTATTTAATAGATAGCATAAATTAATATTTGGGTATGGGAAAACTGTGACTTTTGGCTCGGACTGTGTGATCAATCTCGCCACAAACTTCTAATACACGTTGATGAGAGAGACAGAGAGAGAGAGAGAAATGGGGTTTAACATCCACTCAACGCAAACTAGGTCATTTATTTCAATAATTCGCTTGCGCGTAGGCATCTTTAGCAGTGGGAGGAAACAGGAGGACCCGGAGAAAACCCAAGAGGTTAGACAGACGACACTACCTACTCCTTGTCACGTAAACTGGGGAATCGAAACCATGCCAGTTGTCTTAATAACCATTTGGCCATCCAACCCCGCTACTAAGATTGGAAGATAATTGGGGTTCAATGAAGATTACATGTAGATGGAAATGCCACTTTGCTTTCCAGGTAAAATTTACCTCATTACCTTTTGCATCGTGCATGCCCGGCTTCATTAGCTGGCAGATGCAGACAAGTAGTATGTTAAACATTTCACAGATCATTAAAGCTTACTTGTAAGAGGGAGCCATTGTGGCCATTGTACAAAATGAACAGACTAAACAAACCCTTTAATATTTTAACATTCATAGTGTCAAACTGAAGTTGTTTTAAAACCGGAATATTACCTCAAAGCCCAAAGAATTCCATCTTCTGACCAATTCAAAGCAAACAGACATCTTAGCACGGCTATATCAAAATAACTTGCGCTCAACATATCTGGTTCTTCTGTAGTTCGGTTACCACTGTTTACAGCACTAGCTAGCCTCTGTTTCACATAATCTTTATCCACAGCAGACGTCAATTTTTGAAAGGCGTAATTTTTCGAATCGGGAAGATAGGCCACAAGACTGTCTTTTCGACCACATTTACAGGTCATGCCCACACCCTCTGCTGTTTTGACTGGCATCACGGTATTACAGAATTCACACATCACCTCCATAGTAGGTGCTTGGGAAGCAGCAGACGATAAAGGACAAATGTCACTCATCCGGGCTAAAGGAGCTGTAGGACTTTGAGGATCTTGAACAGCCAAACTCAGCTTACTAGAATTATCAAAAAGATAAGTGAGGTTTTCTCTGGAGGAACCCTTTCCGACATAAATATTGGCGGCATTGGTGTTTACGCGCAGTAGGTTACGCTGAGCTTTTAAGACATTACGTTGAGGTTTTACCGGTGTAGAAAAACATGGGATGTCAGGTTGGCGATATTCCCATAGTGGCTGCCATAACTGTAAACCATTTTCTAACTTCAGAGACTGAAAATCATCATCCTTTACAGTGTGGATTAAAGGAGCGAATAAGTAAACAAACAACTGAATTGTACTGAGGGAATGCATGTACGTAGACGGTTCCGTCTTTATCTGCTTTTCCAGGTCAATGTCGCTGCATTCTGACGAAGCATCTAAGATTATCCAGTGAAGTGTGTACAGTAACTTGATCTCAAATGGTGTAAACTTGGCTTCGGGATGTGTTTTTTTCCGTATATTGAGAAGAGAGGCACAGGCATGCATGAGATGTGGGAACGCGGCTTGAATGGTTTTCCATCTTGAAACGCTCTGTATTGCTTCACAAAGACTTGGTGAAAGACCATGCAGGATGTTTTGAACAACTACTCTTTCAAATGACTGAAACAAAATAAAATATATATTAATAGTTCTATCTTAAATCTAAAATAGTCTCGGTCACCCAGAACCTCCTAGTCTTCAACGTACGGAGGGTCTGGGACCGTTGTCAATATTTTACGTAAAGTTCCATTGCCCATGCGTAACCGGGAGTTTGCATTTTTATGTGGTTTGATTACCCAGTATTATTTGACCAAGTCAAGTAAGAGTTGCACCCCTTCCCGAAATAAATCCCAGAATTCATGCATCACACACATGAATCGTGATGACGAATTAGGATTTATTATAAAAAAAAAAAAATAAGGCCCATGAAAAGAGAAATTTTACAATAAAATTTTTTAAGAGTGTTGGATATTTGACTGGCAATGCAGATGGATTTTCTAAAATGGCAATTTTTAAATTAATTTCATTGCCGTTGACATCTTGTTTTGGGACCAGTTACCTCCCTTAGTCTTTGTTCATGATAATATAAAAGACTGGATAATCTAGCCAATGACCTATTATTCTAAAATGTTGACAACTCATCCATTCGTAAAATATTTTTCTCGATGATAGAGACTAAATCTACAATAGAGTAAACAAACTTAGAAACTTTCTAGTAGAAAGCAGAGAGATAATACATGTGTGTTAGGACCATGGCTCTGGACTACCCTTCCAGAAAGTCTAAAACAATGTCAGACTATAATGGATTTTAAAAAAACCCTCAAAACATACTAATTCCGTAAGGCATTCCTTTAACGTTTGTGTAAGACTTTGTGAAGCGCCACTGAATGCATGGCATTAATGTGCACTATATCAAATGTAATAGAGAGAGAGAGAGAAACCAGACGACCCGGAGAAAACCCACGAGGTTGGACAGGCGACCCTACTCCTTGTCACGTAACAACCGGGGATTCGAAACCACGCCAGTTGACTCAATGACAGGCCTTATGATACAGCACGCACGTGCTAACCATTCGGTCATCCACCCCCCCAGAGGATCTGGCAAGGAACAGTGTCTAGTCATTCGGATGGGACGAAAAATGAACATCACGATGAAGTGCACACAACAGAACCCTTGATAGTTCGAATTCAAATTGACATAAAAGGAGTCTGTAGTGTATCTGACTAAAATTATTGTATAGCCCAGTTGGTGCAGAAAAGTAGGATGTTAAACCCCATTTCATTTTACTTACCACACATGATGCTTCACACAGTTTTCCTTGCTTTGGTCGAATAAATGGGCTGTAAATAAAAATATACAGGTATTAATGAAGCTTCTTAATCCTTAGGGGAGTCGGGTGTTTGATCCCTGTATTGGCCCAAGAAAAGTTCATCCAGATTTTCCGGCGTGGTTCCACCTTGTCAGTGATGCACGATGTAGGGCCTGACAAGAACAGCTGTCTAGTCGTTCGGATGGGATGAAAAACTGAGGTCCGTCGTAATTGGCGTGCACGTAAAAGATCCCTTGACGGTTGGAATTTGATATAAGAGTAGGCCGTAATTCCGCTGTCCGAGCAAAATTTCCCTAATAGCACACTGTATGGCATATGCCCGTCTTCATTCGCCCAGTTTGGAGCAGACCAGTAGGACATTAAACCCCATTCCATTTCATTTCATTTCTTAATCCTTATTTATTGATGATGCAGCACAACATATAGTCATTCGAATGGCACGAAAAAATTGAGGTTCAGTTTGACAGTTGGAATTCAAAATAAAGAGAGAGAAATGGGGTTTAACATCCACTTGACGAAAACTAGGTCATTTCGGGACTAACATATGGTTTAATTTTATTTCAATAATTTGCTTGCCCGTAGGGGTCTTAATCAGTGGGAGGAAACCGGAGGACCTGGAGAAAACCCACGAGTTTGGACAGGCGACCATACTCCTTGTCACATACAACAGGGGATTTGAAACCACACCAGTTGACTCAATGACAGGCTTTATGATACAGCGCGCACATGCTAACCATTCGGCCATCTAACCCCCCTGAATTCAAAATAAGAGTAGGCTAGGCCGTAGTATTCCTGTATTTATTAGTTGAGTCGAGGTAGAACAGTAGGACATTAAACCCCATTTCATTTCATATAATGATGATGCCATATGTCATAGGCCTGTCCAACCTCATGGGTTTTCTCCGGGTCCTCCGGTTTCCTCCCCTGGCTAAAGACCCCTACGCGCAAGCGAATTATTGAAATAAAATTTTAAAAAAAACATATGTTAGTCTGGAAATGACCTAGTTTGTGTTGAGTGGACTCTCTCTCTCACTCTCATATGTCATAGATTTTTTTGGAGCTGAAATGTTTAACTCTTTACCTTTAAATAATGTTTTAAGGTATGATATTGTCTACCGCAACCATTTTCATGATAAGTAGAGAGTGAGAGAGAGATAGATATGGGGTTTAACGTCCACTCGACACAAACTAGGTCATTTCGGGACTAACATATGCTTTAATTTTATTTCAATAATTCGATTGCGCGTAGGGGTCAGCAGTGGGAGGAAACTGGAGGACCCCAGAAAAAACCCACGAGGTTGAACAGGCGACCCTACTCCTTGTCACGTACAACTGGGGATTCGAAACCAAGCCATTTGACTCAATGACAGGTCTTATAATACAGAGCGCACGTGCTAACCATTCGGCCATCCAACCCCCCATGATAAGTAGAAAACATGCTATCAGGCTGTATAACTATCCTGCAAATCTTGTATCAGTTCGGATAGTATAGTTTACCAAATAAATAAATCATGAAATTGGGGTTCTGCCTATGATTGGCCTGCAGGACACTGGCTTGAAGGAGCTAAATCACTGATATTTGGGACCTAGAAATTGACACAAATGGGTCGCAACTTGCAACGCACATAATAATATAAATGAATGTATATAAACTGATTTAATTTCTGTTTTTACTTTAATTATTAATCAATTACGCTCGGCAAAATATGGCAGAAGTCTCAATCGAATGGCAATCTCTTGGGTTCCTTTATTTTAGTCTACACCAATAGTATTTATTGCAGATGCTCTCTAGATAAGAATATGGCATCACCGTTTGACATGACTTGTGGAATATGTCTAGCCACGTTCTTCCAAGTCCCTTGTTACAAATGGCACTGGAATGCATTATGGTACACGATTTGTGTACTGATGGTAAAATGCTTATTTTGTCTTAAATATTGGATATTAGAAGCAATTCTTTTCCCGGTAAGATCACAACATCAATGTTGATTTAAATTGGCAAATAATTCGTGTTTTCAATGCCGAAGACTTTGGATGATTCAATGATTGGGCCTATTATTGAGTTACTTTAATTCCTTCAATTAATTTTAAATTGAACTGTGATAGAAAAAGATATATCTTTTTCATAGTCTATCTGCCCATGGTCTTTGAAAATTGTATCATTAAATAAAATAATGACAATTGATCAAGGTCATATTATACCTTATCTGTGTATGATGTTATCTTTTAATCCACTAACTTTTAAAGAGCCACCCAATGGCCTACTAATTACTAGGCCTTTAATTGAAACTGCCATGAATAATAGGCGTAATTTACCATATTAATGTACAAAACCGAAATACATATACGACCCCCTTGATTCTGATGTCTCGATAAGCAAAAATTCATATATTTCGTTCCGTGTAAACGTTTCATTCGTGAAATATTACCTTGTTTGACGCCAAAAAAATGTCTGAATTGGTAATGGCACCGTTTGATCGCCATCCAAATCTCCTGCTAAGTCGCATTTTCTCTTCGGCATTTTGGATTTTTATGCCAGCTTCACCACTTATTTACTGTAGGTTGATTCCGGAATCATAACCTGCAACGATGCGTGGCTCAATAGTAACATATCGGCGTCAAATTTGCACAATTTGGTCAGTAAAATCTGTCCATTTTGTAATGTTTATTAGATGCACGGTTCCTGTGTGATCAGTAGCCACTCGCACTTGTCAGAAGCTAATTGACCCGTAACCTTTCAACCATGACCTACGCCGCGATTAACTGAGTCGTTATGGAATATTGAAATGAAACAGTAAGTAGTGTCTTGTGTATCGAGTCTACTATATTGATCCGTTGGTTTTATTGTCTCGAGTTTCAGGGCGATGTATTACTATGGAATGTACACGGGTTCCTGAGAATAGTCTCGATCGATAAGTGCATATAATTAACACCGCGTCTTGGTAAACCATAAAAGACATAGGTATGAATGGATAATAAATACAGTAGCATGATAATAAAAACAAAATTACAAACTTTATAATGCGGCACGTTGTTTTGTTTTGAATGACGCGGTTGGGGGGAAAACAAAAGCAAGACAAATAGTTGCATTATATGTATGCGAATTTTCTAAAATGAATGAGAAGCGATGTCAATCAAGTTCTACGAGCTATTAGTATTAGGGCCCACGGAGGAACAAACATGCATGACAATTGACACCCATAGAGGGGACCTTGCATCGACAGTAAAAAGGGGGCATAATTCCATTCCGGCGCACACCCTCTGCACTTACCCCCTCCCCCACCCCTCCTATCGTAACATAATATGACTGTTATTTATGGTAGGCCTACTAAATTGGGACGCCCTTTAATATTAGGAGCCAGCATCTCCCTTCATCCAGCCCTGATAGACGGGACAACTATTTACTATGTATTTAGGGTTTGTGACAATTTAGGAAGGGTAGATTTGGTGTGCTGAGTGGAAAGTTGAGACAAAAAAAGTTTTGGACGTAATAAAATGTATTACTAAAACTCTATGTAAAGCGCATAGATTACATTATTTACCGTGACCTTTCCTTGAAGGGCAAAGTCGGTTAATTTTATTGATAGACTGTCGGGTAGCAACAACTTATTTAATATACTTTGCGGACCCCTTCTCCTCCAGTTTCCTAGAAGCCACGGGGCCGAGAAAGTTCATCGGGATTTTCCTACGTGGTTCCTCCTTGTCCGTGGTGCCGGATGGAGGGCCTGACAAGTCGTTCGGATGGGACGAAAAAACAAGGTCCCGTGTATACATTGGCGTGCACGTAAAAGATCTCTTGGCAGTTAGAATTGTAGGACATTAAACCCAAATTTTGCACAAGGGAGAATTCCTCACAATACCGTCCATGGTGAATTGACGAAATCTCGCGTTGATAAACGAGATGATGGTTTATTTTTAGCAACACTGACACACACCGCGTGCTAGGGTTAGGGTTAGGGTGAGGGCTGGGGTAGTGTTTTGTCCAAAAATTCGGGTTTGGTCTAAACATTCTGACGTCAGGTGCAGTTCAAAGTGGTTGACTCCGTTAGGAATGTCTCCCCGGCGACCAAGCTGTTAAACCCCATTTAATTTCATTTCTAGAAGCCACGACGGTCCAGTAAAGCGCTGACTCGCCAACCGGAAGGTTCGGGATTCGAGCCGGTGTTAGCCGAGAAAGTTCCGCGGGTTTTTTTTCAGCGTGGTGTCCCCTTGTATGTGGTGTAGGACGGAAGGAAAATCGTCTAGTCGGTCGGGTGGTTTGAGAGAGAGAGAGAGAGAGAGAGAGAGAGAGAAATGGGGTTTAACGTCCACTCGACACATACTAGGTCATTTCGGGACTAACATATGGTTCAATTTTATTTCCATAATTCGCTTGCGCGTAGGGTCTTTAGCAGTGAGAGGAAACCGGAGGACCCGGAGAAAACCCACGAGGTTGGATAGGCGACCCTACTCTTTGTCACGTACAACCGGGGAATCGAAACCCCGCCAGTTTACTCAATGACAAACGTGCTAACCATTCAGCCATCCAACCCCCCGGATGGTTTGAAAAACCGGGACCCCGTGTACACGTTGGCGTCCACCTTAAAAAATCTATTCACCGCTGAAATTCACCAAATCTGATTAAAATACAGATCAATATTTCGTTTCATTTTTTATACTTTCGATGGCCTACACTACATGAAGATCTGACCAGTTGTAAAGGAAGTCCGAGTCAGGTGTCATACGAGCGGCTTTTGACCTTATGACGTCAGACATTGATTAATCAATCAGCGTTGACGTTTCTAGTGGTGTATCCACAGTTCCGTGCAGAGCACGCCAAAGACTCGCCGTAACAGACCGTTTTACTGGCTAATTCCTCACATCAACCAGAACGCCTGTTATATAACAACTCTTCCAGATCCTAGTGTAGTAAAGACCAGTAAAACGAAATTTTGAACTATAAAAAAACGAAACGAAATAGTATGTGTTTTAATCAGATTGAAATTCACTTGCTATAGCTGTTCGGGTAAAATTTACCCCATAGCACGCAATAATGGCGTCTTTTCGTATTCATCATCACAGTTGGTGCAGAAAAGTAAGACGTTAAACCCCATTTCATTCATTTAATCTCTATTCCTGTGATTGTTACGTTAGCGTGCGCGCGCTGTATCATAAAGTCTGTCATTGAGTCGACTGGCGTGGTTTCGAATCCCCGGTTGTACGTGGCAAGGAGTAGGGTCGCCTGTCCAACCTCGTGGGTTTTCTCCGGGTCCTCCGGTTTCCTCCCACTGCTAAAGACCCCTACGCGCAAGCGAATTATGTAAATAAAATTAAACCATACGTTAGTCCCGAAATGACCTAGTTTGTGTCGAGTGGACGTTAAACCCCATTTCTCTCTCTCTGTGATTGTTACTTAACCTGATTCGGACAGAATATAATAGGCTACATGTAGTTAATTAGCAATAGGATAATAAAATAAAAAATAGGCTACCTAATTTTAATTATAAAATTAATTGAGTTTTTCTCCAGGAATTTGATACATATTCTATACTCTTCAAGAAATTATTTACATCGTTGATAATAGAGGAAGGAAGCTCACTGACGCCATTGTCAAGGTTGATAGTCAGTCAGGCTCCCATGTTTTTGATAGAACAGTAATCTGTTGGCGACAGCAAATTCCCCTTGTCTGATTAGCCTTCATGCTGAAGATAGGGGGGATTTCAAATTCTTTGATAATGGTTGGAATGCATGATATTTTTTTACTAAGAATCTTTCTTTCTAGTTTTTAATAACGACAGACTTAAATAACTATTCATGGAAAACGTGACCACAGAAATTTAATCAAGACTTGGTCGTGATATCTTGGCGCCAAACCGTCTGATATCTAACCAAACACAGGTCTGCCGGCAGCAAGGTCTTTCTCGAATATCCAGTCATTATTTGAGATTGTAAACGCTTGGTCCTGCTTATAATTCCTCATCTAATATTAAGTGCAGGAGTACCGCACTATACACGCAAAACAAAACCGATGTGATAATCCTACGGACAAGAGAAACAACACAGATTTTGCAAGAAGTAAAGAAATCATCAAATCAAGTGAATGGATCCTGGGGGCAAGACGCAAGCGTTCGCTGCGCGGTACAGTCCCGGGCTTGAATAATACGGACTTCGCTAAAAATTAAAAAAGAAAAAAAAGAAAAAGAAAATTGATATACAAGAAAGGTCTTCCGAGTGGTGATAATCTGCGTTAAACGTCATGAATCAGAACGTCAAAAAAGGTTAGGTCTATTTGATAAGGCCAACTTCAAGTTTAGTCAAAGGTCACGAGATATGAACAGGGCTAGCACTAATCCCAACCCTAACCGTAACCTACAATCTCGCAAACAATCACGTGCCCTAACCTTGTTTACATCTCAGCGACCTTGATGAAAATTGAGCTGGCCTTAACAAATAGATTTAGCCGGTCAGAAAATATAACAATAATAAGGTCGATTATACGAATATTGTGTACCCCTTACCCCTGGGGTGCGAATTTTTCCGAACGTCCGGAAAAATAACGTTTCTTTATAGTTCTTTCAGGGCGCTGTGGACGTGTAGATTGTGCTGGTCGTCATATGTTTGGCATAAACCGAATGAATCGTCGAAAGACTGGCCATTTTTTGTGAGAGCCATCTGTACAGATTAGAAAGATCCCTTCGATCCCATGCCCCTTATGAATAGTATTACTATCGACAATACGATGAAACCCCGTTATAGGGGCGGTACTCAACGGAAACCTTTTTGTCTGGAAAATTGCATGTATGTAGTAACATTTTATAGCGCATTCCATGTATCCGCACTTGTCTATTAAAACAAAAAAATAAAAAAAACCAAAACACATATTCTTATGATTTATTATCAACATATTTTTACAGCGTACAAAACCGTCCTCGAAAGCAAACACTTATATGGTCCTTTTAGAGTCTAAATGATCATGTCTAAGTATCGTCTGCTCGCTGTTTGAACATTATGTCAGATTTCCAATTATTCCTTTACAATATTCTAAAATAATGTCGTCTGGCACTCTAAGGTTATGGCGCCAAGCCCATGCGAACATATGACAGAGGGCGCACGACAGGAATAACCGTGGCATATTCCTGGTATAATATAAACAAAATTACTGAGAAAATTTCCACACTGGCGCCATCGGACTCTGTACAGCCAGAAGAAGAGTCACTGGGTCTATTATGCATGTAAATGGCCATTTGAGAACAATATTTGATAATCAAAGATGGTGCTGTTTGGGAGCTGATCATTTACAATATTACACACGATAATGACGTATATTACCAAAAACCGTAATGACGTTAATTTCATGAATGTCTTAATATAACTAACGCGTTATTGAGAGAGAGAGAGAGAGAGAGAGAGAGAGATGGGGGGGGGGGGGGTAACGTCCACTCAACACAAACTGGGTCATTTCTGGACTAAAAAGGGTTCAATTTTATTTCAATAATTGTCTTGCCCGTGGGGTCGAACATGGAGGACCCGGACAAAACTCGCGTGGTTGGACAAGCGACTCTATTCGAATCCACGTTACTTGACTCAATGACAGACCTTATGATGCAACGCGCATGCGTTAACCGTTCGGGAAACCCCCTCGCCCCCACCCCCCTAACACGA